TATTATTTAAAATCAATTTGTGTTTAAAAAACCTCGATAACTCGATCAACCTTTGTAGCAACAAGGAAAGGAGAATTATTTTCACAATGAATAGTAATCGGTTTCTAATTATAATATTTTTAAAATTTTAAATAAAATTAGCACCTTCGTATAAGGTTTGGAATTCTCATAAGGTCCATAAGTGATTTTGCCTGATGCATATTTGCTCAAAGAAACATCAGTAAAAGCAATAGGCTGAACAGAACCGACTTTGTAAATACAGGTCTCTTTCAATAGCGAATACGCTGACGGGATGTTTGCCAATCCCGAATAAAGAACAAGCCTAAAATGAATTAGCGTAAAAATAAACCAAAAATAAGAAAATTTACTGATTTTCAGATTGGATAATTTCCTTGGGATGTGGCACTAAATATTCAGTCAATGCATATTCAACAGTAACTTTAATTGCAAAACCAGTCGATAAAAGATTAAGCAACTCCAATTTGTGGAAAATAAAACCATCTGGCGCACCTTTCACTTTAGCCTTTTTTAAAATTTGATTGAGTTTTAATTATTTAAAAATTACACGTGAGACACGGAATTTTCCTGTTTCCTTCCCAGTTTCAAAAGCAACCATCCAAGACAAATGTTTTGCTTCGTCCTCTGTAATGACATTTACAAAAAAAGAAACATCTTCCTTTCCCTCATTTTTTAATTCAAACTCTGTTTTAACCTAAAAATAAATTAAACACCAATTAAAATAAACACGTTGAAAATAGAAGGGAAAAATAGTTTGTTAATAATTATGAAGTTAAATTTATTTAAATAAACCTTGACAATTTGTGATGTTATATCTACATTTCTTGTCGCTGAAACAACTTTTAATCCATCAAACAATGTGAGTTCTGTCTGTTGCGCCTGATAAAATGGGAAAAATAAAGCGAATAATGCAAAAATAAACATTTAATATTGCATTCAAATATCTAAAATTGTGATATTAAAATAAAATTAATCAAAATAAAAGTAAATTAATCAACGTGTCAAAAACACAAATCAATAAACATACGATCAGAATTCCAAAATTTTCGGGGGTTTTAAAGGGTGGACATTTCGAGAAAAGCATTTTTGACATTTGGACATTACGCTAAATGTCCAAATGTGTCTCTAAATACACACTATTTTCTCGGTTAAGGACGATTCAGTATCGCCGATTCAGTATCGCCGATTCAGTATCCGCCGATTCAGTATATGGCCATAACTTTCCTGATATTCGACCGATTTGAATAATTCTCATATCATTCGAAAGGTCTCAAGATTCGACATCTTTTTCATAACTGGCCCGATCAGATCTGATGATCACAAAAAAAGTTATAGCGTGAAAACCGATTTTTTATGCCTGTGACGTCGTTTATCAGTGATAACTTTTTGTAGAGTGATCAGATCAGGACAGTCCAATTATGAAAAAGATGCAGCACCCGAGGCCTATCAAATCATATATAATAATTCCTACAATATTGATCGGGCAAAAAGTTATGGCCAAAAAGCCCAAATACTGAATCGGCCAATACTGAATCGGCGATACTGAATTGGCGATACTGAATCGGCGATACTGAATCGTCCCCTACCCATTTTTTCCTCCCCAATTTTCCCCCTATATTTTTACAAAATGGTCAGACTTTTTCCTTTCTTCCATCCAATTTGCCTTTTTAATATGCGGAACGGGCCAGTTGAGCGACCAAAATTAAATAAAACAAAATAAATTTTAGATACTATTTTAAAGCATTCTCCAATTCACTTTTTCTTAAAAAATGACTTCAACAAACAAGAGCCCACATTCTCCCAGTTCAAGTAACTTGGGTAATCAAATTATGTCTGTTGACGCCTGTTTTTTATGTGATTTTCTTTGCGTTTTACAATATTTTTTATGTTTCGTTTACTAATTGTCTGATTGTTAGTGGCCTTTTTATAAGGTCCTTTTCAGTGAATAAATTAAAAAAAAAAAAAAATAATCAAATTAGAGAAACTTCCGATTGCAATTCCACCAATGGAGTTGACTTTCCGAGAGTGGTCTACAGCAATTCATGGGGTGGAAGAGCAGGCAATTCTGCATTAATCTTTGCTGTCAATGGCGATTTATTGGTTCATGAACTATTACTTTGAATGACATTGGGGTAGCCATTACTTCATTAGAGGCTTTTTTTATCTTGTATAAATATATTTAAATTTTTTGATGTATAAATTTATAAAAAGAATTTTTTAGTCAATAACTTTAATTATTTAAAACAATAAAAAACAAAGAATTAAAAATTTTGTCATAAATTCAAACTTGATTCATTTATTTCATTCATTTCAGCTTTGAATTCTTCAATTTTTGATAATTGTTTAAGCATTTGGGCAGAATTTTGACCAGTAACAGAGGGAATAATCTGGGTTTTTGTTGAAAAATTGGTGACATGTATTGCACCTTTAATTGTTTTGCGTGTCTGAGCCCTTAGCAATACATTTTGGGCATTTTCTAAATTTAGGCTTTATTGTTATCAAATATCATTTAAAATAAAATTACCTGAAATTAATTTCCTTCCAGACATTAGAGGCAGTCCAAAAAGTGTACTTAAATTTCCAACATCATAAGGAGCTCGTAGTGAAATCTTTAAAAAAAATTAAAAGATAAATTTTAAATTTACAAACCGATTCATCAGCTCCACTACTTAATACAACTCCATTACCACCTCGAGTAATTTCAATCAATTTTCTTGCACATGAAAAAAACTAAAATAAGAGACTGTTTACCTAAAACAAAAATTTTCAAAAAGAAAAACTTGTCTTCTCCTTTCAGAACCTTGCAATGCTTTAGAATATGTTATCTCAAAATAAATACCAACATTAACACAACTTTGAACAATTTTTTGTTTAAATAACAAAGAAATACCTCCAACTTCCCTATAAATTCCATCAAGAGTAACCAAATCAACAAAGTCTCCTTTCCTTTGTAATGTTAAAAGTAATTGTTCATTTGGAACACGAACAGCAACTTTTTTAAAAAACTTTGGATATAGTGTAGTGTACCGGTGGTAAAAGTTCGGGACGTGACATATGTCATTCGATTCGTCTCGACGAGCTGAGTCGAACGGTACCACTCCCTATTTTAGGAAATGATTCTAGACCGAGTTATAGGTCCCTGAAAATCGAAAAACCATAAGGGGGAAGTAAGCTCAATTTTGGGGTGAAAAATTCGAATATGCAAATTATACCTCATTCGAAAGAGCTCCTCGAGCTGAGTCGAATGACACCAAAATTAGCTTGATTGAACAAGTTTGAGTCGAGATATAGGGCTCGAAATGGTCAAAAACCATAGGGGGGATTTTGGGGTCAAAAATTCGATTCTACAAATGTTAGCTCATTCGAGAAAGCTCGTCGAGCTGAATCGAATGACACCAAAACCATCTTGATTGCACAAGTTTTGACAAAGTTACGATAGAAAAACTACCAACATAAACCTATGGGTCGTCGGCGAGGCGCTTGTGCAAGACCCCGCGCTTCGCGCGGGGTCTTGCAGCACGCGCCTCGCGGGGAGTCTACGGGCGCTGGGTCTGGGCTCGTAACATAAACCTATCCCTATCTCCCTTGCTCTGGACGTATTTGGGGCCTCCGTAGCAGCAAAAATCTCCACAGATGCCATAGGTAAGGAGCTAAAACAAACGGTCATAATTTTGTCAAATCAAGTCGGATTTTATTGATTTTGGTGTCATTCGACTCAGCTCGAGGAGCTCTTTCGAATGAGGTATAATTTGCATTTTCGAATTTTTCACCTCAAAAAAGTGCTTGGTCCCCCCTTTGGTTTTTCGATTTTCTGGGACCTATACACTCTGTTTCAAAATTTTAGAGCCACTAAGTTTTTTGTAATAACTCGGTGAAAATCGATTGGATTTTTTTGAAATTTTGTCTTAATATTTAATTAAGCAATACATACTAATCTGCAAAAAATAAATCAAATCCAGCGTCTACAAAAAATTTTATTCCAAAAAATTCAATTTATATGTGTTTCATAATTATAGAGCCACTTTGAAATTTCAAGTTTCTAACATTAGGAAAAATCTATAAAAATTTGAGCTAACATTTTTATCGATTCTAAGAAGAAATAAAAAAGAATTGGACCCATATCTCACTTTAGTGTCGAGATCCAGATACCTCGAAAATCAACGTAAATCGGGGGTAAGGCTATTTAAAAAATATTTTCGACCCCTTATGATTTGTTTCAAATTTTTATTTTGGGCTCATTCGAAAGCCCATTAAATTTGCTACAAGATAGCATAACATTTATTTTCCAGAAAAATTATTTCAGCAAGTTATTAAGTTTTAAATTTCTAACCCACAAAAAACGCCCAAATGCCCCATAAAATTATCTACGGAAGATTAACGTCCCGTATATCTCTTTTGAATTTTTTCTAGAATATATGAGTATTATTATCTTGTAGAAAATTTAATGGGCTTTCGAATGAGCCCAAAATAAAAATTTAAAACAAATCATAAGGGGTCGAATTTATTTTTTAAATAGCCTTACCCCCGATTTACGTTGATTTTCGAGGTATCTGGATCTCGACACTGAAGTGAGATATGGGTCCAATTCTTTTTTATTTCTTCTAAAAATCGATAAAAATGTTAGCTCAAATTTTTATAGATTTTTCCTAATGTTAGAAACTCGAAATTTCAAAGTGGCTCTATAATTATGAAACACATATAAATTGAATTTTTTGGAATAAAATTTTTTGTAGACGCTGGATTTGATTTATTTTTTGCAGATTAGTATGTATTGCTTAATTAAATATTAAGACAAAATTTCAAAAAAATCCAATCGATTTTCACCGAGTTATTACAAAAAACTTAGTGGCTCTAAAATTTTGAAACAGAGTGTAACTCGGTCCAGAATTATTTCCTAAAATGGGGAGTGGTACCGTTCGACTCAGCTCGTCGAGACGAATCGAATGACATATGTCACGTCCCGAACTTTTACCACCGGTACACTACACTACAGCCAAAACTTTTAAATTTTTAATTAAAAAATTACTAATATCATATTTCTTCACCCTCGCGTCATGTTGAAATTTATGTACAGAATTTTCGTCTAATGTTACCGTTAAACGACTAAAATATTTTTTAATAAAAATTAATTTAAAATTAAATAAAACCTAAATTGCCGAAAACTTTTCCCATTTTGCAAAAAAGTAGAAATATCCAATTCTGATTCATTTAAAATAAATGGATCTGGAATAATTGTTTCTGTTGAAGATTCTTCTTCATTTTCTTCTTTTTTCTGTTGAATTTTTTCTTTTTATTCGGTGGTTGTTGTAAATTCTTAAATATATAATTTAGATAGTAACTCTTTAACAGAAAATAAAATAAAATTCTTTAACAGAAAATAAATTTTTAATTAAATATACTTACATCAATATCTACTTGAGAATACCTTCCAATGTCAATATTAATAACCTAAAATTTAAAAACTAAAAAATATTCAAAATTAAAAAACTTAACCACAGCATCATATCCCATTCTCACAGCCCGTTTTACATTAGCTAAGGTTTGCTTAGGATTTCCACGGTGTTTAATATTTAAATCGGCGAAGTGAATCTTTTTCATTGAAATTTAAAATCTGGTAATTAATTGAATTTAAAATTTAAACAAAAAATTAATAAAAAATATCCGGAAACCCCCAGAGACCGTTGGGTAAATTCAACTGGAGCCCAGAAATTATCTTTACAGAGGTAAAATCGGACAGGATTAATATGCAAAAAATTAGCGGGGTGCCAAATTCCGGTCCGGCATGAAGAGAAATCTAAAATTCGGTTTCCGGACCCGGAAATGATCTTGAAAGACACCAATTATGAGCCATTTTTTGGAGAACATTTTTTAGTAATTTGGGAAAAAATTTATCAACTAGCGCCCAAAAAGTGCCGCGCCCTATCGGGAGCGCCCAAACGGGGTAGGGGACGACTCAGAGTCGCCGATTCAGAGTCGCCGATTCAGAGTCGCCGATTCAGAGTAGCCGATTCAGAGTAGGGACTATTCAGAGTAGCCGATTCAGAGTACGTGGAAAAGGGGACGATTCAGAGTACGTAGATTAGATTACCTTAAAAATCGAGATTTTTGGAAAGCAATTGCTTTATTTTTTTGTTTTTTATTCTTTCTTGTTTATTTTTATTGTTTTAGAGAGAAAAACAGCAATTTGCACAACCAACAACAATAATTCAATGGCAGAAAATAATTTTTAATAGAAATTAAAATTTTTAAAAATTTTCCAAACTTTTTAAATTTTCTAATTTTCCACAGAATTAGAAAAAACAGAATTAGAAAATTTTTCGAAATCTCTCTAATTTTTTGGAATTTCTTAAAAAATTTTTCGAAATTTCTCTAATTTTTTGGAATTTCTTAAAAAATTTTTTTCAATTTTTTAAATTTTCTAGGGGTAACAACGACGTGCTCGGGCGGTTTGCTGTTGAGGTGATTCTGCCTGGCAACCTTTGAATTGCAGTCTTAGATGGAATAGAAGCGATGTTGGAATTTCGTCAACACCCACAACCCAAACGGCCCTCTTTAGGGCCACAAATCTAATGAGTGAATCGAGACATTGACTTTTTAGTTATTTTTTGATAAATTTTTGCTTATTTGACTCTTTTTTTATTAAAATTTTGTTCCCTGAAGAAAAAAAGTTGAGATCAAAACTTTACCCTAAGGCCGAAAAAGCCCAAGAAAAGTCTGGAGTCAAGACTCGGCAACCTTTTAGAATGTTCTTCAGATTGTAGAAACTAAGAAAACCCAGAAAAATCGCAAGAAATGCCCGATTTTCTATGCCCAAAAATTTATGTACTCTGAATCGTCCCCTTTTCCACGTACTCTGAATCAGCTACTCTGAATTGTCCCTACTCTGAATAGTCCCCTACTCTGAATCGGCGACTCTGAATCGGCTACTCTGAATTGGCGACTCTGAATCGGCGACTCTGAATCGACCTTTTCCCCCTATTTTCTTTAATTGGGCATTCTGTCATTTTTAATCAAAAAATAAACATAATGCCAAACACATCGCCAAAAGTCTCACAAAATTCAAAGCTGCGCACAAACAAACAAAATAGGAATTCTAAAATTTGATATAGGATTATTGGATAATAGTGTCGTTTCCGGGCCTACTTTTTAGCCCAAGTTTTTCTAATTCATTCAGATAATGGTCAGACTTTGTCCTTTCTTCCATCAAAATTGCCTTTTGCCTACAAACAATCAAAAAGGATTGTTTTATTACCCCTTGGTTGGAAGAAAGGAAAAAGTCAGACCATTCTCTGTGTATATAGAAATAAACTTGTGGAGGAAAAAGGGGTTCGGAAACGACCTATTACCCATTATTGTTTTAAGTTTTTTGACATTTAGATATATTTAAATATGCGAGTTGAAAATAATTGTGAAGTTGATATTCTTAGTCGACTAGGAATTCTTGAACGCGAAACTCCTAATGATAATTTAACGACAAAAATTAAAAGTAATCGGTTTGTTGACAAGAAACGTAAATTTCATCGAGTTTCATTAAATGTTGCTTTAAATAAAATTTCTTTGAGTGAAAGCAGCACAGATGAAGATAAAGACTTTATTAACAAAACTGTTTGTTTTTTTTTTAAATATAAAATATATTTTTTTAATTTTAGTCATCTTCTGAAACAAAAAATGACCAAACAATTTTTTATTCTTCAAACAATAATTGCCATTCTAATCCAAATTTTTGTGAATTTATTTCTCTTCTCTCTGCTGCTGGATTTTTGGTATTTTTTTTAAATTATTTATTTTAAAAATAAATTTAGGGATTTTCATTAACGTTAAAGGAATCAAGTTTTGAAACAAATTTTGACGGAATTAATGTAAATATTTTAAATAAATTCTTTATTTAAAATTATTTTTTAGATTTTAATTAATTCAATATTTATTTTACTTGGCTCTTATTTTGGTTTTTATTTAAAATAATTTTTTTAAACTTTCTTTTTTTCAGCAACCTTCAGTTTATTTAAATTTAATTTAAATTCATTTTTTCTTTTACTTTCTGTGATGCTAACTTTTGTAACAATTTTTGCTTTATTTTTGATTGATAAAAGCGAGAAAATTTTAAATTTTGGGCATTTAAGTATTATTTTATTTAATGCTAGTCAATCATTTTTAATTGCAACAATTGAAAGAGGTTTTTTGTTAAATATTTTTTTAGAATTTATTTATTTTTTTAAAGTTATTTTATTAATTATTCCACGTTGGAAAATTAATTTTGGCCGTGTTATTTTTATTGTATATTCATTTATTGCTTTTTGTGCTTTTTTATCTTCTTCACTTCAAATTAATTTGGAAAAAAATAATTTATCAAATAATTCTGAAATTAATGAAAAACAAATAAAAATACTCAACAAAACAGAAAATTTGTTGGAAGAGGTTTTTTATTTTAATTAATTAATTAATTTGTTTTTCTTTAAATTTAAGTTTATTTTCATTAAATATTTATTTTTCAATGAATTTTTATTTATTTTATTAATTTTTGTTTTACCAATTTTGTTTGGTTTTTGTTGTTTTCTTGGTCAACCTTTGGGTTCTCCTCAGCAAAAAATTTCAAAAAATAATTATTTTAATGAGGTATATTTTAAAAATATTATTTTAAATTTTTTTTAAAAAATAGTTACAAGTATCTTCATCTTTTATTTGTCAAATTCTTTTATTTTTTATTATGACTTTACATTTTACTTCTTCCTTTATTGCTCAACATTCTATTTATTTTAATAAAGAAAATAATTTCGAAAATGTTCAAAATGTTTTATTTTGGTTATTTTTGTTAATATTTAGACTTCCTTTTGTTTTTTGGTAATTTTTAAAGATTTATTTTTTTTTAATTTTTATTTTGCAGGCCAAATCTTTCAATACGCTCAAATTTATTTTATTTTTTGTATTTTATTTTAATTACAGCCAGTATTTTACTTAAATTAATTATACCTGAGCATTTTAGTAATATTTTTGATTTGGCTATTTTGGTAAGAAAATTAATTTTTTAAAATTTAATTCTCTTTTTTAGTCATTTTCTTCCAATTTTCCACTTTTTCTTTATGTTTGGTATATTAATTATTCAAAATGTTCACATTTGGATATTTCTTTTTGTTTTATTCTTTCTTTATCATTTGGAGAATTAATTGGGAAATTTATTTTTTGGAAACAAAGTTTTTTCTTTTTAATTTTAAAAAATAATTAATTTTAAATATTTTTAGATATTTCTCCTTCCCTTTCATTCAAAATTGGACTTTTCTCAATTACCTTTTTATTGTTTTTAATTTTATTTTTTAAAATTCAAAAAGAAGGGCGTCAAAGGCAAATTATTGAATATAGAAGTTCAATTAATGGTTAATATTTTTTTTGAAATTTTTTTTTATTTTTAAAAAGGTAAAGGAAATACTCAAAACTCGTCAAAAATTAAAAAGAAATTAAAGAAAAAGGTCAAAACATCAAAAGGTGCTTATTCATTATTAGAAATGAATAGAAGAATTGCCAACAAAAATAACACAGAAAAACAACAAAAAACACTTATTTCCTCAAATGATGATAGGTCATCATTTGATAGTGAAGATGATGAAGACGAGGCTGACGTGGAAATGGAATCTGTGACTGGTGATTATGATGAAGAATTGGAGAAGGAAGAAGAATGTAAAAAAATAAATGAATTATTATAGTTAAAAAATTTTTGTAAAAAATAAGAGAAAAAATTTAAACATTTGATTTAAAAAAAATTTTATTTTTTGTTTATACATTTTGATTTGTTTTTCTTTACTTTATTTTTTCTTTTTAATTTACTTTAAAGAGCCATTAATGAATTTTTGTTTTCAAATAAAATGAAGGAAATGTGCGCGCCATTATTGTAAGAGCATATATAAGCATTAAGCAAAAAGTAGCTCCTGTCGGTCTATTTATGGATTAACAAAAAAAATATGAAGAGATCAGCAAAGGAGAGAGAAGTGTTTTGAAGGATTAACGAACGATGAGGATGTGCTAACGCTGTTTTTTTAATATTTTACAGATTTTCTCTGTACACGTTAATGGGTGCTTTAAAAACATTAAAATGGGTGACACCGTTGCTTTTTAACAAATTATTTTTAAATTTTATTTTTTTTTCAGCACAATCTCTTATGTTAGTTTCTAAACAAATCCTCATAAACCTTGTAATTTTTATTTAGTGTGGTTTTACATAAATAATATTTTTAATTTTCGTTTAAATTCATTTCACCCCAATGATTCAACATTTTAATTAAACTCATTTTTTTGAGAGATCATCTTTGTCCTTTCAAAAATAAATATTGACTAATACATAAATAAATAACTTCGCCAAATTGTCCTCTCTCTTTCACATATTTTTGGAATGCAACCGTTACTCAATATTTTTAAACATTTCTCTCCCTTTTTTTATTAAACTAAAATTCCCGGTCAGCTTTCTATTTAATAAAACCACAATATAAACGTGTATATAAATCTATAAATATATATTTTGTTGTGACTCATCCCGGATGCATTTATGGCCATTTTTGTCTCTAATATATTTCTTTTCACTTTTCTTGTTAAGTTGGGTTTCTATTTATTTTTACAATCTTAAAATTTTGTATTTACATATTCATGTCGGAAGAAAATTGTTTTTTCATGAAAAATTTGTTTTTGTTTATTACAAAATCTATTTTTCTTTTGAGTTTGCTTTGGATCCCGAATATTGTCTGGGAGGGGGGGGGGTTATAGTTAGCTTATTCTGAAAAATTTCGTCGACATATTTACATATTTACCAATAATTTTTAGATTTATTTTTTAATTATCAAATTATTTTAAACAAAGATATGCCTTTTTCCAATGATCAAATTGAGCAATTAAAGGAACATTATCCAACGGTGTCTAATTTTATTAAATTTTTATTTTGTTTTTTTTTTCAGTTAATACAAAATGGGGGTAGTGGATATATAACAAATGATGAATTAAATGGAGCTTTGAAAATTCTTGGAATTGATGTACCTGGTTATCAAGTAATATTTTTAAAATGACTTTTTTTACTATTTAAAAAATTTTTTTAGGCCAGAGATTTATTAGAGCGTTATAATTCTGGAAATAAACAAATAAGTTATGATAAATTTATTATTATTTTTGATGAAATTGATTCACAACGAAATGCGGAAATTTCGCGATGGAAGAATCGAATTGGGAGTGTTACTGGAGCTTATCAACTCCAAGGGATGGCCGAACATGGAGCAGATGAAATTGTTCATACAATTCGTGTTGAGGAAGAATTGGCATTTTCTAATTGGATAAATAGTAGTCTGTCAGAGGATTCTGATTTGAAATCACTTCTTCCAGTCAATCCGGAGGGTGGCGATCTTTACACAAAAATTCGTGATGGGTTAATTATTTGGTAAGGAAATGGGTTTTTTAATATTTAAATTGTATAGAATTAGAATTTAGCTTAAAATTATAATAAAAATATTGGAGATATTTCCCCTTATTTTGAACAAATTTTCCTTTCCTTTTCTTCTTTAGTTTGCATATATTTTATTTTTAAAGTAAAATGATTAATTTGGCTGTACCAGAAACAATTGATGAACGTTGTCTTAACAAAACAAATTTGAATACTTATACTCGATTGGAAAATCTTACATTAGCTTTAATGTCTGCCCAAGCAATTGGTTGTAATATTGTTAATATTGATGGTGATGATTTATCTAAAGGGAAGCCGCATTTGGTTCTTGGTCTTTTATGGCAAATAATTAGGGTTTGTTTGGATGTTTTTTTATTTTAAATTAATTAAAAATAGATTGGCCTTTTTCGAGAAATTGATCTTGTGCACGTTCCTGGGTTATTTAGACTTTTACAAGAAGGTGAAACACTTGATGATTTGAGAAAATTGAAGCCGGAACAGATTTTAATCCGATGGGTTAATTATCATCTTGAAAGGGCTGGAATTCAACGTCGTCTTGCTAATTTTACAACCGACATTTCTGATTCTGAAATTTATACTTATTTGCTTCATCAAATTGCTCCTAAATCTGCAGGTGTTTCATTAGCTCCATTACAACAAAATGATGATATAAGACGTGCAAATTCAATGCTTTCTGAGGCAAATAAAATAAACTGTAGAGAATTTGTGACTGCAGAAGATGTTTGTAAAGGAAATTATAAATTGAATTTGGCTTTTGTTGCTAATTTATTTAATAAATACCCGGGATTGCCCGAACCTGGAGCTGACGAAATACGTTTGTTTTTTAAAATATTTGTTTTTGTAAATTCGAAATTTGCAGCTGAAATTACTGACATTCAAGAAGAGACACGTGAAGAGAAAACTTATAGAAATTGGATGAACAGTCTCGGTGTTGATCCTTTTGTTAATTATATTTATTATGACTTACAAAATGGATTAGTTATTTTCCAGGTTTTTTTTAGAATTTCTAAACATTTTTGGGTAAATGTCCAGTTGGCGGTCTACATGTCCGCAAAGAGAATCTGCTCTTTTCTTTCCTTTTCTTGCATTTTTTGCGTTGGGAGAAATGCTCCGCTCATTTTTCCTTTTCTTCCATTTTTCCTTCTCAATACATTATGTTTTAGTGTTGATACTTGAAAAATAAAAATGCCTCTAATTAAAAAAATATTTTACAAATGATAGATTTAGATTCACAAATAATAGATCTATGGCTTTCTAATAAGCCCAAAATAATGATCTAAAAAATTTAAAAATAATATTTAAGGAGACATAACCTGTTCTACGTTGATTTTCTTGTTTCAGGATATCGATATTGAGTAAAGACATGGGCCCAGTTTTTACATCCGTCCTCCCTCTCATAGTTTCTATTAGAGCTCTAACCCGGGCCGGGACCGGGTTTTCCGGGCCTGGTAGCCCGGAAACCGGGTATTTTGTAAAATAAATATTTTTTTCTGATTAGAGGTATTTTTATTTTTCAAGTATGAACAGGAAAACATAATGTATTGAGAAGGAAAAATGGAAGAAAAGGAAAAATGAGCGGAGCATTTCTCCCAACGCAAAAAATGCAAGAAAAGGAAAGAAAAGAGCAGATTCTCTTTGCGGACATGTAGACCGCCAACTGGACATTTACCCATTTTTGAATACTTTTCCCTTTAATTCTCGGATCACATTTATTCTTTAAAATTTTATTTCTTTATATTTTAATTTTTAGTTATATGATGCAATTCGTCCAGGAATAGTTAATTGGAAGGTTGTTGTTCAAAAATTCCATAAAATTCGAGGAATGATGGATCAGATTCAGAATTGTAATTATGCTGTTGAATTAGGAAAACAGCTTCGATTTTCGTTGGTTGGAATTCAAGGAAAGGATATTTATGATGCTAATCCGACTTTGACTTTAGGTTTTTTTTTGTAAAATGTTTGTTTTTCTAAATTATTTATTTAGCACTTGTTTGGCAATTAATGCGTGCATATACTTTAACTATATTGGCTAAATGTACACAAAGTGAGGAATCAATGGCAACTGACAAAGTTTTTTTAAAAATATTGTAAAATATTTTTTCCTTTTATTATAGGAAATAATTGCTTGGGTAAACCAAAAATTGGAATCTGTCGGAAATTCAAATCGTTTAAAAAGTTTCCAAGACCCGGCTATTTCAAATGCTCGTATTTTTCTTGATTTAATTGAAGCAATAAAACCAGGCACAATTGACTATAATATTGTCAAGTGTGATGGAAATAGTCAGGTTAATTTTTTAAAATTTTTTACCTAAATTAATTAAAATATTCAAAGAATAATTTGGATAATGCAAAATATGCAATAACTGCTGGTAGAAAAATTGGAGCAAAAATATATGCATTGCCTGAAGATATTGTGGAGGTTTTTTTAAAAAAACTTTCTTTAAAATAGTTTTTAAGGTGAAATCAAAAATGGTTATGACGGTCTTTGCTTGTCTTATGGCCCGTGACTTTATGCCAAACGTTCGGGAAGTGACAAATGGAAATTGAACATAAAAATAAAAATTATTTTATTATTAAATCCCTCTTTAAAAAAATTCTTTCCTAAAAATGGAAACTAAAAATTATATTTATTTTTATATTTTAAATTGCAAAATAATTTTAAAAGAATATATGGCCGGTCAAGTATTTATACATTCTTTCTTTAAAATATGTAAATCACATAAACGCTTTAGAAGCATCATTTCTTTTATATAAATTTCTCCATAAAATTATATCAAGATATATTTAAAAATTTTGTTTGTTTTTTTTTCTTTGAATTATTCATTCCTTTTATTTTCTTATTCATTTCCATATTTCCATGAATAATGCAAATATACTATAAAAAGTTTAAATATTAAATAAATTACCACAAAATTGTCTTTAAACCATTTTGGTGTAATTCGGGTCTATTTAATATTCCAAAAACAATTACAAAATTAAGACAAAAATACCTATAAATGACTTCGAGTACATTTTGTAGACAGGAATTTTATTTTCAAATCAATTCTTTTATCATTGTGGAAAAATCAAAAGATTGAGCACATTCTACATAGTAGATAGAAAACGGTGCCTCCACAGTGCAACTGTCAGAGATCTTGAGAACTCTATACACCCAAATATTTGGAGTTGACCTTGTGAGTAATTAATTTTTTGTGAGTGGACCTTTAGGATCATTTGATCAGAGACCTTTTGAATGGACCCGGAGTTAACAGTTTCACAATCACGGCAATCCTTCGGTTTTGTGTTCCCTGCCAAAAAATAAATTTAAAAATCTAACAAGCATATTTTCTAGGGTAGTTTTTGGTGCTGATCACGAATTTAAACTCAGATTTTAACTAACATTTTTATCTATGATCTGGAACTTATGCACTTTACATAGTACACACCCCATTTATTCGCAAAACAATCACATTATTACCCCAATTATTCGCCAATTTTTGTTCTCATTACCCCAATTATTTGCCATTTATCCGCAGGCTAACAATAGACCTGTGTTGCTGCGTACAACCCGAGCAACCATTGAACACATGCCGCAAAATAAGCAACTCGCCGGCTCCTAGTTTTACTTTGACCATTTTGAGCTTGCGAACAAATGGAGGTGTGTTCCTAATCTGCATAAGTTCCTGATTTTTTATCAGGCACTTAATTTTTTACAAAATTTTATTTTATCCTGATTTTCAGTCGATAAGCCTATTCCTAACTTCGCTGCAGTCGATCCCTGACTAACTCTTAAGTTCTATCCGACTAATTGTCTTTCGGTGAACCGCTCCATATCTTTCGTAAATTTTTTTAAACAATGTAATAGAATATCGATTGACCAGGCGCACTAATACTTTTTTCGCTCGCTACCGCCATGGAAATGTACATAAAAGCTTTAAATGTTAGGGAAAAGAAAAATTAAATAGTATAGTGTCATACATACATTCACTAGTCATATTAATGGGGACGCAACCAAAAATGTTGTGTATGTAGAGGCTTGTTTATCATCCTGCTTCACATCGCCCACCATAACGTTGTCGAATATTGTTGGAAAATAGTTGTGTCCTTACTTTAGTTTATGGAGAAACCCGCCGAAAATCTTCTAAAAATTAATAAAATTAAATGAAATACTACTATAAAAACTTAAAAAATAAAAATTTGATCAGATTTTAATGTTTGGATCAAGAGTTTTACATAAATGAAATTTTATGGCATTTTAAGTAAATTTGGGGTTGGGGAGTAAGGCTTAGGTTGATGATTTACACACTTCATATTTATTTAATTTTTTTATTTTTAAATACTTACATATTTCAACTTCGAGATCGCAGGTATCTGGTTAAATTTTTGTAAGCATATTATGGGAAAAAATTCGGAGACATCTAACCACCGCATTTTCATCATTTTGAAGCGTATGTACATAATTTATTTAGCAACCATTTCTATCTAAAATATACATACTGCTTTCTGTTGGATTTTAAGCTCGTAAGATCCATGAAGATGAGGAAATTGCGTATAAAAAGCTTTCGAATGATATTATGAATTATTCGGAATGTTTGGCACGGGGAAAATTTTGATCCAAATTGGCGGGGAAATGGCGGCGATGTGGGGTCCCATCCTTTCTAATTTGAAGTTTTTTATTAAGTATTTAATGAATTGGGCGCATGATATTCTGTTAAATAATACATACTTTGTTGATTTTCCTCTAACTTCAAAGAATTGACATGAGGTGCACGCCAGAGGTGGGTCGGAATTCCGATTTTTCCACGTTTTTCGACCAAATTCGCCTCCCGATATCCAACCTAATCCAATTATGCACCATAACTTGCCGCTCTACATCCCTGTTGACCATTTTAATAAATGTTATTTGTTGACATTTTATTTTAAGCATTTTATCGTCTGGCATTTCCGATTTCCGACAGTTCCGATTTCCGGCACCTTCGTCATTTCCCTTGTTGACCCACCTCTGGTACACATAAATGAGGGAAGAGAATATATTTTAAGGGAAAGCGAAAGAATATTATAAAGAATATACTTTAACTTTAGAAATTTTTTAGATAGAGGGGAAAGTCAACAGAAGTACATATATAAATATACTATATTTGTTAACTTAATTACCTATTTGTAAATGGGTGTTCCAAAAAATTAATTCCCGTTTCAGTCCGTATTTTCTTGAATTTCAAAATGCTGACAAAATTTTTTTCATAAAATGCTTTCCTTCAGTTAATTTATTTTAAAATTATTTTTAATAACTTTATTCATGTAATATTCACATAATTAGTCCCGGCTTTTACATATGAGACGTTAAATTTTAAAATATCATAATGCCAAATTAATTTTTATTGCGCCAAGGAAATTATTTAAAAGCAATGTAGATCCCAAAATCCCCCAAAAGGATTTTTTGTTGGAATTTATTTAAAAATAATTATTTCTAATTTTTAATTAAAAACAACCTTATTAAAGTTTTATTAAAACATTTTAAATTCTGACAATATTTTTAATTCTAAAATCATTTCTTAGCTTTATTTCGGATATTTTCATTTAAGGAAGAATTTTAAAGTTTTGAAATAATAAAAAATATATAGAGTGTAATACATGTTTGGATATACAAAAATATTTGGAGTAAAATATTATTAACATTAAATACTATTTAAGACAATTTTTAAATTTGGAAAGGAAAATATAAACATAATTAATTAAACTTTTAATTCCTTAATTATTCTTTAAATTCTTTTTTCTTCCTTTTTAGATTTCTCTTTTTTTGCTCATTTATTTAAAATATTTTCTTTTAATTTATTCAACAAAAAATGGAAGAAGAATTTATAAAAGAAGATAAAGAAAGTATTGAAGGCATTGGGGAAGGTGAACCTGAAGAAGGGGAAATTATGGATGATGAAGAAGAAAAAAATCAGATAATAATTAAAAAAGAAGAAAAACAACAAAAAGAAATAAAACAAAAAATATCAGAATCAGAAAAAATAAAAGAAAATAAAGAATCATCTCCAAATCATTGTTCTTCGTTACAATCTTCTGAACAACAATTAAAATCTGAATTTCAAAGGGGAAGTAGTTCTTGGCGGAAATGTAAAATTTTCTTTTGGAAAAAAAATAAAAACTTAAATTTATTCTTTAGCTTTCGGTTTTTCTGGCGGTCATCATGGGGGAAGTGGACGTGGTTCAATTGGTAGTAGTAGATTTTCAAGGGGTGGGAATGATTCAAATGCTCGTTATCGTGATTTTGATGGACGTGTTGCAATGGTAGAGAATTGGGGAGGGGAAGGGGGGAGGGGGGGGGGGTTGAGTAAATTTCGAGGGAAAATTGAGTTGATAAACTTCGAGGGAATTTTAAAAAATAATGAAAATGATGAAGAGAAATAATAAAAATAAAAAAAGAAAAAATAAAAAAAGAAAAAATAAAAAAGAAATTTAGAAATAAATGAATAATTATAAAAGAAATGAGGGAAAATAAAATCGAGAGAAAATATTTAAATATAAAAAATAATTAATTATTGGGGGAAATTTTTAAAAAATATATCCCTACCCTACATACATATTAAAAAAAATTATTTCAAATTTTTCTTAGAGAAATAATGACCAACAAGAGGAAGAAATGCTTGATTCCTGGAATGCTTGTATTCGTGGAGGTGTTCATAACCCTCATCATTACAATTCTCGTCGAGGAGGTCGAATGAATTCCCCATCTGGTGGAGGGGATATATCCCCAATTAGAACATCACCAATGATTGAAGAAGACGAAGAAAAAGATTTTAGTAAATCTTCGGAACAATTGCCATTAAAAAAACAAACAGAAATTTCTGTAACCCAACAACAACAAATTGATGATGATAAAGATTTTAGAGGAATAGATTCTAATACAATTGAAAGTCCATCTCCGCAAGATAAACAAAGTCCTCATCTTCAACATTACTCAGATGATAATGATTTTCGACGTTCTTCTATTCAACAATCACATTTTAATCGCCAAACATCACCTTCACTTGGATTCTCAGAAGAGAGACAATTTGAAGGAAATAAAAGGTAAAAGAATGAGAGAAAGAGAGAGGGGGGAACAATAAACTGAAAGTCCTGCGGAATGAGGGACAGTGCAATTTAAGTTGTTGGTTTACTAATTAAATCGTAAACAATAATGCAATACGGTATTGTTGTTTATGATATTAACCTTTCAGGCTTGTCAGGAGTTGAAATTATTGTTAAATAATTATGTATAGCAAATTGTTTCTGTTTATTTTTGATCAATCTCTCAAACATTTTTTAATCAAAAATTAAAATCACTTTTTTTTACATTTTATTTAAGACGTCATCGCTCACAAAGTCCACCAGTTAATATTTCTGCCAGATCACAATTCCCGCATGAATCAGAAGATTTTGATACTCCTTATGGAAATGCTGCAAAACGTTATCGTCCATTTTATGGAAGTGGGGGGCCGCCTGGTGGAGATGGATTTCAACAAAAAGATGAAAACTTTGATGTAAATTTTCAATTTTTCTCTTTAATTTTTGATAATTTCCATTTCAGAATTTCCCTCCATACGATGAAAATGGTCCTTGGTCTTCTCGGCCACACAGAGGTGGTGAGGAAGGGGATTACCCTCCCCAATTTTATTCTGGAGGAGATAGAGGTGGAAGAGGAGGACGAACACAAGGATGGGGTTATAGAGGTGGACGTCCATTCTTTCCCCGCTTAATTTGCAAATTCTTCCGTGAGGGGTTTTGTCGTGATGGTGATCAATGTACTTTTAGTCATTTAACTGGTGATTCTCATCGTCGACCAGAATTATGTAGATATTACCAACAAGGATATTGCAAAAAGGTTTTTATATTTATTTTTAAATAAATATTTGGAATTTTGAAGGGACTTTTTTGTCAATTAATGCATGGTGAATGGCCTTGTAAAGCTTTTCATAAAGGAGAATGTTCTAAAGAACAATGTACTTTTTTAATTTTTTTAAATTTTAATTATCAATTTTTAAAGGTTCTTTCTCTCACGAACCTTTGGACGATGTTAGCAGACCAATTATGGACAAAGTATGTATTTCATTAAATTTTTGATATTTTTATTTCAATAAAGATACTCGAAGAAGAAAAACTTGGATTAACACGTCCACCACAACAACAGCATCCACGTTTTGATGTTCCACAACAACAAACTCCACATATGGGTAGAGGTATTCGTCCATTTTTTCGTCCACGCTTCCAAGGGCCCTATCATGATCAAATTGGTAGTCAGAATTTCCCTCAATCGCAAGGCCCACAGGCACCTCAGGTATTTTTTGAAATTTATTTTTTTTTATTTTTAAATAAATATTAGCGTCAATTCCATCGTAATCCACATCAACAAATTGGGTTGGGTGCTCCACAGCCGCCTCAACAACAACAACAGCCATTCTTTAAGAAGCAACAACATCCAATGAATGAAAGTTCTATTCCTGGACATCCACTTTCACCTGAAAATTTACATCAAGGATCTTCTGAAATAAAGTAATTTTTTGAAATGTTAACAAATTTTAATTTTAAGTGTGCTCAATGAGGAAACTGGAGGAATATGTTTACAGCAACAACAACCTTCAATTCCTCCACCAGGACTTGTTATGCCTCCGCCCCTAGGTTATTATTAAATTTAATAAATTTCATGTATATTCAAATCTTTCTAATTATTTTAATTATTACAAATTTCATTTAAATTAATTATACACTGGTGGAAAAAAGTATTGATCTCTATGTTTTTTTTTCTTTCTTCTTTCTTCTTTCATTCAAAAAATACGTTCTATATATCAATCGAAAGCTCTATCTGTATCTCAGTTGACATGTTTCTGCATTTTTCGAAATTCTGACATTTTCGAAAAATTTTCGACCGGTCTAACAGGTACTACTTTTTCAACTTTTCGGAGAATTTTTTTTGAGGTCTTTAAAAAATATATGTGATTCTCCTCTAGATTCTACATACAATACAAAAAAATCAACCAAATCGGTCGAGATTCAACCGAGTTATGAATTTTTGAAAATCGAAAAAACACGATTTTTTGACGAAAAATGGCAATCGGTCGAGATTCAACCGAGTTATGAATTTTTGAAAATCGAAAAAACACGATTTTTTGACGAAAAATGGCAAAAATATGGTGTTTTTTCGATTTTCAAAAATTCATAACTCGGTTGAATCTCGACCGATTTGGTTGATTTTTTTGTATTGTATGTAGAATCTAGAGGAGAATCACATATATTTTTAAAGACCTCAAAAAAATTTCTCCGAAAAGTTGAAAAAGTAGTACCTGTTAGACCGGTCGAAAATTTTTCGAAAATGTCAGAATTTCGAAAAATGCAGAAACATGTCAACTGAGATACAGATAGAGCTTTCGATTGATATATAGAACGTATTTTTTGAATGAAAGAAGAAAGAAGAAAGAAAAAAAAACATAGGGATCAATACTTTTTTCCACCAGTGTAAATGTTTAATATAATTTTAAATTTTACGGTGGTGGAAGTCCTCTTCCTTTGCCTGCAAGTTCATCATCATCGGCTACTTTTGGGTTCTTTAATCCAGTATCAACACAAACAACGCCTTCCAATCAACCTCCCCAACAATCACAACCTCCTCCATCATTTCAACAATTACAACAACAAGTCCATCAAGTTGCTGGCCCACATTTTCCTCATCAGCCTTCTTTGCTTGGTCCTTCGAGTGCTGCTGCACAGGCACAAGCAATGCTTACAGCAATTCTTCAGCAGTCACAACAGACTGGGTCTACGGTAGGATATTTTATCCAATTTTTTATTTTTGTTTGACTGGGTATTTTTAATTCTTCGTTTGTTAAAATTAGAGACCGGATTTTATGCATTATAAATTTTGCATTATAAAATTAAATTTTTTAAACAGTCAGCAAAAGGAGCTTTTCGAGATAATTCACTACAACGTTCTCCTCCTCCACCTCCTCCTCCAAAAAAGAAAGAAGTTCCTCAATCAAATATGGAAGATCAACAACAATTAATTACTAAAACAGAAATAGAAGAAATTGAATTAAAACCAGCAATAAATACTGGAGGATTTAATATAAACCAAATGCTTGAACAAATAACTAAACAAAATAGCCCTCCCCCTCCACAACCACCTATTGCCATAACAAATGTTAAACGAGAGGAAACAAATACTTTGGATTTACTTGCAAATGTTGAACTTTCGGATTCAACAACAAATATTGTTGAAGGTTTTTATAAAAATTATTTTAAAAATTAAAAAAAAATATATAAACTTAAACTCAAATAATGAAAATTTGTCTTTTACCTTTTTTAAAAGAAATATTCAAAAATTATTTTAATTCTAATTTGAAGAGTCACCCGCTTCTCCTGTTTTTGCTTCTGAACAACAACAAGAAAATGAAAACAAACCTGCAGCTTTAATTCCAGTAGTTCGTGAATGGAAATTACATTTAGTTGATTTGTCACCATTAACTGAGTGTTCTGATATGCATTTCGATATAAAATTAGTTCAGGTATATTTTTTGTTTAAATTTTAAATATTTTTGTTTTTAGCAAATTTCTTCATCCAATTCTGATCCACGTTTACGGAAAATTGCAGAAAAACAATTTGATTTAGTTTCGAAAACATTGGAACAACAACAAGCAAATCAACAAAAAAATAATTTTAATGAAGGAATATTTGCTCCAACAGAACAAATTAAAAAGGAAATTGAAAAACGTGAAGCTATCAGTGATGTTAATTATGAAACTGGATTGCAAGATCCGCGTACAAAAGATCCTCGAAGAAAGCGGGAAATATCTGGGTAATTTTATTTAATTTTTTTCAACAAAGAGACATTAATAAAATCTTAAATTTTAGAATATCTTCAACATCTTCTTTAGATGAGGCGGAATTAGTTAAAAAGCAAATGGCTGCATTAGAGGCAGCTGCTAAACAACAACAGAATTGTGAACAATCCTCTCAATTGTTTTCGACACAATTAGGTATTCGTCAACAATTGGGGTTACCTCCACCTACTATAAACTTTCAATTACCACCACCACCTGCTTTTTTACCGGGTAAATTATTTAAATTTTTTTAAATTAAAATATATTCTAAAGGAAATCCAATGGGAAATCAATTTTTTACTGTTCCTCCTCCCTTTTCATTGCAACAACAACAACAATTACCACAAAATTTTTCTACGCCTCCCCCATCAACATACCAACAAATCAATCAAATTGTAACATCTTCCCATCAAAACTTAGAAGCTCAAACATTTAATACCGAACAATTACCTTGTTCTTCTTCAATTGATCCATCTAAATCTTCAAATAGTTCTTTTGAAAAAATACATTCTGAAACTTCGTCTTTTCCATCATATCAATATTCTAGAGGTTATTTCATTAATATTGAATCTGACGGGCAGCATTTTTTCCTCCCCAAGTTTTTCTATCAACTTACAGAATACAGCTTCCTTTCTTCAATCCCAATTTTCCTTTCTTCCATCCAAGGGGGAATAAAAAATTAAAAAAACAAACAACTTTTTGATTGTTTATAGGCAAAATATAGAAAGACAATTAGGACGGAAGAAAGAAAAAAGTCTGACCATTCTGTAGATATATAGGGAAAAACTTGGCGAGGAAAAAATGGGGTTTTTCAGTTTCAATATTACCGTCATTTCTTTTTCTAAAAATTTTTAAATTATTTCTTTAGGTTATCGTGGAAGGCGTGGAAGATATTCTTCTAATTATCACCACCACCACCACCAACAACATTATCGAGAACATAATCAACAGAATATTAGAAGGTCAGAATCTCCACCAAAACAACAACAACAGGAAGAAAATGTTTCTACTTCATCAACTATCAGCCTTCGAGAAAAACGAAAAAATAATGAATATGAATCGCCATTAGCTAGAATGGCTAATAATAGATATTGAGACTATTTATAAAAAAAATAAAAGAAAAATTTAATAAAAATAATTATTATTCCTTTTTTGATTTGGAATTTTTACTTCAATCAATGTTTTTATGTACTTATTTGTAGCAAACATTGAATTATTCAGATCTGGTCATGGATACGGATACAGATAATATCAAAATGCCTGCGGATATGCGCCTGTATCCGCCGTAAATATCCGGATACGGATACTAAGATCAGTATCCGTGACCAGGTCTGGAATTATTTAAATATATTTTTATTGTTCTTTTTTTTGCCGGTAAAATACCTTTTTTGTTTATTTAAATAATTAAATTATTGGTAAATAATTAAAACCATTTTTTTTATTTTTCATTTCTCTTCAAAAATTTTTTAGAAATTATTTTTTAAATGTCAATGGATGTTCCACAAATTGACAGAAATGCTGTTATTTTTGAATTAATTCCACCTTCTTTAAGAGACGAAAATTCGTCAATCGCTGCCGATAATTCTGAAGACGATAAGTTTTTTGAAATTACAGCACAGGATGTGGCGAATATGCAAAAACTTTTAACTGAAAAAAGGTTTTTTTAATTTTAAAATGAAAATATAAATTTATTTTTTAAAAAATAGTAACAATGAACAAGCATTAATTCCTCGAAAATATTTGGAAGAACAAAACAAAAAACAACGTGAAAATGCTTGGAAGAATTGTGTTATTCGTTTTAAACTTTTTGGAAAATATATAATACAAGCATTATTTTTATCTATTGAACCAGGTTTTTTAAAAAATAATTTTAAAATAAAATAATTTTTTCAAAGTTTCTAATATTTTTGATTTTTTAATTGAACATTTATTTATTGGAGAATTTCAATTAAAATATTTAATGAAAAAATTGGAAAATAATCAAATAAATCTTTTAAATTCGAATATTGCACCTAAAGCTTGTATTGTTATACATCCAATTAATAATTTAATTAATTTTAATTCCTTGGATGAATTGTTAAAAAGTACAAAAAATATTAAAAATATTTCTGAAGAAGAAGCTGAATTAATTAGTAATCAATGGTTGGTTGGTTTTGTTTATTTAGATTTATTTAGGGGCAATTTAAATATAAACACTTAAAAAAGGTTTTTTAGAACAAAGAAAAGTTTTAAAATCTTTAAAGGAATAGAGGGCATCGAGAGTTATGGTACACAAGCACAATACCGGGCCATTAGTTTTAACACGAAGACCTTTTCAACCTTCTAAAAAATAATTTTCTTTATTTTTAGGTTATCAAATAATTCAATTTACCAACCACAAAATTATTTAATTGGAGAAAACAATTTAATTAAAAATATTCAAGAAGAAGACCCTCAATTAGATAAAGATATTATAAAACGAAAGAAAGCAAGAGAAAATGCTCCTTGTTTACCAAAATGGTTTAAAAAGAAATAAAAATATTTTTTAAAATCAAAATTGTATTTATTTAAAATTTTATTTTATTTAAAAAATAAATAATTATTCTCTATTAATTGTTTTTGTTTTGTTTTCCCTTGTCTGGCAGCAATTTTCAAATGTTAAGTATTACCGAAAATAGATCGATAAACTATTTTGATAATCGGAAGGAAAAAAAGACTATTTAAGAATTAAAAATATATTTTTCCCTTTCCCTCCCCTTTGTTTAAAAAAATTTAAATAATTTTTTAAAATAAAAGTAAAATATTTTTTTTTTCAAAAATTAAAAAAATTATTTAAAAATGACTAATAATCATTCACAAATTATCCGTCGAATTACTAGACGTTCAAGTAAGTTGAAAGAAAATAAAAGTTTTATTGAATTAATTTTAATATCCGGATCTGAAAAAAGAGACCGAATTTTGAATATATGGGGATTTTTGAGGATATGCAAACCTTACGCATCAATTCTGTTAATGCTGGTTCACTTCCAGCCTCCTTAAAATAACCTTTTAACCTAAAAGAGAAATATATACTTTGTTAAATTATTATTATTAGATATTCGGCGTGTTTTTCAGAGATTAATTAAAATATTCAAAACACATTTACTTTTATCCTTAACTATTTCTTCTGTTTTTGTTGGATTAATTATTGGATTTGCTTTGCGTGGAATGAATTTAAGTCAGGAATCTGTTCGATTAATTAATTTTCCCGGTTTTTTTTGTTAAAATTATTTTTAAAAATCTTTTTGAAGGAGAAATATTTATGCAAGTTTTGAAGTTAATGATTTTACCTTTAATTTTTTCTTCTCTTGTTTCTGGTTTTTAATTTTCTCTTTTTTTCTAAAATCCTTTTACATATTAAGCATTAGCACAAATGGATGCTAAAGAATCTGGTCAAATGAGTTTATTTACTGTTGGGTATTATGTAATAACTACTTTATTTGCTACTATGGTAGTTGAATTAAATAATTAAATAATTAAATATTTATTTAAAGACAGGTATTTTACTTGTTTTGGTTATTCATCCAGGTGATCCAGCAATTAAACAAGAATTGGCTTATTTGGAAATTCAACATAATCCAATTTCCCCTTTAGACACATTTTTAGATGTTATTAGGTAAATTTAGTGGAGGGAAAGGAGAGAATATTTTAATTAAAAGGAATATGTTCCCAGAAAATGTAATTCAAGCAACAATGCAAAGAACACAAACAAAATATTATTTTCCATTAAATAAAAGGACTGGAAATAAAAAACAAGAAAATTCATCGGGAAATGATTTTAATTTAATTTATAGGAAAAAAATAGAAAATATAAATGGAATGAATATTTTAGGTAATTTTAAAGGGGAAATTTAAATAAAAGAATAAATTTTAAAAGGAATTATTGTTTTTTGTACTGGATTTGGAATTGTTATATCTCAATTGGGGGAAAGGGCTAAAATTATTGTTGAATTTTTTATTATTTTAGAGGTAAAAAAAAAGAAAATAAAAATTAATTAATTTAAAAAGGCAGTAATAATGCAATTAGTTGGAATATTTATGTGGTTAACACCTTGTTTGTTTTTCTTTTAAATAAATAAATTAATTAATTTTTAAAGTAGGAATTGTTAGTTTAATTGCTGGAAATTTACTTGAATTAACTAATGTAAATTTAAAAAAATAAAATTAAAATTTATTTAAATTTAAAGTTAAGCGATACAGCAGCAATTTTACTTCTTTATGTTTTTACTGTTTTAAGTTCTTTATTTATCCACACATTTTTAACAATGCCTCTAATTTATTTTTTATTTACAAGAAAGAATCCTTTAAAAGTTTTTTTAATTAAAAATAAATTTAAAATTAAAAAAGGTTGCTAAAGGAATGTTACAAGCTTTGGTTACTGCTTTTGGAACGGCTTCTGGAGGGGCTGCTTTGGTAAACAAAATAATTTTTTTAGTCCTCTTCCTTCCCTTTATGCTTATTACTTTAATATTATTTTTGTTATACTCTTAAAACTTTGAGAAAACTTTTTGTACAAAAAATCGAATGAAGACAATTTTGTCTGAACAGTACAAAACAGATTGTCAAAGTTTATTTGAGCATAATTTAATTCAAATTTATTCAATCTTAATTATTTTAGTACTAACCAACTCGTCTCAATTTGATTCATTGAAATAGCTTGAATTTACTACCTAAAAAGTCTTAATTCATTTTTTTTCGTTTTAGGATATCCATGCCAATTTTTATCCAAAAAATAATTATAAGGTGTCCATTCTTTTTTATTAAAAATTTTCTCTAAGTTTTATGAGTAAAAAAAGTGGGGAATTATTTGATTAGAGAAAATTTATTTTAAATTTGTTTAAATAATTAATTTAAATTTAAAAAGCCTGTTTCGATGCGTTGTATGGAAGAGAATTTAAATATAGACAGTCGAATTACTCGTTTTGTACTTCCTTTAGGTTCAACAATAAATATGGTAATTAATTAATTAATTTTTAAAAATTAAAATTAAAAAAAGGATGGAAATGCTTTATACGAAGCTGTTGCTGTTATTTTTATAGCCCAATTAAATAATGTAACTTTAACTTTAACAGAAGTAATTACTGTTAGGTAATTAATATATTTAATTTAAAATTAATTAAAAAAACAGTTTTATAGCCACAATAGCCTCTTTAGGTTTAAATTCTGTCCCTGCCGGTTTAGTCTCTATTTTTGTTATTTTGTCGACTGTTGGTTTGCCTGTAAAAGATATTCCTTTAGTTATTACTGCAGATTGGCTACTTGACAGAATTAGAACGAGTATAAATGTTTTGGGGGATGCTTTTGTTGCTTCGACTGTTAGTCATTATTTGGAATTAAAATTAAAAGAAACTGACAACAAATATATTAAAAATGAAGAAAAAAGAGAAGAATTTACTAATGATTTAAAAAAACAATTAAATAATAATCCTTTAATTAATAGTAGTAGACATCATTCACAAGATAATAATACACAAGTAAATATTTGTAGATCTTTTAAATTTATTTATTTTTTAAGTTAATTAGTTGGCAAGAACAAGCAATGATTGACAGATTGTGTGGAGATATAACTTTAAATAAAGTTATTCATATTTAAAAAATAATTAAATTTTGTTTTATTTAATCCTCAATAAATTTTTTAAATTATTTTTTCCCTCTCAATTACATTTTTTGGTGTGTAGATAACTTTTTCTTTTTAAAAAAGCGTGTATTTATTTGTTTGTGTGTATTAAATAGTTGTGATTGAACGATTTTGTTAGGAAGAAGAAAAGGATTATTAGCTCGCCACCATTTTTGTGATGGTCAATTGAATTGAATAAATGGATGGATTGGGGGGAGGGGATGGATGGATATATTTTTATTTTTGTTTAAATATTTTTTTATTTTCACCACAAAAGAAAGACGATCAAAAAACTAAAAGAAGATAATCATTTAATGTTTTGGAGGAGGATAAATTAGTGGAACAGGAAAAAAAGTGAGAGAGAAAGGCCAGTAAATTGGACAGAAGAAGAAAATGGTTTGAATAGTGGACAACAAACACAAAATAATTTATTTGGTAAATTTTGAAAATTAAAAAAAAATAAATATATTTTTAATTTTGATTTCCAAAATTTCCAAATTTTATTGTTACATTCGACAAAATATTTGCAATCCTAACCAATTAAATAAATTTTTTTTTAAATTTTAATTTTGGAAATAATTTTTAAAAATCCAAATAAATCTCCAGTTTTTAATATAAAATAAATAATATTTTATTTTTATAAAAAAAGAAATGTTCTTCTTCTTGTTCCTCTTTTTAATCAAAACATTAAATATTTATGCCCAGAAAGAAAATAATATTTTTTCTTCTTCCCAACAACCAAATATTAATCAACAACAACAACAATATCCAGATATTTCCCCTTTACTTTTTGTTTGTTTTTGTTTAAAATTAATTTAATTAATTTTTAAAGCAAAATACAAATATCGGGAATGGAGGGTTCTTTGTTAGAGTAATGCCTACAGGATTGGCTTATTTAAGAGAAATTGGAATGAAAGTAGTTAATGACGAAATATTTAAAATCAAGTATAAATTAATTAAAATTAATTTTAAATTATTTTTCTTTTTTCAAAGTTTACCAACAATTACAGAAACAATTGATTCTGGACAAGTAATTTAAATTTAAAAATAATTTTAAATTAAAAAGGTTTCAATATTTGGTGCTTATGTCTCAAAATATTGGCCCCCAGTTGATTATTCTTTAGATTTAATTACTCCAGATACTTTTACTTGGAGAATGAGTAAAATGCATTTACGGTAGTTTTTGGGAGAGAAAAAGGAAAGTGAAGTAAATCTTTTTTTAAAGTTCAAATGGAAATTTTGAGGCTCGTTTAAATGGGGCTTTACTTTTACCTTCTGTACCTATACAAGGTATTTAGAGGGGAAAAAGAAAATTAATTTTTATTTAATTTAAAGGCCAATTTGAATCATTACTTGGACATTTAAGTTTAAGTATTTCTGTTAAAATGTTTAGGTTAATTAATTATTTTTAAATATTTTAATTTTTAATTAGTTAGAAATTTACAAGGATCCCCCCAAGTTCAATTACTTTTTTGTGCTGCCCAAGTTGGCTATGTTGATTTAAATGTTCGGAATAGCGGGGTTATTACTGATTTTTTTATAAGTAATTATTTTAATTTTATTTTTAAAATAATTATTTATTTTTTAGATACTTTTAAAGCATTTTTAATTGCACATTTTAAGGTACTAAATTTAAAAATATTTATTTATTAATTAAAAATAGCCAACAGTAGAACAGCGTATATGTCAGATGATTGAGGGAATAATAAATAATGATTTAAATTCAATACTTTTAACAATGCCTTTAAAAATTAGAATAAATGAACATCAATTAGATTTAATTGGAAAAAGTTTTGGAATAAATACAGAAGAAAATTTAAATAAAAAAAGAAGAAATCGACGACAAAGAATTCCCCCTCCCCCAAAACCTCCCCCAAAACAACACCAACAATTATTTAATTCCTCTTCCTCTTCAATTAATTTATTAAAAGAAGCATTTCCCTCCAATTCTTCTTTACTTAATTTTATTTCAAATTTACAAAATAAAAATTTAATTTTAAATTTTGCATTAATTGACAGTCCTTTTGTTAGTCAAGTAAATTTAAAATTTAATTAATTTAAAGAGAAATTTAATTAACAAAAAAGGGAACAATAATGATAAAATCTTTTGGAGAAATTTCATTTAACGGAATTGGAGAAACTCCTTTTTTTGCTCCAAATGTTTTAATTCCTCAACCACAAGGTGTGCATATGGCTGAATTTTTTGGGACTGATTATATTGGTTCTAATTATTTGTTAAATTAAATTTAAATATTTTTAAAAGCTAATTCAATGCTTTATCATGCATATAAACAGAAATATATGGATATTATTGTTGGACCTGAAGTAAATAATTTTTCTTTCACTTTTCTCTCTTAGCTCATACTTTTTAACCATTTATTTTTTTTAATTTAAATTAATCAAAAAATATTTTAGTTTTTTCTCTTCGTTTACCCCATATTTTTTGAATTTATTTTTCCAAAATCCAATCCTTTCCAAAATTTATTTTTAAAAATATTTTTTAATTTTCAAGTCATCACCTCGTTTAAAAGATATATTAAAAACAACTTGCCAAACAGGTTTTTGTATTGGAGAATATTTAGGTTCATTGGGACATCAATTCCCCGACCGAGAAGTTGAAATTCATTATTCTGCCAAAAAAGCCCCAATAATGGTTTTTGTGGAAGGAAAAGCTCGTTTTAGATTACACGGAAAAATGGATTTAGTTAGGCAGTTCTTTAAATTTAAAATAAATAATCTAAAAAAATTAAAGTTTGTACGTCCAAAAAATATTACACAACAAAAAGAACAAATTCTTCGTTCAGAAACTACATTGACTTCGAATGTAAATTTATGGATAGAAGTAAATTACTTCTTTTTTTCTCTAATTATTTTTAATTTAAAAGAAAACACAAATATTGGGAAATGCAAGTGTCGAAAATTTAGATTTTCGTTTAATTGAGGCAAATATTCACGATGTCGACCAAAATACATTTGGAGATTTGGGACTTTTTGGAGCAGAATTTTTAGAAAAACTTTTAACAGAAATACTTCAAATGGGGTTAATATTGCCTTCAATGAAAGGAGTTGTTTTGAGAAGTCCAAAGTAAATTTAAATATTTTTAAATTTAAATTAAAAAAAAAGATTATCAATTCATGAACGTTATGTCAAAGTACAAACTTATTTTAAATTGGATGAATTATATGCTAAAAGATTGGTACAAGGAGCTGTTAGACAAACATTATTAAATATTGGACGTTAATTTAAATTAATTTATTAATTGGAGATTTTAAACTAGAATCTTTATTAATTTTAAAATATATTAATGTTCTAAATGTTTTAGAGCAATAGAAAAAATTGTGGCGCGAAACTTGCAGACCCCAAGAAAAGAGGATTGAAAATTTATTTTCGTAATTTTTTAAATTTAGCCTATGCAAAAGTTTGGAAATTCTCATGTACCCTTCGTGCATACCTTATTTTTCCCTATTATTCGTATAAAGGTATGAGTATGAATTTTGCTACAAACTTCCAAACACTACCCAGGGTGGAGCCAAAACGGATACCCGATTAAAACCAAATTTCGGGCCCCGCAAATTTCAGCGTGCCTCCAAATTCCATTTATTTAAAATTCTTTTTATTATCTTCATTGTGTAAAGGTATATTTAATTGGCTTTTAGCACAAACCCACAAAGCATCAAGTAAACGTGTTAAGCCTGTATCTTTTGGGCGTTCCAGCCCTCTTTGTTTTCTTTGTTTCATAATTAAAATAAATTCTTTTTGAGATAATTCCCCATCCTTTAAATATTTTTAATTTAAATTTATTTATTTAATTTTACCCCATTTTCATCAAATAATGTCACAACAATATCAACAACTGTATCACTTAATTCAACATTTGTTATTTTACTAGCCACTCTCTAAAAAAGAATTTAAAAAAATATTTTAAATTTAAATTTAAAAATTACTTTAATTAATTCTTTAGAAAGTGGTTTTCCTGCTAATTTGTAAAAATGTAAAGCCAAATCAACTTTATCAATATGATAAATAAAAGCAAAAAAATTATCAACTTCTTCGAAAGAAACACCCTTTTATAGTAATTAAAATAATTTTCAAAATATTATTGTGTTTATTATCTCTTCGCATTTTTTCCTTTTATTTTATTCTTTCCTTCCTATAATAAAACAACAAATTTGTTGTTGTAAAAGGAAAAATATTAAAAATTGTTTAATTTTATAAATTTGAATAATCCAAGTCAATTGGTTATATAGTAGTTTTAATCCAAATTTTTATATTTTGTCGATTAATGTTCCAAAAAATCTTTGTTTCCAATATTCAATGACAAATTAGTCATTTGTAATTTTTAGGAGAAAAGAAAAAAATGCGAGAATAATCCAAATAAACTAATTTAAATATTTACCTTTTTATTAACTATTTCTTTTCTATATTTACGTTTTACACGTTTAAGCATTCTTTTTTGCCGTTTTTCTGGTAAATCAGAATGTATCATTAATAATTGAGCAAATGAGACCTTTTGAAAGGAATATTAAATAAAAAATAAAATCTTTAAAAATAACCTCTGATATAATTCCAACAGGATCAGATTCTGGATCTCTTCTTTCAAATTCTATCTAAAAATTAAAAAGAATTAAAATTCATTTTTAATCTTTACCTTTAAAATATCATAATGTAAATTCTTCTAAAATAAACAAATTTTATTAAAAAAATATTTTTTAAAATTTACTTGAAATTCTAAAAATTCATCAATATTTAATTTCTGTAAATTATCATAACCAAAAAAATGTCTTGTAATTGCCTAAAAATTAATTAAATTAATTAAAATATTCAAAAAAAATTACTGAATGCTTTCCCGATTTTGTAAAAGTTCCAGCCCCAGTTATGTGATCTCTATGTCTTTGTCCAATATTTGATTGACTTAAAATTAATTCTTGAACACGTTCAAATTCCTTTAAAAATTTCTTTTCTTTTTTAATTTTCCAAGTCAAAACCTGTCTATCCAATTCTCCGTCTCCATTTAAATCAAAAACATAAAAAGCTAATTTAAATTCACTCGGAGAAGCTGAAAAATAATTAATTTATTTTTAATTTTTAAAAACCAGAAAGTAAAGTCATCAAAAAAAGATAATCTCCAAAATTAATTAACCCTCCATTATCAGATAACCAATTAAAAATATTATTTTTATTTTTTCTTTCCAAAATCTTCAAAATTATTTTTTTAATATTTTAAATTTTTAACCTCATTTGTATTAATTATTTTATATTTATCCAATCCATATTTTCTTGGCTGCATTACTCCTCTAAAATAAAAATTTTAACAAATTTATTTAAAAAACAAAAACGGTGTTAATGAACGGACAAAATCTTCAGGTGTCATAAAAATATCAAAAGTCCCATCTTCATTAATTAATTTAATTGTGGCAAAATAACGAAAAATTTTATCTGGAGAGGAATATGCACGAAGACGGTCCTTAAATTATTTAGAAAAAAAATAATTATTTTAAAAATTAAAACCTCATAATGAATTATTCTTCTCTCTCTAAATCCAATTTTTTTCTTCTTTTTCTTTCCAACAATTGAACATTCATCGGCTTTTTCATTAACTTTTATTATTTTTTAAATATTAAATATTTTTAAATTTTTCTATTAATTTTTAACAAAAACAAACTTTTTCTTTTATTTTTATATCATATATAAAAATATAATAATTAAAGCAATAATTACAAGCATAATAGAACCTGCAACAAATAACTCATTATCATCCTCAAAAGGTAAAATTATTGGTTGATTAATATTCTCCTCGTTAATTTTTTCATCTTCTTCTTCTGCAGCTTCTGTTTTAAAATATTTGTCATACATTCTTCGACCATTGTGCCAAAACCTTTAAAAAAGAATTTAATTTAAAAAAAATTAACAAAAAATAACCAATTAAAGTCAACAAGAAATATAACCAACAAAATATTTAGTGGAATAAGATAATAAGGTAACATTTGACGAAAGGCAGTTTTTATAAATGGACGGTTTGCATAATGAGTATGAGCTTAACAAAAATATTTTTAAAAAAATAATTTAAAAAAAAAACCAAAATCAACATATCCTTTTCCAGATTTTCTGTCACTATAATGCTGCAAAGTTTCAGCAGAAACACTTCTCGATCCAAAAATTGTATATTTAAAAGGATGTTCTTCAGGCCATTTTTTATCACGCAAACATTTTGCCTAAAAATTTAAATTTTCAAAATTTATTTAAAATAAAATTAACTTCTTCCTCAATTTCTTTTTTCGTTCGAATTCCACTTCCTGGCCAATAAATCTTTCCATCATTACGACCCCTTAAAGTACATATCTTAATTCTTGGGGCTATTCTAAAAATTATAATTGTTTTTGTACTCGTTTGGCAAAACAAATTCATTAAACCTTTAAAAAATATTTTTTCTGTTAAAAAAAATAAATTTTAAAAATATTTAGAAAAAATAAAAATTATATAAAATCAAAAAATAAAATATTTAACAATTTATGAGATCTAATAATCAAATTGTACAAAAATTATATAAATAATTTATGTTTTGTTGTTTGTTTCATTAATTAATTCAGGACTAACAAATTTAGTTAAACATTCCTAGAAAAATTTAAAAATAAAATTTAAATTTATTTTAAATTCTTTACATGAACAGCTAATTGAATTTCTTTCCTTTTTATTTCATTTGAACAATTTATTAAAGTTCGGCGACCTCCTTGAATTATTCGAATACGAGCAGAATAATTTTTCTTTAAAAAATAATTATATATAAAAAATAAAAATACTTACAATAATTAATGTTTCTTCATCTCCCGTCTAAAGAAAAACAATAAAAATTAATTTTAAAAGTTCCTCTATAATACCTGAATTAATTCACATTGAAATTCACGTTTTTCTAATAATTCTTTAAATGTTGCAACATTTAAACGTCCAATAAATTTTTGTTTTGAAATTTTATTTTCATTTTTGTTTATTTTTGAATTAAACTTTTTTAAAAATAAAAATTATTCAAAAAATAATTAATTTTACATTAAATTCCAATTGATTATTTGTTGCCGAAATATGTCCTTTTATTGGACATAAACCATCAAACTTTTCTTTTAATTTTAAATGTTTCAAAACTTCATAATCAACTTTAACTCTTTTCCAAGGAATACAAGTTGGTAAATCTTCATTTTCTTTTCTTTTTAATAAAATTTGTTTTGTTTGGGTATTTGAAATTATTTTTAATTTAAATTCTTCATTTTGTTTAAAACAAATAGTTGGAATTGGAAGTGCATTTAAAGTAGAAAAAGAGGAGGAATATTCATCCGGATATAAAACTTGTTTGGGGGACAAATCTTTGATTATCTTTTTTAAAAATAATTTTCTTCAAAAAAATATTTTCTAAAAAAACCTTATTAAAAACTTGATTACAATCCAGACGAGTTTCTATTGGAAAATAATAGGCACGAATTGCTAAAGTTTTGTAGGGAGAATAATAAGTCTCCAAAGGATAATCGGGATCTATCATCATTATTGCATTTTTTGAATTTCCTCCCCAAAGGTCTAATAAATGAACAATTTCCCCAATTCTCAATGATGGATGTCCAGCAAATACAATGGATGGTTGTCGACATTCTTTAGAGAAAGGTCCATGTAAAGAATCATAAACACGAATACGACGGTTACGAAGCATCTAAAAATTTGAAAAGAAAATAAACCAAAAAAAACCTCAGAATGATAAAATGGTTCTTCTGGTTTATAAACCCTCGCCCCTTTATCATCAGAAAGCCATTCAGAAAAAATATTTGCAAATTCTAAACTACTTTCAGCAATCGAAGAAATAAAATAAACAGGAATATTTCGAGAAAGATTATTCTAAAATTATTTTTTAAAAATTAAAAAAGAAAAATATCAATTACCACTTCAATCGCTTTCACAATTATTTCAAATAAATCATAAATAAGTCCAGTCGAAATAACTGGAATAAGAACATTTCCACCAATTTTGAGAGTTTCTACAACAGCCGAAGTGAATTTATATACCTTTAAAATAATTTTTTAAAAATTTTTTGAAAAAAACAAACCGTTATATCCGGACTTTGATCATTTGTGTGAATTGAAGTAAGAATTAATGCATCAAGATTGTTAAAAGAATTTAATTCCATTGGTTTTGGATGGGAAGGACGGAGGGAAGAAGCAGCAAAATACCCTATTTTATGTTGATTTGTAGATAATAGCCAATTACAAGAACCGATAGAATGTCCACTGCTATAAGGGGTTATTCTAAGATCTTCACTTAAAGCCTTAAAAAACAAATTTTAAAAAATAAATAAAAACTATTTTACAATTTCTTGTCGAAAAAATAAAAGTTTAACTCTTTTCATACAATTTTCTATATCAATTCTTTTATAAAAAGATTTCCAAAAATTTGGATCGCTATTTGGAGGATTGGGGAATGAACTTAAAGAAAATTAAAATAAATTTAAATTTAAAAAAAAACTTTGATATATTTTTCCAAGACCATTCATCAATTAAAGGTCTGTCAATTTGTTCAAAAATATCACACAAATCTTCCATTAAAAGTCTTTAAAAATTAATTAAAAATAAATTAAAAAATACTTGCTAAGCTGAACAATTGGTTCTGTAGCATAAACAACACCGTTAAAGCCCGTCCCCTCTGTAATAAAAGGAAGTGCTATAAAACTTGAACTATTAGATATTAAAATAGCATCTAAAGAGGAAGGATCAACATCTTTAAACTAAAAAAAAATAAATTTTAAAAGAAACATTAAAAAGTCCCTTAACTTTAACAGTCCTCATTTCTGGTGTCAATTCAACATAAACTAAATCATTAATTTGTTTAAGTATTGGAATAACATCTTTTCCATATGGATGTACTTTCTTTTGCCAGGAAATTCGATTACTAAAAATTAAAAAAAATTTTTCTTAATTTTTGACAAACCTACGAACAAGTGGACACGGCAAAAAAGAAGTTAATGAATCCATTCCAACAATACAATCCAACAAAACATGAAGATGATCGAATTTAAGTAAAATACATGGTCGGTGTGCATTCCAACTAAGCCATTTCTTAAATTAGAAATTTTTTTTAAATTATTAAAATATATTACCAAATTTATTTCATCACACATTTTTTATTTTAAAATCTAAATTTTTGAATAATATTAATGAGAAAAATGTAATTAATCTGAAATTAAGAAAATATGAATTTTACAAACAATTCTTTTTAAAAGTTAACCCTTTGGGTTACAAAATACCGTATTTATTCTAATAAAATGGCCCCTCCATTAGAATGGCCCCTCCAATAGAATGGCCCCTTTTTGGGGGTAATGAAAAATAGAATGGCCACCTCCATTAGAATGGCCCTCTAATAGAATGGCCCTTTTAACTAATAAGTATATGCCTGAATACATTTCTTTATTTTCCTATTATGTATTAAATATTACTCTTTAGTAAGGATAATCATAATATTTTCGAGCAAATCTGGAGTCATAAAAGGGAGATTAAGAGGGATATTAGGGGATTTGAGAGGATTAGGAGGGATATCAAGAAATTACAACGATTTAATGAAGATGCATGGGATTAAGAGAATTAATAGATATTTATGAATTTGACGATATAAGGAAGTTGGATATAAGGTTGTCGGATCCGGTTCTGATATTGGATCCGGATATCCGAAGATTTCCAACTATCCGACAACCTTAGTCGGATACATTTATTTTATCAGGGGACTTGCAGGGACATAGGATTTTGAGGAATAATGATGGATTGATTGAGATTTGGGATAAAATTCTGGATATTTCAGGACCCTTGAAGACATACGAAAATTTTGGAATTTTTGGTAGTTTAGAATTTTAATTACTAATCAATATCCCTCCAAATCTCTCCCAATTCCCATATATTACGTCCAAATTCCGAGATCCCCGAACTTTTATGAGCAAACTATACCGGAAATTTTGATTGTCTGGCACCAAAGTAAATAAAAAGTTGCCTTTTTGCCAAGCAGGCAAAAGATTTTTATGTTTTATAGTGTTACGAAAAGAAAGATTCACTAACCAAAGTCGAAAATATAGAATTTTACACGAAAAATCGATTAAATTTCGAAGTCAAAAAATATTCGTTCGAACATTTGATTCATCCTATCTCTGATTTTTACCTATGAAAAATAGAATGGCCACCTCCATTAGAATGGCCCCTCCAATAGAATGGCCCCTTTTTGGGGGTATCGAAAAATAGAGTGGCGGCCACTCTATTAGAATAAATACGGTATTTGAAATAAATTAGAAAGGGAGATTAATTTTTGAGAATATATTTTGCTTAAAATTCCCTTATAATTCTACACTGCATAAATTGTCGTCAATAGGAGATTTATTTTATTTTAAACTAAGAAAAAGAAGAAGAGAGAAGAAAAAGTTTTCAACTTATTTTGTATGTCAATTAAGCAAAAAATGCTGTGCATAAATCTATACATTACTACATATGTAAATACAAAAATTATGTAAACTTAAAAAATAAATAATTCTTCTCACTCACTTCTCATTAATTAATTAATTCTAAGAATGTTCATTATTATAAAAATTACTAATATTTATTTTCTTTTATTTATTTTAATTAATTTTTTTATTAATAAAATTAATTTATCAAATGGAGATATTTCTCCATATTTTAATTATTGTATATTTAAATGTAAAGATTTATTTAATTGTCCAGAATTTAAATATTCTCAATTTACTTGGTGGGCTAATGAAAAATGTTTTAAGTAAAAAAGAAATAATTATTTTTAATTTTGAAAAATAATTTAAATTAAAAAAGATGTAGACAAAAATGTATTTGGAATACTGTTGAACATTTTAGAATTTCAAAAAAACAAATTCCAAAATTTAATGGGAAATGGCCTTTTACTCCAATTAAAATTAAAATTGGAAATATTTATTTAGCCAATATACAAGTATTAATTTTTGTTTTTAAATTTAAAAAATCTAATTTTTCATTAGGAACCTGCTTCCACTTTCTTTTCACTTTTAAATGCTTTTTCCTTTTGGAAAATGAAACAAAAAATTAAAAGGAAAATAAAAAATAATTGGAAACATTTAAATAAATGGGTGGGATTTGGAAATATTGGAATAATTACTTGGTGGTTATTTTGTTTGGAATTAAATAAAATTTAAATTTAAAGGATAGCTTCAATTACTTTCCATATTTGTGACCATTGGATAACTGAAATTTTTGATTATTGTGCAGCATTTACTTTAATTTTATATACTTTTTATATTTCTGTTTGTTTTTGTTTTTCTGAATATTTTGAAGAAAAACAAAATATTTTTTTATCAATTGGATTTATTTCTTTTTATTTTGGGTATTTAACAAAAATTTATTCAAAAGTAAATTTTAAAATTAAATTTAAATTAAAAATAATTTAAAGCCTTTATTTAATTATTCATTTCATATGAAATGTTGTATTTTAATTGGATTATTGACTGGATTTATATTTTTATTTTGGATATTTTTTGAATATTTATATTTATATATAAAAAACCCCGACACCTCCCCCTTTTTGGCCGTAAAATTCCTTTCAAAAATTCCGCCGGCCGAAGGCCGGCGGCTGGAATTTTTTGAGTGGTACATTTCTCCTACAACTTTTTACGCTCTATTCAGGAAAAATCTAACCTCGGCACTGAAACGTCTTTTCGCGCTGAAACGGCCATGGGTGGTTTTTCAAATGGAAATAGCGCGGAGGGGTGAAGTTGAATCAAAAAATGCTTGCTGGGAGGATTTTAAGTTGGGATGTGTACTATATCGTAGGAAAAATTTGGGAGGGCTCGGATCAACTCTCCGACCTGTAGCCTCGTGGAAAAATTGTACATCTCGTCCAAAAATGACACATGGTGTCCGACGAAAATCACCTACAATTTACAATCTATATGCCAATCGAAAGAGCTCCATGTGGGGAGTCTGAAAAAATTTGGTTTAATTTTTTCTGACCATTTTGGGCAAAGTTATAGAACGCCAAATGTTCAAAATGTCCAGAACCCCTAACGTGAAGGGTGGCTCCCATCGAATGTAATTATAAAATTGCTTAAGATTGGGCAAATGGTTTCAACTCTTTTTTGGTATCTTAGGGCACTAAATGTACTACAATTTTGTTGGGGGACACTTGAGTCTCGGATTTTTTCCTGACATAGTTATGGGCACCAAAGTGACCTCGCCAAAACCGACTTTTTAACGCGTGAATTGAAACTCGATTTGAGTATCCTATCTTGTAGAGCGTCCCTTGAAACCTCTAAAAATATATACTTTGTTTGGGGTAAACTTGAGTCTGGGAAAGTTATAGGGCAAAAAGTGGCATTTTTGGGGCAAAAAGTGGTCGGTTTTTTTACTATAACTTTTTTTAAAAAATTTTTAAAAATAAACGGACTTCAGATTCGTGTTCAGCACCTATTGTAGTACCATAAAACATATTTTTCTCGAGGTCGAATTTTTGACCCATTTTTGATGTGGGACCCCTTTTGAAAATTTTTGGTGAAATTTAAATCGAGTGTAACTTTGTTCATTTTTGTCGTAGCCAAACGAATTAAGGGGCATAAAATAGATTAAAAAATTACAAATTTTTTGAGCTATTTAAATTTTTTTTAAATTTCACCCGAGGCCTGGTAGTGTCGATTTTTTGAAAATTAAAAATTTTTTGATTTTTTGAAATTTTGTGGGGTATATCGAGGCTGAGGGTGGTTGAATATATTTTTATAAAATAGAGCAGAATTTTTGCTATATATTAAGCTTTTAAAATGTTTCAAAAGGATTTATTTTCGTGGAGTTATGATTTTTTGAAAAATTACTTAAGTTTTTCAGTCGAAATTTTCGGCCGAAAAAATTTTTTTTGGAAAAATCGAAATATAGGGCCAAATGGTATATCAATCGAAAGCTCTCATTGAGCTGAGCTTAAAAATATTTTTTGCAAAATTTTCTGACCCTTTTGTACAAAGTTACAAAATGTCAAAATTTGGGTGTGGGGGGTTTGGGGGTAAAAATCTTGATGTTCGATTTTAAAAAACTCCTGCTCCCGGCCGAAGGCCGGGAGCCTCCTGAAAGTTGTGCATCTCTGGAGCAACTTTTTACGGCGCATTCAGGAAAATTATGACCTAAGCTCTGCGATGAACTCTTGGCACCGAAACGACCAGGGTCACTTCGGTATCTCGAAAAAGTTCAATAGAAACGTGGTAAGGTTTTGCTGGGAGGCGATTGGCCCTCGATGAGTAGATATTGAATAAAAAAAATTTATGTCAAAATGTCAAGGGAAAGTGGCGTTTTGCTTGGATAACCATTTTTAAATGGTGGCATTTTGTCGTGGTCACTGGGTAGCGGTCTTTTGTACAATTTCTCTATCTCGAGAGTGGCTGAACCGATTGAGATGGAACTTGGGGGGTTATATGTAATCGCCCAAGAGAAAATTAATGGGCGTGGTTGTGAGGGGGAGAGTTGAGTCTTAAGGGGCACAATTGAGTCTTGAAAATTTTAAATGATTATAGTGTGAAATTTTTGGGTGATGAGCTTTTCGGTGTAGAAGAGTTATTTGAAGGCATGAGTGTTCCGAACATATTTCATAAGGGACACCTGAGTCTGGGATTTTTTCTGAGTGAGATATGAGTCTTGGGGCGAGACTCAAAAAGTCGACTTTTTAATGCGTGAACCGTAGTTCGGTTTGAGTGTACCAGCTTATAGAGCGTCCTTTGATTTTATAAAAAATATATACTTTGTTTGGGGTAAACTTGAGTCTCAGAAAGATATAGGGCAAAAAGTGGCATTTTTGGGGTCAAAAATGGCCGGTTTTTTGAGTATAACTTTTTTTAAAAAATTTTTAAAAATAAACGGACTTCAGATTCGTGTTCAGCACCTATTGTAGTACCATAAAACATATTTTTCTCGAGGTCGAATTTTTGACCCATTTTTGAAGGGGACCCCTTTTGAAAGGGACCCCTTTTGAAAATTTTTGGTGAAATTTAAATCGAGTGTAACTTTGTTCATTTTTGTCGTAGCCAAACGAATTAAGGGGCATAAAATAGAGTAAAAAATTACAAATTTTTTGAGCTATTTAAATTTTTGAAAAATTTCACCCGAGGCCTGGTAGGGTCGATTTTTTGAAAATTCAAAATTTTTCGGTTTTTTGAAATTTTTTGGGTATATCGAGGCTGAGGGTGATTGCAAATATTTTTATAAAATAGAGCAGAATTTTTACTATATATTAAGCTTTTAAAATGTTTCAAAAGGGTTTATATTTGGGAGTTATGATTTTTTGAAAAATTGCTCGAAATTTTCGGTCTAAATTTTCGGCCAAAAATTTATTTTTTCCAAAATAACAAAATAGGGCAAATGTTATATCAATCGAAAGCTCTCATCGAGCTGAGCTTAAAAATATTTTTTGTAAAATTTTCTGACCATTTTGTACAAAGTTACAAAAGGTCGAAAATTCGTGTGTGGGGGGTCTGGGGGCCGAAGGACCCAAAACGGCGGGCCGGAGGCCCGCCGTGCGAGGGCCGAAGGCCCGAGCTTAAGACCCATCCCAGAACAAATCGCGAGGGCCGAAGGCCCGAGTTTAAGATCCATCCCAAGACGAATCGCGAGGGCCGAAGGCCCGAGCTTAAGATCCATCAAGACGAATCGCGAGGGCCGAAGGCCCGAGTTTAAGATCCATCCCAAGACGAATCGCGAGGGCCGAAGGCCCGAGCTTAAGTTCCATCAAGACGAATCGCGAGGGCCGAAGGCCCGAGTTTAAGATCCATCCCAAAACGAATCGCGAGGGTCGACTGCCCAAGTCAAACTTCTGGGTGTGCGTGGATTGGGGGCCGGAGGCCCGCCGTGCGAGGGCCGAAGGCTCGAGCGTAAGATCCATCCCAAAACGAATCGCGAGGGCCGAAGGCCCGAGCTTAAGACCCATCCCAAAACGAAACGCGAGGGCCGAAGGCCCGAAGCGATAAAAAGGCAGGGCGAAACTTTACCGGCGAGGGCCGAAGGCCCGGAGCAATGAAAAGGCATAGCAAATGTTACCGTTTCTAGCAGCGCGCGAAGCGCGCCCCAAAGCCGTTAGGCTTTCCAACGGGCATAGCAAAATTTTACCGCCAGAGTATCCTAATAGGAATTGCATACGCACTACGCCGCCATACCCCAATGGGCACAACTAGTTAAAAGGAAAGAAAAGAATTTCTTTATTAATTTTAATTTTAACGGTTAGTTTTTTTGGAAATTAATTTAAAAATAATTTCTTCTTTTAAAGTTATTTATTACTCTTATATCAGCCTCTTTCGATGCTTTTTTTGATTTTCCTCCAATTTTTTGGATTTTTGATGCTCATTCATTCTTTCATTTATTTTCTATTCCCATACCTCTATTATGGGCTGAATTTTTATGTTTGGAAGCAAAATTAGATAAACAAAAAATTGAAAAATAAAAGAATATATTTTTACAAAATATTTTTAATTTATTTTTATTTTAAAACAAAAAATATTTTCCAAATAATTTTAAATAACAAAAACTTACAAAATAAATTTTTCTAATTATTTTTAATTTTGCCTTTTTCTTCATTTCCAGCCTTCCATTTAGCAATTCTTTCCCCTTCCCAAAAATCAAAAAGGAAATATGGGCCATTAATTAATAAAGCACCAAAAACAAATGCTGCTGTTGTATCGCTAATTGGTAAACGATTTTCTTTTGTTGGCGAAGGAATTTGTCGAAATGTTCTTCGAGCTTTAATTTAATTTTAAAAAGAATTATAAACTAAAAAATTACAAATTCTAATAATAATCGCCATCATTCCAGCAACACCCAAAACATACCCACACATCTTTAATTGTTGCAGTATTTCTTTACGGCGTATTTCCGCCCACTAAATTATTTAATTTAAAAAATATTTTATTAAAGAAGAAAACCTTTGCTCGTAATTCTTTCTTTAAATATTTAGGATAACCATTTTCTCTGTATTCTTCTTCCATTTTTTTATTAATATGATGAAATTGATAACGATTTAAATGATGCCAAGACATTGCACCAAATACACCAAAAGTCATTCCAATTCCATATGAGCTCATAAAACGGTCAAGTAATGATCTAGTTGCCATTAATTAATTAAAAAAACTTTTTTTTTAATTTAAAAAGAAAAATTATAAAATATAAAAATAAATTTAGAAATATTTTTAAAAAAACTTTAAAGGATTTTTTAAATTTATTTACAAAAAACAACAAATTTTCAAACTGAAACAATCTTTTTCCTATTCTCTTCATCTTTAATTGACCAAAGATAATAAGCAATTTCAACAGGAAGCCCTCCTAAAGGAACACCAAATCCAACATCAATTAAAAACTAAATTTAATTAATTAATAAAATATTTATTTTTGAATTACATTTTCAACCATAACATCATTTTTGGGTATTACAGTGAATTTCTTTCCTAAAAATTTTAAAATTATGTAAAAAATATTTAAATTACTAATTCTCATTAACAAAAAGAATAACGCTCCAGCCGTCGCAAAGTATGCCCCAATTTTAAAATGTCGAATTATTTCTTGTTTTCGAAATGGCATCCACTAAAATTCAGAAAAATTATTAATTTTTTCTCAATTTAAAAATTTATTTAATATAAAACACATAAGTATAATTGTAAAAGAATATATATTTTTGTATTTCCGAAATTTCATTCAAATTTTTAATGTTTTACGATAAAATTATTTTAGATACTTTGTATTAACCATGTACATAATGGCAATAGGTACTGAAATTTAAAAGTATCGTAAAACGTCAGAATTTTTAAAAATTAAAAAATTAATAATCCAGCCTACAATTTTTTTAGAAAAAGAAATGTAGTACACGTATACCAAAAAAACCTATTCTTAAAAACTAAAAACTATTAAAACCCTACCTTTGCATCTTTTTCTGGTCCATCATGATCATAAATATTCTCTTGTTTAAAAAAACTCCAATTGTTATAATGTAATGCAATTGCCCCAACAATACCAAATATTGGAGTTGTTAAATATTTTTCTAATGTCGTTTGTCGCCAAAGTAATGGACGTACTCTTACTTTTCTGTATGGTGCTAACATAAAAGTATGGAAAAATACCCTAAAAATCACTGAAAATAGAAAAGGATAAAATGTACATACACCGCTAACGAAAAGTACAAAATATATATACGCAGGATTTGATGCTATCAAAACCTCGTTAAACAAAATTACAGAAATATGGAACTATAAACGATATTGAATTTATCTAGTGTTCATATGTATATGTAGAGACAATAAATTATTAATTTTTAAAATTGTATGTACATGAAAATAAAAGAATTTTTGATTTTATTTATTCCTTTCTTTTATTGTTTTTGTACAAACATGCCCGCACCCCACAACAGGACAAAATTCTGACTGGCTAAACCACTCTTCCATGTGAAGCAAATGACCCCCATGACCTTTAAAAAGTACTTAATTTAGACTTGATTCTGATTAAAACAAACCACATTCTGCACAGCTCGACCAAATACCACGAACGTTTGTCTCACTAAAAAATTTATTCTTAAATTGGATACTTTTCCGTCAACACCCAGAATTTTCCCCGAGTGTATTCTAATATATGAGCCGAGACCAAAACCTGTATTATATACTAAAATTCAGCACGTCCCCAGGGAGGCACCCTTTGTCTCGTGCCTCAAATTACTAACCAAATAGTACAAGTATAGTTGTAGAAATGCCTGCATTTCAAACATCGCATACTTGCACGTGTTGATGTACTCCGACAATGGGGACACCAAATTTTGACAAATGTACTCTGAAAGCTAATCTATTTAAAGAAATCTCAAATATTTTTACTTCATTGCTTAATTGGTTAATTCTCGCACGGTAACACTTTTTGACGAAAAATGCTGACACACGCCACAAACTTAGCCTTTCGAGAATCTCTTAAAAATTAAAATAAAAATTCTTCAAAAATATTCTACCTATATAAGCGAGAAACCAAATATCTACTTGACTTGGAGTAACTAATTTATAATCAACAATTTTCTGTCCAAAAACCATACAAATCGTTGCACACATTTGAACATCACCCTAAAATTAAAAAAATCCCCCCAAATTTAATTAAAAACTAACTAAATCTGAAAAGAATTCAAGCAAAGATTTAAGTGAAGGCAATATGTCAAATTGAAAGGAAGAACATTGTTTATGTGTACATTGTGATAAACATGAAAAGCTCGTTTCTAATTCAATTTCTGAAAGAATATGCTAATTTTAATTAAGAAATTTAAATATTTACGAAATTGTGAATCAGCTCCTTCACTATCAGAAACAGCAGTTTTTGTCGATATATCCTTTACATTTTCAATAAAATCTCTGTCTCCTTCAACAGATGCTGATTGTCCAATGTCATTATCCGATGAATTTGACAATGTACTCATACTTGCAACAATTAACCCATCATCATCTTTCTCCTCATTTTCTTCCTTTGTTTTTTCAAATAATCTCCGATTATTAATTTCTTCTCTTTCTATCAAATTCATAGAGGATAAAGCTAATTCAAGATCTTCGGCTATACGAGAAGGAAGGCGATTTTTTCGTGTTGAAGAACGGTGAAAATGATGATGATGTGGACGATAATCACCAAAAAAATTGAGGAGCTGATTTTTGTTGTATTTTCTCCTTCCCATATCGAAAACTTCCTCATTAAGTTGTGAGCAATTAATGAAAGTAGAAGTGGCAATAGATCTAGTAGAAAATTAAATTCAAAATTATTTTAATTAAAAATACCTCCAATTAATTGAATGTGACTCTTCATCATCTGTAACACTTCCAAAATTCAAATCTCCAAAAAGTAAATCATTCGTATTTAATTCATTATGAGATGGCAGTGATCCGGGAATTGGAGGCATTGAAGCTTCAGATTCGTGAACATTTGATAGGCATTCCATTGCTTGTTTTGGCTGTTCTTTTTTAGTATTATATTCAAAAAATGCTTTGTTCGAATTTGGAGTAAAATGATCAACTGGTAGACGTTCAAATGATCCATTTTGGCCTAAATTAGAATAAAAATGTAAATTAAATTTAGAAAAAATTTTATAAATTAGGATTACCATTATCAAAAGAGGATACTAAATGAGCATGCCGATTAGTGTAATGAGACAACGTTGTTCCAATATCCCCTTGTAAGGCCAATAAACCGGTCACCCTCCAAGTGTATGCTAAACTGTCCCTTAAGAAATTAATAAAAAAATTATCAAGAACACTTTACCTATAAATATATTCAGCTACCCGACCGTTGTAATCACAAAGTTCAGAAATGGAATCTCCAGTAATTTTATAGCTAAATAAAGATATATTTGCTTTGGGATATAAAAAACTTTGAAGCAAAATAGGACAGAGCTTTGACAGGCATTAGAAGAGGATCAGATGGTGATATAGAGAAAATCATGCTTGGGGACCGACGACGAAAAGAATCAAAGTGATCCATAAGCAAAGGACTGCCTTTTCGACGAGAAGATGGGACTTAAACAAAAAAAACTAGAAATACAAAATAATGGAAAGAATTACCAGCGACAATGAATTCATCAGTTGATGAAGTGTTTGTATCTAGTGCAACATTATTTGCATAAATAAACGGTCTAAGTGGCGCATTCGTGAAGTTAATGATTAATTTGCCATCCTTTCCACATGAAAGAAATGTTCCACCTGTTCCATATTTTGGCCATGACATATCTAATTTAAAAATAATTTAAAGATTATTTTACAATAAATAAATTACCAGTGCATGTTTTTGTATGTGCATCAAAGGATGCAAAAGGAATAAATGGTCGACGAATATCCCAAACATAAATAGTATTGTCTGAGGAAACAAAACCACTTGGCGGTGCAAAACAACAAGCTACATGCCTAAAAATATTTAAAATTTCTGTGAATATCTCGAAGGTAATTTATTTCCAATTGTAAAGCCCATAAAAAGGAGAGAGTGGGGAAAGGGACTGCTAAATTTAAATTAAAAGATACCAAGAGTTGTCCGGACACCAAGAAACACGAGTTACAATTGCCATCATTTCCACAGTATAAAGAAACTGCGGCATACTTTTAGACCAATCCCAAATACGAATATATTTATCACGGCCAGCTGTAGCAATGAGATTTTTAGATTGGATTTGTGGATTTAACGCTATACTAAAATTAAGCCAAAACTAATGAAATTTGTAATTAAAACCTGTAGATCTGTGAACTGTGAGCAATAAATTCTCTAAAATTAAATGAACATATGTTTTTAAAAAGTTTTTTTAAATATACTTTGAAGGTTTATCTGGTCGACGTGCATCCCAAAAGCGAATTGTACCACTGTCCCCAGCAGTAACAAATGTATCCTGCAGTTTGCTTTCCATGCAGAATTGAATGTCTAAAGGAAAAATAAAGTTTGTAAAATTTCAAAAAAAACCTCTAATTGAATCGTCTTGATTGCTTCTAAAGAAATAAAAATTAATAGAATATCATCACAACATAAATTCATATCCAATTATCACAAAAAATATTCTATAAAAATTTACGCGAAAAATAAGCTCGGTTCAGCACATCTTAAATCATACAACCAAACAGTAGAATCTTTTGACCCGCTAACAAGAATATTCTCATTGAATTCACTGAAACAAACTTTAGTGACAAGTTGTTTGTGTGCCTTGTAGGAGCACTCCACTAAAAAAGTGACATTGTTGAATCACAAACAGTTGTATTACTATGAGTGGTTTCTGGGTCCCAAAGATAAATCGCTCCAACGGAAGAAGTAACAGCAATCAAATTTTCTATAATTAATATATGTAGAATAGGCAAGAAGTAAGACACTTGTAAAGGAAGGTATTCCTTGCGGACAATTTTTGCGGAATTATTTATATCGACTTACATAAATCATAGTACAACCATCCAAATTTTTGCATTTTTCTTTGCGTATTTGACTACTTCGAGTGGATTCTCCGTTTTAACCATTGATGAGATTTTTCTTCTGGTAGAGCGAGTGAATAATTTCAAGGTTTTTATATTTAAAAATAAATTCGCAAAAATTGACAACAGAAAATAAATACCTCCCCCTTCTCCTTACAAATTTAAAAATGGCATTTATTAAAACAAACTTACCCCTTAAAGGACACCAAGCAATGCTGCCCGAAAAGTACATAGTCTTTCTCGGTTTGTTTCTTTCAGCAATTAATTCAAACTTTCCATCACACGAAGAAAAAACTTTTACAACTAAAAATCTTTGTTTATATTTACAAAAAATATATTTAAACCTGTCCTTCCAGTAATTGCAATTCTAGATCTGTCTTTATTTGTACATAAAGCATCTAATGGCTCAGTAGTTTGGTGGATGATCTGATGCCTTTTATTCCTCATTTTTTAATAAGAAAACAAACAAAATCTTGCAAATTATAGAAAAGTTTTTAAAGTAGTTTAAGTAACTAACAAAATATGTACATATGTATACACAAAGCAAGAAAAATTTTCATTAAATTTCAATACCAATACATTCGACAATTGAACGCATAAACCTGTCCTAGTTAAAACTAGAGGAGCACGAGATCGAGGCCTCACACATTTCCTAGTCTCGGTGGGGTATCATTCAGCGCCCACGATTCAGCGCACACGTTTCAGCGCACACGATTCAGCGCACACGATTCAGCACCACCACGATTCAGCGCACACGATTCAGCGCACACGGTTCAGCGCCAGTTATAGAAGGCACGTTTCAGCGCCCATCAATTCATTTGCATGAGTTCGACGAACAGAGTCAAATTACCGAGACCAAGTTGATTTGTAATTATGCACAAACCTATGACCAACAGAATCTTCGCTGGAAAAACTGTTTTTGTGCTGCTACGGAGGGTAGGCCGGGCATGGTCTTCGCTACACGATGGCCGTGCTTCGCTGCGGTCGTGCTCGCTTCGCTCGCGGCGACCGTAGCGAAGCGGCGGCCGTCGTTCCGCTCGACATGCCCGGCTTCCTCCGCAGCGGCAAAAACTTTTTTCCGCGTAAATTTTTTGAAATGAAAAGAAAAATATTGAAGCAAAGTTGATAAGTTGATAAAAAAATATGAGAACTTTTAAAAAAAGTTGATAAAAATAAAAAGTTAATAAAAAAAGCTGATAAAAAAAAGTTAATAAAAAAACGAGAACAATGATTTTTACTTATTTTTTGCTAAATAAATGGCGCTGAACTATAACTGGCGCTGAACCGTGTGCGCTGAATCGTGTGCGCTGAATCGTGGTGGTGCTGAATCGTGTGCGCTGAATCGTGTGCGCTGAATCGTGTGCGCTGAATCGTGGGCGCTGAATCGTGTCTAACCGTTCCTAGTCTCGATCTCGGATTTTCTAGTTTCTTTTTTATTTTCTCTATTGACAAAATTTTTTTTCAAATCTCTCTAATTGCAAAATACTGATTTTTACGTTGTAATTAACAGATTTAGTTAATTGTTCAATTAATTTTTGTTAGTACATACTACATACTTATTATGAATCATTCGAATTTAACTTCATCTAAAGTAGAAAGTCGTTCTCGAAATGTATGAAAATATTTTTTTATTTCAAATGATTAATTATTAAATTTAAAGCATGAAAAGAATCATTTCCGTCAACCTCCATTAGAAGTTCAAGGATCTTCTTCTTCCACTTCTATTACGCCTGTAAAGCGTCAGCGATTCCGATTTGAAGGCAACAGTAATGGATTTACTAATAGAAATTGTTGGAACAGTAACAGAAATTGGAATAATCCTCCAAATGAAGAAAGTCAATCCTCTTTAGGGAATCTCCACCAACAAAAAAGAATTATTTACAGAGGGCAAAATCGGTCAGGAAAACATTTTGAGACTTCTTCTACATCAAATTCTTCCCCAACAATTAACACAAATATTCAGACAAGATCTGCTGAACTTAGTGATTTACCCGGGTATTTTGATGGATATTTTAATTATAAACTTAGAAAATTTTTAAAGATATTCCTACGATCCCAGCAGCAAAAAATATTATAAAATTTTGGATAATGTCCCCGGACAGGTTAACCTTCTCACTTATTATCTAACTAAAAATATTTATATTTAATTTAGCCTTCTGGTTCAACTTTATTACATTTACGAAAGTTGGCAGTTAATTCAGAAATTTTAAAATGTTCTACTACAAATAATTCTTTACGAAAATTTAACAACATAAGTTTGCCGAATGCTTTGGCTGGACTTCAAATTTTTGGTTCATGTAGGGGTACAAATCTACGTTTAATTGAAGAGTCAAGATTACGGTCTGTTAAGCAAACACCTAGCTATAGTTCTGAGGTTTTAACAAAAATAAAAGTAAAATTAAATTATTTTGAGGTTTCGGATAGTTGGTCACAACGTTTTGATAGTTGCCAGTTTTTGGATGTTTCAGAAGATGGGAAAACCTTGTTAGGGTGTTGGTCAACTCAGCGGAATGATATTTTTTCTGGTCATAATCAATGTTCACGAGTATTGTCTTTTAAAGTCCATTCAAATTCTGAACAAGCAAGGTTGTTAAATTATTTTTTTATTTCTAAATAATTATTTTTTAAGAAGACACGCTCAACTTTTGGATGAAAATCCTAAAAAATTATTCGATACAAACGGACGTTTTTCTTGTAACACCTATGGGTAATGACTTTTATTGCTTTTAAATTTTAAGTTTACTTGTTAGATTGCAATTTGATCCTCTTGATAATGGAATTTGTCTAGAAACAACAAATCAAGTACTTGTTGATATGGTACTTGCTCCCGCAGGTTTTTACTGATATTTTTTCTGAAGGAATAAAAATTCTTCCTTAAAATTTTAGATAGAGATGTTACTTGTCTTCTTTTTGCTACAGCTAGTTCCTTTTATAATTCGGTTTGTGACAAATTTCCCCCACGAATTGTCACAAAATGTAATGTACATTTACGACCTATTGAATTTAATTTGAGTGAAGAAGTTTTTTAAATCTCTTTTCTATTTTTTATAAAAAAGTTTAAGGGCCGTGAATCGATGAGCTCTCCCATTTACAACTCCGAATGGACATCAACAGAACCTATTTGGTCACTCTGTTTTAATTCTCACCATATGAAAGTAAAAAAATCATTTTTAAAAATTCAGATTATTTTAGATATGTGTTGGAATGGAAAGAAATGCTCGAATATTTAACGTTCTTTCTGGTCAGAATTTCTTTGTATCCAGTGGGGGAAGAAATGTAATTTCTTGTGCTTTTTCAAAGGTTTTTAGTGTCCATTCATTAAAAATGTTTTTTTCAATTTCTGGACGGAAATAATCTTTTCTTTGGTCGTAAATCTGCGAATATTTCTTTGTTGGACCTTCGAATGCATTCGAATCATTGTGTCGGTGAATTTGTTGATTCTGCTTCATCTGGTTTCGTTCATACTTTGTGCAAAAAGCCAAATACTTTGTTGAGTGAAAATTTTGATGGGAAGATAAAACTTTGGGATATTCGAACAAAAAAAGTATTAACACAAATGGAGTCTGGACATCTTAATTCTTCACATAAACTTCCTTGTTTTGTTGATGCAAATGAACAATTTATATTTGCTGTTGGCGAGGATTTAATTGTTCGTGGTTGGTCTTTGCATACCGGGGAGGTATTTACAATTATTTTGGGAGAATATGTAATTTAAAATTTTTAGTTGTTATGTGTTGTACGTAGTCCAGCAGTTCATAATCAAATTAGAGAAACTTCCAATTGCAATTCCACAAATGGAGTTGACTTTCCGAGAGTGGTCTACAGCAATTCTTGGGCTGGAAGAGCAGGAAATTCAGCATTAATCTTTGCTGTCAATGGCGATTTATTGGTTCATGAACTATTACTTTGAATGACATTGGGTAGCCGTTACTTCGTTAGAGGCTTTTTTACCTTGTATAAATATATTTAAATTTTTTGATGTATAAATTTATAAAAAAAATTTTTAGTCAATAACTTTAATTATTTAAAACAAAAAACAAAGAATTATAAATTTTGTCATAAATTCAAACTTGATTCATTTATTTCATTCATTTCAGCTTTGAATTCTTCAATTTTTGATAATTGTTTAAGCACTTGGGCAGAATTTTGACCAGTAGCAGAGGGAATAACCGGGCTTTCTGTTGAAAAATTGGTGACATGTATTGCACCTTTAATTGTTTTGCGTGTCTGAGCCCTTAGCAATACATTCTGGGCATTTTCTAAATTTGGTGATTTGTTATTATAAAAAATAGAAATAAAATTACCTGAAATTAATTTCCTTCCAGACATTAGAGGCAGTCCAAAAAGTGTACTTAAATTTCCAACATCATAAGGAGCTCGTAGTGAAATCTTTAAAAAAATTAAAACTAAATTTTAAATTTACAAACCAGTTCATCAGCTCCACTACTTAATACAACTCCATTACCACCTCTTGTAATTTCAATTAATTTTCTTGCACATGAAAAAAACTAAAGAGGCTATTTATTTAAACAAAAATTTTCAAAAAAAACTTGTCTTCTCATTTCAGAACCTTGCAAAGCTTTAGAATAAGTTATCTCAAAATAAATACCAACATTAACACAACTTTGAACAATTTTTTGTTTAAATAACCAAGAAATACCTCCAACTTCCCTATAAATTCCATCAAGAGTAACCAAATCAACAAAGTCTCCCTTCCTTTGTAATGTTAAAAGTAATTGTTCATTTGGAACACGAACAGCAACTTTAAAAAAAAACTTTTAAATTTTTAATTAAAAAATTACTAACTAATATCAAATTTCTTCACCCTCGCGTCATGTTGAAATTTATGAACAGAATTTTCGTCTAATGTTACCGTTAAACGACTAAAATATTTTTTAATATAAATTAATTTAAAATTAAATAAAACCTAAATTGGCGAAAACTTTTCCCGTTTTGCAAAAAAGTAGAAATATCCAATTCTGATTCATTTAAAATAAATGGATCTGGAATAATTGTTTCTGTTAAAGATTCTTCTTCATTTTCTTCTTTTTTCTGTTGAATTTTTTTCTTTTTATTCGGTGGTTGTTGTAAATTCTTAAATATAATTTAGATAGATAAATTTTTTAATTAAAATATACTTACATCAATATCTACTTGAGAATACCTTCCAATGTCAATATTAATAACCTTAAATTTAAAAAAATTTAAAAAATATTCAAAATTAAAAAAAACTTAACCACAGCATCATATCCCATTCTCACAGCTCGTTTTACATTAGCTAAGGTTTGTTTAGGATTTCCACGGTGTTTAATATTTAAATCGGCGAAGTGAATCTTTTTCATTGAAATTTAAATCTGGTAATGAATTGAATAAAAATTTACACAAAAAATTAATAAAAAAATTTTTTGCCCCGGAAAACCCAGAGGCCATTGGGTAAATTCAACTGGAGCCCAGAAACTGGAGTCCTTTACATTGGTAAAATAGGATTAACATGGAAAAATCTAGTCGGGTGCCAAATTCCGGTCCAGAATGAAGAGGAATTTAAAATTCCATTTCCGTACCCGGAAGATGATCTTGAAGGACACTCATTATGAGCTACCTTTTGGAAAACATTTTTTAATCTAAACTTGGGAAAAATTTTATCAACTAGCGCCCAAAAAGTGTTGCGCCCTATCGGGAGCGCCCAAACGTGGTGTCTCGATGAAATAGCAACTTTTATAAAATTTTGCTCATTTTTTGTACATACGTATTGTGTTTGATCTAATTTATACATAAATATTACATATTTATCGTCCTTAAATTTAAAAAAATTTAGAGATGTGGTTATTTAATTATTTTTCTTTATTAATTTTATTTATTTTTAATTGCTGGGGTGATCAACAATTACCTGAAAGTGTTACCCCTCCAATACAAACCCCACCACAACAAGAAGAGATTATTATGGCAATTTTTGTTCCGGCAGGTAAAGTAGAATGTATTTATCAGCCAATTGTTAATTTGAAATATAATTCTTTTGAAGTCGATTATCAGGTTTTTTTAGAATATTTTTTAATTATTTAAATTTAATTTAAAGGTTATCGAAGGAGGCGAAAATGATATTTCTTTTATTCTTAAATCACCTAGTGGGATAATTATTGCTTCTGAACAACAAAAAACTGATGGATCACACAAGTATTTCTTTTTTAAATAATTTTGTAAAAAAATATTTTTAGAATTATTCTTGATGAGCCAAATCATGGAAGAGGAGATTATGCTTTTTGTTTTGACAATTCATTTAGCTATAGCAGCGATAAAAGAGTTTGTATTTTTAATTGAATTTTAGATGGTTTTTTTTATTTTAAAGGTGTTTTTTGAAATATTTTTGTTGGATAAAGATGGAAATTATTTGAGTGATTATGACATGAAATTGTCTGCTAAAGACAGTGGTTTATTGGCCGAACAATTTGAGACATTCAGTGTTTGTTATTTTATTTGAATTTAATTACAAGAGTCTAAAAGGGTAGTTATCCTTTATCTCTCACCTTTTTCCTCTTCAGTATTCTATTTAAAATACGAATAGTTAGGCTGTATAGGTAAGTTTATTGTTAGAAATTATTTAGTAGTCTAATGGAAAATTCTGATTTTTGTACACTTCATAACATTCTAATATTTCATTACTAATCTTCCTTCTCAAAAATCACCTTCAATATGTTAAAGATTTTAAAATTTAGTCATCTTAAAACAATTTAAAACAACTTAATAAATGTTTTCCCTACTTTCAATTAATTAATTTCAGAGAGTCACTAACAAAGTCAAAGGCAATTTAAATGAAATTGAACGTATGCAATCACAATTTCGTGCAGTAGAAGCTAGAGATCGTTCTTCTATTGAAGTTTATTTATTTTTTAAAATTTTTAAATTTAATTTTTTAGGTTGCTTTTGAAAGAATTAATTTTTGGAGTGCAATTAATTTATTTTGTCTTATATTTGCTAGTTGTGTTCAGGTAAATTTAAAATTAAAATTTTTGGGAATGAAAGGCGGGGTTTGGATTCTTTACTCATATTTTTCCTATATTTTTACGCTTATATTGCCCAATACAAAAATCAAAAATTTGAAAAAAATTTGAATAAAAAAATCCAAACCTCCCTTTAATTCAATATATAACCACATTTTTTACAAATAATTTTTTAAGGTTTATATGGTTCGTTCGTTATTGGAAGATTCTCGAATGGGAAATTTTATAAGGCATGGAAAGTTTAAGTAAATTAAAATAAGAGTAAAAAGAACTTTTTTTCTTTCGGGTTTTTAAATGGAATTAATTAAATATTCGCCTTTTCTATTTTTTTAAAATTAATTTAAATATTTTAAGAACTATTTCTAAAAATTAACGAGAAATTTGTATATTTATTGTTATTTGTTTTGTGGACATATTTAAATATAAATTATTTTGTTGTTTATTTTTTTTATTTTTATGCAGTTGAAAAACTTGAAAATATTTTTTAAAAAATTTTAAATTATTTTAAATATTATTTTTTAAGTAAAAATGGATATTTCAGAACAATTAAAAATTAAAGGAAATGAATGTTTTAAACAAAAACTTTACAATAAATCAATTCATTTTTACACTTTAGCTATTGAATCTAATCCAGAAAATTCAATTCTTTGGTCAAATAGGGCACAAACTTATTTAAATTTACACAAGTAAATTAATTTTTTTGTTAAAATTGAAGTTCGTAATCCCCTCCTTTTATTTTTCCCCCTAAAGGTATTAAAAATGGCCATTTTTATTAGAAATGGTCAAATTGTCGGTTCGGAATTGAACTGAAGAAGCGGTAATTTTCCGGTTTAGTGGTAGCACGATTAGACATCGTGCTACCACTAAACTTGTGTTAGGCGTTGGCCCTCCACATACAGGTTCGTTTTCCGACAAAAGCCTGAAACATTTTTAATACTTTGAGGAAGAAAAAAGGGAAGGGGTATACAAACTTCAATTTTACCATTTTTTTGTAAAATTTAAATTAATTTTATAGACCAGAGAAGGCTTATATGGACGCTTGTGGGGCTTTACAAAAAGAATTTAATTCAAAATCTTTATTTAGGTAATTAAATGTTTGGATATTTTGAATGTTTTTATTTGCTACTCAATTTCTCTTATCCAACCGCCCTCCCCAAAAACCTCAAATTATTCTGACTTATTTTTTAGTTACTTTTTCTTTATTGTTAAAGATTTTTAATTTATTCTAACAGTCAAAACTTTTGTTAAAAAATGGAGTTGATTGATGTATCTTATTTAGGTAATTAAATGACAATTTGACAATTTGTTTGACAATTTGACAATTTGATGTCTACCCTTGGGTGGACTCCTCCATATGTTTTTTGTGGGTAAATCGGTCAAAGATTAATGAAAAGGAAATTAAAGGCAAGAAAAACACAAAATTCGAAATACCCAAATATTTTTATAAAAAAATTTTTTCTTCAATTTTTAGACGTGCAATTGCTTTAAATAAAATTGGATTAAATAAAAAAGCTTATTTTGACCTTAAAAGATGTTTTGAATTAAATAAAGAAAATAAAGAAATAAAAGAATTAATTAAAAATTTAAAAGAAAAGGTAAAAAATAAAATTTAAATTTAAAAATTAATTTAATATTTTAGGAAGATTTTGAGATTATTGATTTAACTGTTTTTCAAAAGCCTGAACTTCTTCAATCTAAAAAACCTTTAATAAAAATGGAATTAAAAAATAAATTATAAAAAAATATTTTTTGATGAATTCCTTTGGGGAGCAAAGAAAAAATTTGGAAGAAATAAAAAGTTCTTCTTTTAATTAACGAGAAGAAAAAAGTTTTTAAAGAGAGTTACATAATTTTATAAAATTTTGTTTTTATTTATTTTAAATATTTTCTATCAAAAAATTAGAATGTTAAAAAGTGAAAAACTTTTTATATTTAATTTAAAGAAGAAAAGAAAAAATATTAACTTAACAAAATGTTTTTATTTGTTTTTAGATGTCCTTAAGGGCCAAATTCAATCTTTCCTCAAAAGTACTTTTTTTTATTTTTCAAGAATTCATTCAAAAGCTAAAATATATTTCCTTTTCTTTTTTATTATTAACAATTTATTTGTTAAAAAAATAAATGTTTTTTGATTTAATTTATATTTACCTAAATTATTTTTAAAAAGCGGAAATAAATAAAAATTTTAGTTAATTATTTTAACCTAAATAAGGATTTTCTTTGAATAGTGAATATTCTATTTTAAATCTTAAAAATGTGAGAATATTTTAATTAAATTTCACACAATTTCATTTAATTTTTATATACAAATTTCCATTCGTCTTCTTGGAATTTTTTTAGTTTTTTAAACAAAACTACTGCTTTAAACTACTTAATAATCCATTAGTTTCTTCTTTAAAAAAAAATATTTTTAATGGGCAACAAACAAAATGGGTCAATAATTAATACAGAATTTAACGATAATTCTAATAATAATTCTAATAATATTTCAATAAATAAATTAAATTCTTCAAAATTTTCTCCATCTTCAATACAAAATAACAATAATAACACACCAATTATTTCTATTAATAATAATAGAATTAATAGAAGACGTTCAGAATTTCAACAAAGTTCAAAAAAACCTTTAAATTATGATAATCGAAGTGGAGGGGATAGTGGGGGGAATTTAATTGGAATAAATGGGGGAATGTTAAATGAAAGAACTCGTAGAGCAAGAAGGTGGTCAAGTGTTGTTACAGTATCTAGAAGCAATGGAAAGCCAAAAAGATTATCTCCACGACAATGCCATTTAATTATAAAATCGTGGGGAAGACAAACACCGAAAAGCCGTGTTGTTAAAGATATTTTTGCATGTAAAGATTTCTAATAGATTATAAAAATTTTGATCTCATCCTTTCTTATGAATTTCAATTAATGCTTTCCCTTTTTGAAGCAATTTTTGGAGAAGCTGAAGAACTTAAATCAGCATTTGGAGTTGAACAAAATATAGCTGGAAGACGTTTAAGAACAGATTCAAATTTTGTTTCCCACACAAACTTGTACTTATTCTTAAAATGAAAAATATTCTTTTTCAATTTGTTTAACAGATTTGCTGATACTTTGGATTTTGTTGTCAGAAATTTGGATGATTTTTCACTTGTAACAGAAAATGCTGAAAAATTAGGAAAGTAAAGGAAGAATTCTGATATTTAAAAATAATTTTTAAATTTAGAAAACATGCAACATTCCCTTTAGAAAATGGTTTTAAACCTGAATATTGGAATATTTTTGCTGAATGTATTGTAGAAGGTATTTCAGCTGGTGAAGAATGTAAAGAAACATTACTTGCTTGGCGTCAATTAGTTCAAACTGTTATTTATTATATGAAGTTGTATTTTATTTTAAAAACACCTTTTTCATTAAATAAATATATAGACTTGGATATGATCGAGAAACATTGCGATTAGCCCGTCATGCTTCACTTCGACGTTCTTACTCACCAACTCGAGCTGCAAGAATTCAACAACAGCAATCCCTCGAACAACCAAATCAACGTTTCTCTTCTGGACTTATTCCAATTTCCCCACTCGCAGTTAGCTTTGAAGAAACAAATAATTACAGACAACAAACTTTAATAGATGAAACGAGGAGGAATAGTTATACCACAAAAATGTCAACACTTTCAACACCAACTATGGACAATAAACGAATAAATTTATTGAGATAATTGATTGATATTTTAATTTCATTATTAATAAAGTTTGCCCCCGTTTTACGTTAATTTTCAGTGCATCGAGATCTCGATATTGAAATGAGATATAGACCTGGCTCTTTTTTTATTTTTTCTAAGTATCGATAAAGATGCTTTCTCAAATATTTGTACCCTATCATTCAAAATAAAATTAAAGTGTTTCCATATAAAATAAAGTGCACCAGTCAAAGAGTAAAATTAAAAATCATGTATAAAGTCGCGCTGAATCTTCAATAGATCGAGAATAGGATTTGAAGAATAATATAAAGATTTGAGGAGATTTTTAGATGCTCGAAAAAACCGTAGATAAGCTAAAACTTTTTAAAATTATAACGTTGAAATTGGCGGTCATCATTTAAATTTCTTTATATCTCTTCCCAAATCATCTTATTCTTCAATGTTGAAAAACTTGTTAAATGAAGAAAGACAAAATTTAGGGGGAATTTAAAGAAAATAAATTATGACGAAGTGGCCGGTGGCAAAATGCTCGCGACGAAGTGGGACGTACCCTCTAGTCGAGAAAGAAGGGAAAAGGTCGATTCAGAGTCGCCGATTCAGAGTCGCCAATTCAGAGTCGCCGATTCAGAGTAGCCGATTCAGAGTAGGGACTATTCAGAGTAGGGACAATTCAGAGTAGCCGATTCAGAGTACGGGGAAAAGGGGACGATTCAGAGTACATAAATTTTCGGTCATAGAAAATCAGCTTTTCTTGCGGATTTTCTTGTTCTTCTTACTTTCTACAATCTGAGGAACATTTTAAGAGCTAGCCGAGCTTGACTCTAGGCTTTTCTTAGGCTTTTTCGGCCGTAGGGTAAAGATTTGGCCTCAACTTTTTTTTCTTCAGGGAGCAAAGTTTTAATAAAAAAATGAATCAAATACACAAAAATTTATCAAAAAATACATAAATAAGTCATTGTCTCGTTTCACTCATTAGATTTGTGGCCCTAAACAGGCCGGTTGGGTTGAGGCTGTTGTGTGTGTGCTTCTATTCCATCCAGGACTGCAATTCAAAGGTTGCCAGGCAGAATCACATCAGCAGCAAATCGCTCAACAGCAAACCGCCCGAGGACGTCGTTGTTACCACTAGAAAAATGAATTTAAAAATTGAAAAAATTTTTTAAGAAATTCCAAAAAAATTAGAGAAATTTCAAAAAAATTTAAAATAACAAAAATTCTTTTAAAAAACCTCACAATGTGGAGAAGAAACCTCGTTGTTTAAGTTTCTGTGGAAAATTGGAGAAATTTAAAAATTTTAAAAATTTTTTATTTTTATTAAAAATTATTTGCTGCCATTGAATTATTGTTGTTGGTTGTGCAAATTGCTGTTTTTCTCTCTAAAACAATAAAAAGAAACAAGAAAGAATAAAAAACAAAAAAAATAAATCAATTGATTTCCAAAAAAAACTCGATTTTCAGGGTAATCTAATCTTCGTACTCTGAATCGTCCCCTTTTCCACGTACTCTGAATCGTCCCCTTTTCCACGTACTCTGAATCGGCTACTCTGAATAGTCCCTACTCTGAATCGGCGGACTCTGAATTGTCCCTACTCTGAATTGGCTACTCTGAATTGGCGACTCTGAATCGGCGACTCTGAGTCGTCCCCTACCCGAGAAAGAAGTACGTTTCAGTATCATGTTATAGCAGGGCTCCGATCGACAAAATGCCACTCAAAAGTATCAAAATCTTGTAAAAAAAGTACATAGGGAGAAAATTTGCAAATAAAAAGTACACTCAAAATTAAATTTGAAAATATTTATTCGTGATCAAATCTTTTATATTTCTCTCCTAAATTAATCTTTTCTAATAATTTCTTGTTTCAACTGAGCATTTTGTGCATTTCATTGCATGACATGTCAAAATTTGCTGTCACATGAAGCAAAGCTCTGACAGTCTTAACCTCAAGCGAGTTTCTTTCCTTCGTCCATTGAATGTTTGCCATTGAGAAGCGCCGCAGGCGAAAATTTTTTGAAATTTGGAGCCTAAGAAGCCAGATTTCTTCTTTTTCAGCGCCGCAGGCGAAAATTTTGAGAATTTTGGAGGTCCTTAAGCCAGATTTCTTCCATTTTTTGCGCCGCAGGCGAAAATTTTGAGAATTTTGGAGGTCCTTAAGCCAGATTTCTTCGTTTTTTCAAAAATGTTGATAAAAAAGTACATACTTTCAAAAAAGTACAAATTCAATTTCGGAAGTACGAAGGTCGATAAAAAAGTACAATACTTTTAAAAAAGTACGAATCGGAGCCCTGTGTTATAGTCTCGAGCAGAGCTTCGAAATTTTGATTTTGCTTGATTATGCTCGTGCTTGTGGTATAATTATTACACTAGAAAAAATCCAAGTCTGATTTCCGGACCCGGAAGCATTATTTTACTCGACTCTAATAATTTGTTTAAATTTTTCTATTTAGATTATTTATCAACTAAATGGACAAAATTAATTTTTTTAATTTAAACAACTGAACTAACTTAGGAACTTATATGGTTTGGGTACTCTTTTTTTAGCCACGCCTTTTTTCCTTTTTCATCATTATTCTTTTACTCTTTTTCCCTCTCAACCATCAATGTCAATTTTTTGTTTAAAATAGAGAAATAGAGTTGACTCGGATGACATCATCGAGCTGGGCTGAGACGAATGGCCCTAAAATCGGTCCGTGAGATCTCTGAGCTGAATTACAGGGGTCCAAAAATTTCTAAAAAGGGGTAAAAACGGTCAGCATTTTGTGAAAAATATGATTTTAAACACGCGAAAACTGGAAAACACAATAAAATACCGGACCATTAGTTCCAAAACGTAGACTCGGGATACCTATTGCCATTTAAATAATTGAAATAGATAAAAATAAGAATATTGATTCAAATGCTAATTCTATTTTGGTGAAATTGGAAAGGAAAATTAATCTTTTCCTTGTTAACGTCTCTCACTGAAAATGCCACAGGAAAAGTTAAGTAAAATCGTTGAAGAAAGAAAGGCTGACCATTCTGTCCATATTAAGGTTGATTGATGAAGGAAAAGGAAAAAAGGGCGTGGCTAAAAAAAGAGTACCCAAACCATATAAGTTCCCTAACTTATTTATACTAAACATTAGTAGTTCTTTAAATTATTTGAGGATATGGTTTTGGATAAATTTGTTGATAGAAAATTTTATCAACACAGTGGATTTTCTAATTTGAACGGCAGCAAAAATAGCGGAAATGTTGATAGCAATACAAATAATAATACTTCATTCGCTTCCTTTTCAACTGTTACAGGATTTCCGAACAATTTTCGATCTGGCTTTAATAACAATGGTCCTTATCAACAGGTAAATTAATACATATACTGTTAAATCTTTATTCCATTTTCAGAGGGCAATACTTTTACAAAGTCCAACTAAATCTTTGGATGACTTTGGGGTTGAAAGAAGATCACCTTCTATTCAGAGATGTAGCGGTGGTTTAATTTCTTGTTGTGAGCCAACATTAACAGCAGTTGTTGCTTCTACATGTGGGAATCCTGCACTTTGTGATCCAAATGATGAACATCATCAACGACTTTTTTCTCCAATAATTCAGCTAGAAGAAAACACATTAATGAGTGAACACTCAAATGAACCATCAGAAATTCGTTTTAATGATCAGTAAAATATTATTTTACCTTATAAAGATATTAAATATTTATTCTTCTAGTGCCTTTTCAATTCTTCAACAAATGGAGAATGAATCTAAAAGGCCACATGTCCTCTCACCTGTCCGTTCTATATCCGTTCTCGAGGCTGGCATTAGCAACCTTGAACAACAACCAGCACCTATTAGGCGTTATCGACCATTTTCTCCCCATTCTTCGGGAAAGTCAAACCAACAGCAAAGACCAAAAATAGCAGATCGTCGCCGTTCGTCTGCTACGGTTCCATTGGCCCGCTCGAAAGAAGAATTGGAAAATTTACTCGTTTCGGCTAATATTGATCCAAACAAACCGGTTTGTTTCTCTAAATATTTTTTTAAATTATTTTTTAGGTCCGTAGTGTTCTTGTTGAAGCGGGGATTGGTTCAGAATTTAGTTCTGTTGGACGTCTTAAACCACATTTGGTTTGTCCACATGGTTTTCAAAATTTTTTAGAAGTACCTTCGACACATATGCTCGTTTTTGGTAATAATAATAACCAAATATTGACAAATTCAAGCCTACGAACAAGTGTTCCACCTTTAGCACCAAAATCTTCAACAGCTTTTGTAGTTACTAGCAGGCAAAGACGGCAAACAATTGTAACAACTTCAACTATTCATAACGAGGAACAGATACAAGTTCCTGTTGAAATTGGAACTTCCCTCTCTTTGGATGATTCTTTAATTAATTCTGTAGGTGCCAAAAACCGAGATGCATTGGTTAATTCAAATAATTCATTTGTCTCTTCCGAAGGTAATTCAGGTTTTTTGTTTAAAAATTAACGTTTATTTTAAAAATTAGAATGTACTGAAAGCAGAAACTCTCAAAAGATGCGCAGAGTTAGAAACGAAGGAGATATTATCAATGAAACCGTTACTTTTGCACAAATCCCATGTTCTTATAAAGGCTGTCAGGTTTGGATTTTCTTGTTTGTGGGGGTGGGGGATAACATTTCTGCCAAGTTTTTTCTCTAATATTTCAGAAAACATTTTCAAATAAAAGTTCAATGCGCAAACATCTCCAAATTCATGGGCCCAGACAACACGTTTGTCAGCAATGTCATCGTTCATTTATAGAACGTTCTAAATTAAAAAGACACTTACTGGTCCATTCGGGCGAGAAGCCATTTGTTTGCAATTTTGAAGGATGTACTAAGCGATTTTCTCTTGATTTCAATTTACGAACACATATTCGGACAGTTCACACAAACGATTCAGCATATCCTCGACATAAATCTAAAGGAACTTCAACAAAATTTAGAGAGACGAGAGGTGATGGTTTACCAAAACAGAAGCAGCAAGGATCCGGTATATATTTAACTTAAAGATTTGCCCAATGTCGGATTTCGGAAGGGAGTATATATTAGTGTGCGCTAATCCTTTCGTCTAAACGCTAAATTTTCACAAATTCCATGTTTTACATTTTATAATCTTACAGCTAAAGAGGAATTTTATTTTTTAAATTATTCTCATCCCCCCTTCTCCAACTACAACCCCAAGCTTCCAGAATACGTCATTGTTTAGCACTTTTTATATGTGTATTAATTGTAAATTTCAGTTAAAATAGAAATCAAGCAACAAAAGCAAACCGTCTTCGAATTTTTTGAAGGCAATGTCAGAGGATCCGATGGAATTGATGTACATTAGACATTAAATTTATTTTTAAACATTCTTAGAAAACTTTCATTCGTAATTTGTACAAAATTTATAAACAATATTAAAAGCTAATTCTGAATAAGATTAAAAGCTATTCTTAAATCGAACAAAAGAATTAGATATCTCGATGCGTAAAATAGAAAACTGAAAAAGGTTATGAATAAAAAGTAGTTAAACCCGGAAATGGTGCAAAATAAATTGGTAAATTTTGTGGAATGTGTGAATGATTGTATAGAGAAATGGTGTATAGAGAAACGAGTGGTGAATTTGAATCATTTTTTCGATTAAAATATTCTCATTTACTATACTGACCCCTAAATAAAAGTTCAGGGTGCATATTTTACCCATCACCGCTGTTCCTCTAGCTAATGCCCATGCTATTTAATTTTTCTACCAGAATTTTGTTATTGTCATTATTTTCTGATTTTTCTGTCTTCTCCATTAATGACTGGTCACATTCACAGAGGGGCTCTTCATCTTTATTTTCCTTTGAGATAGTCATAGTAGGATAATGAGTTGCCCATTCTTGGATACTTGCTAAAGTTTAAGGATCCTTTGAAAAATGTATTTAAGTAAACCTGAACCAAAAAATTGGAATAAAAGACCAGTGCTTATAAGAATAAAAGCCATTACCCAAAATGCAAATTGCCATTCTTGTTTTGTACCCTTAATATATATTTAAAATATAAAAAATATCTTTTTACTTTAACAACTATTAGTCCAATCATATATGGCTATAAAATTAAAATGTAAAATTTAAAAATCTTTTTTTTAATACCGATGCAACTGATGCAATTTGACCAAGTAATCGACTAAATGAAGCTATAGAAGAAGTATATCTCGGTGCTATACAAACAACACTGATTTAAAAAAATTTTTTAGAAAAATATATGTACATTATTTTGTAGAAACGGACCGAGATGAGATTCCAATCATGTTTTGAATTTATATAAAAAATAGTACTTTTTGTATAAATTCGGACCTTTCTTCAAAATTTTCAAGTTTTTCGAAGTATCGAAAATTTCAATGTAATTTTTCGAGATTCTCAATGTCTGGTTGGCCTCTATATTACCTTGTATTATAACCAGGAATAAATCCTGAACTAAGACCAACAGCAGTAATTGCCAATCCAATAGCTAAATAAGGAGTTGAACAATCACAAAATGAAAGAAGTACAAAGCAAGCACCTGCACCAAAACTGCCTTTAAAAATATAATAATTTTAAATTAAAAAACACAAAAAAACCAATTAAATTAAATAATTTTGTAACAGCAGTAGAAGTCATTAATTCTTTACGTTTTATCCAATCACTCACTGCAGCAAACCATATTTTTGTAACAAGTTGAACGACAAAAGGCAATGCTGACATTAAACCATTCTAAAATAATTATTTGAGCATCTAAGAAAATTAACTCGTTTAAGTAACCATAGGACTTTGACTAGTTACCCTTCTGATGTTATAATTTTAATTTAACAATATTAAAGTTGGGTGAATGCCTTTTTTGCAAAGTGACTTGCATAAAAGTCACTTTGCGTTTTGCGACAGAAAATATTCTAACATTCAAAATCATGAGAGGCAAAACGCCATTTTCCCTCCTCTTTTTCCATTATCTTTTCTGACGCAAGACGCGCGCAATTTTTATGTAAGTACAGCATAATGAAATAATTTTTTAGTTTGTTTTTAATTTTTTACCGCTGTCAAATCCATTCCCAAAACATTTTGGTAATAAGTAGGTAAATAAACAACAATTCCAACATTCATAAAATTTTGACTAAAAGAACTCATACCAGTTGACCAAACAACTAAAGAAGAAAGAATTTTTCTCCAAGGAACCTAAAAAAATAAATTTAAATTAAAAAGAAAATTTTAAAAAAAACCTCTTTTGGATTAACTTTTCTTTGCAATTTTTGTTCCTTTAATTCATTAAAAGTTCCATCAATTTCTTGAATTAAACAAAGTTCTGCATGTTTAATTCTTTTACTATTTATTGGATAATCTCTAACAATTAATAACCAAACAATACAAAAAATAACGCCAATCACGCCAAAATAATAATTTAATAAAAAAATAATTTTTAAAAATAAAATTACCATAAATATAAAAAGCCGATGCCCAACCACCCAACAATTCCAAAACACAAAGTTCAGCAGTTAAAAACATTGCAATAATAACAGAAATTTGATTACCTGTTGTGGATATTGCTATCGCTTTAAATTTTGAATAAATAAAGAAGGAAAAATATTTTTTTAAATTATTTTTACCTGTACTTTTTTCAGCAAGTGGAAACCAATGAGCTATAAGAACATTAACACAAGGGACTAATATACCCTTAAAATATTTGAAAAATTTAAATCCACTAAAAAAATATAATTTATGGTACTAACGCATTATACAGCCACATATATCCCCAAAAGTTTCTCCTTTTTTATTTCTCTCCTCTGATATCAAGACACAGTCCGGACATAACACTGTCTTACCAACTTTATAAAAATGCAAGATAAAAAATGCGTGAATGTAAATATTATTTTGGAGGTTGATCTGAAAATCTGAAATTCATTGATCTGAAAACAACTTTGAAAAACTAATTAAAAATGACGCCTTTCTCATATTTACTGCCTTATTTTAATTAAATTTATCCATGATAATTATTAATCCTTGAACATCTTTTAATCCTCATAAGTGGAAAAAAGAAAGGAGAAACTTTTGCGGAAATGTGGTGTATAATGCAATAATACCTAATTTATTTACCTGTCCACAGCCCATCAAAAAGCGGACAAAAGCCAAAGCCATTGGTTTCATTTGGCGTGCAATAAAAGGTGTTATAAAAGTACCTAAAAATAAATTAAAAAATAATTTTAAAAAAATTAACCGATAACATTCAACAAAGCCCCATGAAATACTAATTGAGTTGGACCTAACCAATCACAAAGAAATGACCCAGGTAAAATTATAATAAAACCACCCAAATAAAAAGAAGTAAAAATTAAAGATTGTTGTTGTTTTGTAATTATTAAATCTCCACCAATCTTTAAAAAAAATAATTTAAATTAAAAAACAAACAAACATAATCAACAACACTTTTATTTTCTTTTTCAAAAGAATTTTTACATTCATTTTGTATTTCTTTTAAAATTTGTTTTTCTTCAATTTTTAAAGAATTATTAAAATAATTATTTAATTTAAATTCTTCTTCTAAAATTGCTGTTCTATTAACCATACAAACCATTGCCTTAAAAAAATAAAAATTAATTTCTTTAAAAAAAACTTTTCACAAACCATATTTATATTACTCCTCATTAAACCTTCAATTGCAAGTGAAAGTGCTAAAGAAATTGCTATAGCTAATCGAACACTTGAAAAAGACCAAAGACGTGGGGGAGGAGGAGAAACAGTTGATTCTGATTCCATTTTTTAAAAAATTGTTTTTAAAATTTTAAAAATCTAAAAAGTATTTTTTAAAAGAAAAAAAACCAATTAAAATATTTATTTGTAATTAAAGGGTATAATGTAAAAAGTTATTTTCTTTGCTTCCATGGAAACGAATAAAAATGTAAAAGGGAAAATATAATCTTAAAAGATATTTTCTCACTAAAAAATTCTTTGCTAACTCAAAAAAAAATTTTAAAAAAGTCTGACAAACCTTTTAAACAAAATTAAGAAAAAATAAAACTAAATTTATTTTTTAAAAACTAACAGTCAATAAATATTTTTATTAAATAATTCTACTATTTTAAATATATTTAAATAAATACATCCTTTCCTATAATAATTTTGTTAAAATCTCCAACTCAATGTCATTAGAATCTGAAAAATAAATAAATCAAAAAAATTACTTTATATAAATAAATACCTTTATTAACAAATTTCTTTAAATTCTTTTCATCACTTTCTTCTTCTTCCACTTCCTCTTTTTCTTCCAAATTATTTCCCAAATTTATTTTATCATTTAAAAATAAATTTAAATTTGGTTCAGACAAATTTAAATTTAAAATATTTAAAAATCGGCAACAATCCACTTCTTGTATTGCTCTAGCATCATAACATAAAGTTAAATTTAAACTTTCATTTGACGATCCAATTGTGAGGATTGAAGTTTGTGGGGAAGTTATAATTGAAGTAAATTTGGAAATATTTAATTTTGATAAATTAAAAATACTTTAAAATAAAATTAAAAAAATAATTATTTTTAAAAAATACCTAAATGTCCTCTCCATTTCTTCTTTCAAATTTTTATTTTCTTTTAATAATTTAGCAATCATTTCTAAACCAAGTTTGTCAGCAAAATTAAAAATAATTGGAATTTTGTTTTCATCCAAAATTGAAATATTGATATTTGTAGATTTTTGTAAATAATTATTTTCATTCCAAAAAACATTAATTTCTGGCACAGACTAAAAGAAATTTACTTTAAAAAATTTAAAGAAAAATTTCGAAAAACTTTTAATGCCTGTGCACACGAATAAACAACAAAACTTTCAATTGGAAAGTCAACAGAAGAGAAAAGTTTTAATTGATTACTCAATTTTTTAATTTTTGAAAAAGAAACATTTGTAGATAAATAAGAATGAGGAATCTAAAAATAATAATTAATTAAAAATTAATTAAAAAAATAAAAACTTTTGAATGTTTCTCAATAAATTCTTTTTGTTTAAAAGAAAAAGGAATTTCGGGAAAAGATTGTTTTTGTTTGTCTTTTAACAATTTATCTTTTGTTGATAATTTATTTTGTTGTTGTAAAGATATTGGAGTTAAATTTGTATCAAAAATATATTTAAGTACATCACTAAATAAATAAATAATTTAAAATTAGTTAAAAGGCAAACCTTTTTAAAATATTACTTTTTGGTCCAGATCTTTTTTTAATATTTTCTAAATTTAAATTGTATTTTAAAAGAAGTAATTTAACTGCAGGGCCTATTAGAATTGAAGAAATTGGGGAATGTTGCAAATTAACACATCTCGAAATTGTCGGAAATCGAACAATTGAAGAATTAACAAAAATCATCTAAACACAATTTGCAAATTTTTTAAAATAATCTTTTAAAAATAAAAAAAGAAATTTTTTTATTTCCGCACTCAAATGATATGTTTTTATATTTTAGTGGACAGTTTGATATTAATTACAGTATACCAATTGCCGTTTTTCTCATAAAATTTTTTAAAAGAAATACTTTTATTTCATGCATCGACATTTTTTTGCAAAATTTAGGATGTTACATACAATTTTTTACAAAATTACTAAAAATCGTCATCTTCATTGCTGAGATTGGATAATAATAATGATAACATTTGTGGCTGTATTTGTTTGGTCAAAGCAACGAAGACAAAAAGCTATACTATAAAAGCCAGACTTTTTCCCTCACTTCAGCTCCATTTCAACTCAACTATAAACTTGCCTTCTACTGTCAACATTCCTGCGTCGACTTCGTTTCGGGAGGACTTCATCGAATATGGACAGTAGCCGTTCTAATAAAGGACGAACAAAGGAAAAGAAGGTTATTTTTTAGTTTAAAATTATTTTTAAAATCGAAAATAATTCTTTTATTTTTAGCCTAATCTATTGGTCAAAGCTGCAAAAAGTGCTCGACTTCCGCCCGCATGTGCCTGTTGTAAGGTGGTAAAGGCAACAAGAACTGCAAGATCGTCATCTTCGTCGCTGAGATTGGACGAGAATGAGAAGATTTGTGGCTGTACTTGTTTGGTCAAAGCAACGAAGACTGCAAAACATCCTTTGGTCGCAGATGATGAAACCATAAATGGCGAGGACAACATAAATTCTGACAACAACAATTCCTTCCGTGGGATACAGCGTCGAATGAATGAAAAGTCTTCGGTGCGTTTATTTTAAATATTTAAAATTTCTAAACAAATTATTTTAGCTTCGCAGAATGTTCTCTGTGGTAGCTTCTTCACGTGGTCGAGGACAACGTACACCATCAGTATCTTCGACACAAGAAGAACAAGAAGGAAGCAAGGACGAAGTTGACAACAGCAAAGTAAAGAGAAGCAGTCGTCTACCACCAAGAGGAGGATTAGCTCAAAGAGGCGGTACGAGTAGAAGAGCTGCTGTTGTCAAAGGAACAAGGACTGCTATAATACCTCTGGATGACGAACCATCATTGCGTTTCATTGACGCACAGTCAGAGTGTTCTCAAGTTTACGACTATTCTGTTGAAGAGTCAGAACCTCTATCTTGGCAGGAGAAATCAATGCGCCTTCCGTTGCCGGAGAAGTACAGCGACATTAGATCTACGTGTAGTGGTAGGAGCTTCTTCAGCGCAGCACGTCCATTGCATCCTAGCGCGGTAGATTATTTTCGGATTATTTACAAATCTAATTCATTAAATTTCCAGGTGAAGGTGCACAGTGTGGACAAGTTCCTTGCTGAAGAAGAAAAGAAGGAAAGGGGAGCGAGACCTTGCTGTTTTAGTGCAGCACTGAGGGAACAGATGTTGCGATCGAGAAAGGGGTCTTGTAGTGTTGTCAAGGAATCTGCCGCCGAGAAAGTAATTTTTAATTGAATATGCTAAAAATAATAATTATATATTCAATTTTTAGACTCAATCTTCATCTGAATATGCTGGTGGACATCATCAGAGTTGTCCAAAGTCGTCTGGCAAAAGTGAAGATATTGAGGCAGGTACACATCGCTTCTATGGGCTGGAAGTTGTTGGTCAGATATTCCGGGTGTTAGTTGATGGTAAAGAACTGTGGACGGCACACGATGGAAAGTGAAAAAGAAGAAAGGAATGAAAATCTAATAAATAACAAAAATAAATAACACTTGTATGTATGTATTAGGCTAAATCTTTTTTCCTATCTTGTATTCATCCCGTTATTTTGTTGTTTTGCTATCATATGTATAAGTTATGTAAATAAATGTATATAAACTTTGGAAGATTTCTTGCATTGTGTTTACCGAAAATCCATAAAAATCCGGCAGCAAAATAAGCAGAGAAAAATGCGGTAAAATATGCGTTATGCTTATTTTCCAGATCTTTCCGAGTTTAGTAAAAGCGAAACACATAATTAGGTATTAGCCTAGTTACTAGGTGGCTGGCATCCATTTAAACTTTTACCATCTTATTCTTGAATATTTACAAATACTCTTTCAAAGATTCAAAATTTGGCATTTTGTATGAAACATTTTAGCGATTTCCCTGTTCGCAAAATACTAAAATATTAACATAAAATTACACAATAAGTAGCATTAAAAGAAAGAAGCGGAATTTTGCGGGTTCCTTTCCACAGTTTAATTTGTACTAGGGATTGTGGATTACAAATAGAATTTTTAAGGGACACGCCCAAGTAGGCGTGCGGCCAGGTAGGCGCAAAGCCATAACTATCTGGAAAATTTCTGGACCTTAACGATTTTGGTACCAATCTCTTTAGCTCGATGAGAGGAATCGTTTAATGCTAAATTTAATAAGATTCGAAAATCTTGAAGCAAGTTATGGCTCTGCGCCTACTTGGCCGCGCGCCTACTTGGGCTGTACCCGAATTTTTAAGATTTGTTTTGAAATTTCTTTTTTTATGACCAATCCAAATAATAAGCGAGAAATATTTGCCAAAATGAGAAATAAATACAAACAAATATATTTTACTTATATTCACTTCAATTTTAAACTATAAAATTATTAATTTTTATAAGTAATTAATTCTCCATCTAAAAATTAATTTTTTTCCTTCATTTATTTAATTTTTATTTAAATCCATCCCCATTTTTTCATATCAGAAGAGGCCTTGGTAAATAATTCTTCCCATTCCTTTTTTTGTTCAGCGCTTAATCCCCCAGCATATTTTTGCATTATTGCCAACCAAGCATCTTTTGTTTTCTTTAAAAAAAAGAAAGATTTATTTTTGAAATTATAAACTTACAATAAAATTAGATAAAGGAACATCACTGTCACTGTAATGTTCTTTAACATTGGAAAGAGAAGAACGCCAAGAACGTTCATCTTTAACTTGTTCGGGTAGTTGCATTAAAGCCTAAAAATTAATTTAATTAACTTTAAAAAGAGAGAAGAACTTGTATTTCATTCATTGCCATCATTATATAACGTTGTGACCTTCCAACCTATTTAAATTAATTATATTTTATTTATTTATTTTTTACTGTTTCTGGATCAACACCTCCATAAGCATCAGCAACATCAGAATGTTTAGAAAAAAGTCTTTAAAATTTATTTTAAATTTTAAATTGTTTATTAAACTCTTTATAATAATCGGCAGCAGCATCCTTTCCCAATTTAAATTGTTGTATTTGCTTTTTAAGTAATTCACCGTTAACCATTTTTAAAGTAAATTTAAATAAAAATAATCTTCTAAAAATTAAAAAAATAACTACTTATTTTTTAATTAAAATTAGTATTTAATCCAAAAAATATTTTCACCAATTTAGAGTATTCTTTAGGCTTATTTGAAGGCCTATAAAGTTTGTTTGATGCCCTTAATCCAAAATATATATAAAAATCTAGATAATTTTTCAATTTTTTAAATAGTATGTACTAATATTGCAATAAAATAATTTTATTTAATTAAAGTGCAAATATTAAATTACAATTAATTAAAATTAAAAAAACTTTTTAAAAGTGTGTGGTCATTTTAAAGGTGAGGTTTTTCCGAAAATAATTTAAAAAATAAAAATTAGTATAAAGAAAATTTCAGCCACCTTAGCCATCAAAAACGAAAGAAAACTAAAAAAAAGTTTTTGATTCTGAAAATATATAAACATATTTTTACAGAAAATCAAAAAAATATGACCAGGATTACGTCAATTTCCAAATTTTAAATATACCTAATCACGTTTTTAAGGAATCCTTGTGATTTTAAAAATCACAAAATATAAAAAAAAAGAAAAACAAAAGTTAAGTGCAAATTAATTGTTAAATAAATTTTTTTTAAATAAAACAAACAAAATTCTTTTTTTTTATTTAAACAACAGTTGTCGAATTATGGCATTTAACCAATTTATTTGGCTGGTCAACAAAAAATTTTTTTCTTTTAACGTTTAATTGGTATTTATTTATATAATTAAAATCACACATTTCCAGAAAATTCTTATATCTACCTATCTACTTTTAAAAAAAAGAAAAGAAAAGAAAAATTATAGAAAGATTTTATTATTTTAAAATTAGAGAGAAAATAATAAAATAAAAAATTATTTTTAATTATTTGTAGCTGTATTAGAAACAGATTTACGTCGAAGTCTACTAAGCCAAGAATTGCCCGCTTTCTTAACAGCTTTGGGCATTTGTCCGATATTAGAAAATTGATCAGAAGTATTTTGTTGTTGTTGTGGATCGTCCTTTTTTAAAAAAATATTTAAAAAGATTACTCAATTAATTGGGGGGGGGGGGGGGGGGGGTTGATCAAATATTAGATACATTACTTATTTACAAAATAGTGTTTTTTAACTCTAGTGAATGATATGCATCCTATGAGAATTACTTTAAGACTTGTAAATAAAGGGCTCCCCCTCTTATTGTGGAATTTCTATATTTCTGTGGAACTCATGTCTAAAGGGAAGTATTTGCTTTTAAAACAAACAATTATTTGATGTGTATTTGTAGTATTACTACCAACAGCCTTAGGTAATCGACTTGTACTTGCTGAACGATTTCCGCCATAATTTGATGGAAATGGAGATTTTGACTTTAAAAAAAGCAAATAAAATTAAAAAAATTAAAAAAACTTTAATATTTTCATTATTTAATTGTTTTGGGGTTGGGGAACGGCTTCCTCCCCCTGTACAAGCACCAGAACGAGTTAAGGGTCTTCGAGTAGAGGAAGTTGGGGGAGGAAAATTAATTAAATTATTATTTTGTATTTTATTAGAATAATTATTTAATTTTGAAGAAGAAATTAATTGGTGGTTGTGATTGTTGTCGATTAGTAAATTCTAAAAAAAAGAAAAATAATTTTTGTTGAAGAAAGGAAAGAAGGGAAATTAAAAATTAAACTTTATTAAATTGTGGAAGTTTAGTTTGACTTCCACTTCTACTTATTGTTGAAGAATTTAATAATAAAGAGATTGGAGGTGCTGAAGGTGTTGGTGGATGTAAAATTGATTTAGTAATAAAATTAGTATTTTGTTTTTCTGTTGGTTTTGAAGAAATTAAATTTTGAATTTTTAATGAACAACTTTGTTAAAAAAATAATAATTTTTTAATTAAAAATTAATTTAAATTTAATACTTATTTTCCAAATCATATTCATTTTTGGTTGTAGAATTTTGTCTAACAAGTATTGGACGTGAACGATTACTTAACTTTAAAAATAAAAAATAATTTTATTTTAAATTAATAAAAACTTTTTGTTCATTAAAATAATTATTTTGTAAATATTTATTTGTAAATATTGGAGTGCCAGAAGGGGAATTATTTGGAATAAATTCATTTAATAAATGTTTGTTAATATTTTGTTGTTGTTTTGGTGGGGATGAAGGTGGGGGAAGAGGAAGAAAAAGTGGGGGAGGGGAGGAAGTAGATGATTGTAACCATTTAAATTGCTGATTATTTTGTGAATTAGTAAGAGTAATGTTTCCTTCAAAAAATAATAATTCGGTACTACTTATTGGGTTATCTCCTCACATTTTATTTTTCTTAACCTTAACTTATCATTTCTCCACAAAAAGTACACATGGGTCAAAGTGTGTATTATATCATGATTTAACATTCTCTGCAATTTAGGACCAAAAAAACCAACCAACCGAAACAAATTTGCAATTATGTATGTACTATTTGCAATAGTTCTATTCCCATAAGTAAACAAAGACTCGCCCAGAGTTATGGCACACACGCGTGATACCTGACTATTGGCTCAAAAAAAGAAGAGAATCGTTATAATCCTTTAACAGTAACCCGTGTGTAATTTTTGGAAAAGTAAGAAGATTTTTAGGAAGATAACGGATTAGTACCAAAAAAATTCTTTACTACCGACCACTTTGTGTTTTTCTCTGTAAAATTTTTCCTTTAAAATTTTCTGTTGAAAATTGTTGTTGTTGTTCTTTAGTTAAAGATATTTTTGTTTTTGAATTAATTATTTGTTTATTTTCTTCTTTATTATCACAAATTCTAGATAAATTCCAAGCAGAATCAAATAAACGTAAAAATTCCATTTCAATACTCTTTTAAAAATAATTAATTAAAATATTTTAATTTAATTACTTGTTCATTAAATTCAACTAAAGAATCAAATCCAATTGTTTGTTTTCTTTTGTTTTTTTGTTGTAAATATAATTTAGATGGAAGGAAATATTTAATTTTAGAATTCGAAATTCTTTCAATAAAAGATGTTCCATTAAAGGAAATTGAACGGCGATTGAGAAATGTTGAATATTGTTTTTTAGGAGGGTTTTCTATTTGTAATTGAAAATGTTGTCTTTCTATCTTTAAAAAAAGGGGGGGGGGATTAATTAAATATATCCAATTTAGTACTTGTAAATTAGCAATTAATAATTGCCCTTTTAATATATTTATTTCCAATTCATTTTGAAATTCATCAAAACATTTTCTTGACAATAAAGAACGCATTTGTCCTAATTTTTTAACAAGTCCAGCAGCAAAAGAATATAAGGCGTCATAAGAGGGAATTAATTCAAAATAATTATTATTTATTTGCTGATTATTATTTTGAATTAAATTAAATATTTTTCTTTGAAGTTTTTCTACTTGTTCTAATGCTTCTTGTAAAGCCTTTTTTAAATAAAAATTAAGTTGGGGGTTTTTAATATTGTTGTGTATGAACAAAACCTCATTAACGATTAAATAATAGGTTAATAGTTATTATTGTTCTGTCTCTCCGGTCTACAAACCCCCCCCCCCCCCTCTCTTCAATTGTAATTTCTATACGTGATAACCCTTTGTGTACACATGTACTCGTCGGCTTTGGCAACCCCTCATATAAACCTCAAACACACCAATCATACCTCAATTTAAAATATGTTTTCCAATGTTTAGGAGGGAAAGAGGGGGGGGGGTGTCCAAAAGATACTTCTATTTTTAAAACAAACTTATTATTAGAGACAGGATTTTTAATTTCTTTTACATAATAACTTCAATTAAAATTTAACTAATATTTTCTTTAATTAATTAAAAAAACTTGCCTGTTTATCTTTAACGTTAGCATTTAAATTAATTCTTTGATATTTTTGTGTTTCTAATTTAATTATTTGTAATTGCTCATTAATTTGTTTATTTATTTTTTCATTTAATTTTTTTATATTTTCTTCAATTTCGCAAAATAAAATTGTTTTAAAACAAATATTTCCAATTTTTTGGTTAAAATATTGTTGAGATTTTAATTGTTTTAATTCTTTAATTAAATTATTTATTTTTGAATCTGATGAAGAAATTAAAGAGGATTTTTCTCTAAGTTGGTCAATTAATCGAGCATTTCTTTTTTTTAAAAAATTAATTTAAATTAATTAAATTCTAATTAAATTACCTAGATTTAAGTAATTGGATTTCTAATTTAATTTCATCATTTTCTGAATTTTGTTGTTGTCTTTGGTGGTGGTTAGTACTTTAAATTTAAAATTTATTTTGAAACTAATACATATCAAGAATCCTACATCCATCCTACTAAAAATCCTTCTATCCCCCCCTCCCACACACACACATTTTTAAAAGCTTCAAGTATCATCTTAATTTTTTATAATTTACTATATCCCCCCTATATACTCGATTCCCCACCGTTTACCAACTAACTACCTATATTTAAAAAACAAACACAAACTTTATTTTAAATTTTCCTTCTTTATCTTCTTTACAAAACTCTTTAATTATTAATTTATTATTATTCTTATTTGTTTCCAAAAAACAGCTTTGTGGACGTTTATTATTATTTTTATTATTTCTACATTTAATTAAAAATTGTTGTTTATTAGAAGGTTCTGATTCTATTTTTATTTGACTATCTGTTAAATTCCCCCCTCCTCCTCCTCCTCCAGAAGAAGAAGAATATCCATCAGTATTTTCATTAGAAAACATTAATAATGCTGTAGAATGTCTTTTATTATTTCCTCCTTCTTCATTTTCTTCATTTTTTCCTTTTCTTCTTTTTTTATTTCCACCCCCAACTTTCCGTGTATTAATTACTAAATTATCTACAATTTTTGATATTGATGATTGTTGTTTATTTAAATTATTATTTAATTGTTTTCTCCATTGATTTCGCCTAGAAGAAGCACCAAATCCAAAAAGTTCAAGAAGACTATTTTTTGAAGAAGTCATTAAATTATTTGTATTTATTGGAGGTTCTACCTTTAAAAAGAAATTGAAATTTAAATTTAAATTAATTAAAAATAACTGAAGAACTTGCACTGCTACTTCCTACAGAAAGGCTTGTTCCTGAAGTTAAGGAATTCGAAAGACGAAGAAATTGTTGTTGTTGTTGTTCATCTGCACGTCTTTCCATTTTACGTCGATGATTAAAATTTGAATTATTTAAATCTTAAAAATTGAAGGAAGATTTCCTTTTTTTCCTTTTATTTCCTTTAACCTTTTTCACAGTTCTCCAATTCCCATTCATCATCAAATAATAATTCAGATTCACCCAATTTTGGTTGATTATTTATTTGATTATTTAATGCAAAATTTTTACGGCAAAGTCCGGAAGAATCAGAGGAAAGATCGGCAGAATAAGCACTTACTGATAAACTATTTACACAACCAATCTTTTTTAAAGAAATAAAAATATACCGTATTTTCTCTAAAATAAGCCCCCCCTCCAAAATAAGCCCCCCTCTAAAATAAGCCCCCTCCCCCAGAAAATTTTTAATTGTTGATTAATTTTTGTGTCCTCTTCAGTTGAGTCTCCAGGAGGGATATAGAAGGATTAGAATTGGTTAGAAGTGTATTTGGAAGATTAACAGATATATAAAGGGATCAACGTACATAGATATCGAGGATCCTCTAAATCCCATCAAATCCATTGATAATTCTTTTAATTTCTGAAACTGCATTTTAACCTTTATCTCCCCGACATCACTTAATCCACCAAAATACTAATTCTCAAAACACAAAATGCTTCCTATAAATGTCTCAATATTCACCTTAATCCTCCGATATCTCCAACTTAAAGGCTTATCTAAGCTGAAGGATCAATTGACAGAGTACTTGATGAGTTTTTGGACAAGGATTTTTCTTGAAGAGATTTAGTATAGGATGAATCTTATTGAATTTTAGAAAAATTCGTTCTAAATGTTTAGTAAAAAATTCAGTTTTTCAAAAATTTAGACATCGAAAAAATAAGCCCCCCCCCCTCCAAAATAAGCCCCCCTCTAAAATAAGCCCCCTCTAGAGGTCGATCGAAAAAAATAAGCCCCGGGGCTTATTTTAGAGAAAATACGGTATTTAAATATATTTAAGCAGTGCTAACTAAGCTTGTACCTTTCTTACTACTATATTTAATAACAAGTATCATTAAAAATTAGATCAACTGTCACAATAATTAAGTTGGTTTATTTAACGAGGTAAAACTTTTATTTGAAGCTACAACACCTAGGGTACAAAGTTCTAACCATGACCATATTATATTTTCATAAAAAATCATTTTTACTTTATTTATTGGAGGTAAAGGACTAAGCTGTTCCTGTGCCCCTCTACTTCCACCACTTCCACTCATTGTTAAAAATCTTCCACCAATTGTGCCTTCTCCTCCTCCACCATTACAGTTATTAATTAATAATCTTTTTTGCCTTGAAAATAATTCACTAACTGCAGAAGAACAACTTGTAGAATTTCCGGAAGATTTCTTTAAAGAAAAATATTTTTGTTTATTTTCAAAAAAAACTTGTAATAAAGGAAAACAAAAACTATTTGTTGTATTTCCTTCTCCATCAATATTTGTTGTTTTTGTTGATAAATTATTACCAACATTATTAAATAAACGTTTACTAGGTAAAGAACAAATAGCTGCTGTACATCCACTTTTAATTAAATAATTTGATAATAAATTATTTTTATTTTTATTTAAAATTTCTTTTTTATTTTCATCTTCTCCTCCTCCTTCTTCATCTTCTTTATTTTTTAATTTATTTTTATTTTTTAAACGATGTTTTAAACGATTATTTTGTTTTTGTAATTTTGTTATTTCACCAAGTAATGTACACATAGTTCCTTTAAAAATAATATTTTGGTTACTTAAGTATTTGTAGCGAAGATTTAGTGGGTCGTAATTTTGTTACTATTAAAGAATCACGTTAATTTTAGTGTCAATCGACTCAGCTCGAGGAGCTCTTTCGAATGAGCTGTCATTTATATGCTCGCCCCCAAAAATGAGCTTAGTCTTCCCTTTGATTTTTAAATTTTCGGTTGCCTGTATTTCGATCCGCAGGCATTTCCGACCATAGATAGTGAGATACAATTCTGCTTAGATCGACGAACAAAACGGAAGATATAAAAATTGAAAGACAGCCAAGAATTTGCGGGCATAACAGAAAAATACCCAATATTTTTTTTAATAATTTCAAAAACAAAACCGAGCATTATCGCTGGTTGTTGTTCCTCATTTTCTATTAATTTTTGTTTTTCATTAGAGGAATTTAATGTTAGATTATTTAATTTAGTTAAATTTTCTTCTTCACATTCTGCTTGCATTTTCTCCTTTAAAATAATTTTTTTAATAAAAATTAATTTTTAAAACTACCAATTCTTTTAAAAATGCTTCTTCTTCAGCCTCATAACTTTAAATATTTAAATTAATTTAAACAAAAAAAATTTTTAATTCTACAAAAATTCATCCCTTTCTAACTCAAACAGAAAATTCCCCCCAAAAAAATATTTATTTTTTTTAAAAAACCTAGCAATAATTGTTCGAATTGAACGGCGTCTTTCAAGTTCTGCTTTTCTTTGTTGTTGTCCATCAGAAGAAGTTATTTTTGTATTTTTTGTATTATAATTAGCCATTTTGTATATTTTAAATATTTATTGAATAAAATTTTGTTCATTCAGTAAAATGACCAAAATAATTATTTTTTCTCAAAACTTTCTTCAATAAAGCAACTGTTTAAAATCTTTTATTCTTTTAAGTAAATAGTAAAAAGAATTTAAAGAGGATATTTATTTAGATTGTTGTGGTCAATAAATAAATAACAAATGTTTAATGGTTATTTATTTGAAATATTTAAATTAAGATAGAATTTCCACAAATGTGTAAAAAATTTTGACAAAATTTTAACAGAAATAAAGATTAAAATTATTATAATAAAAGTTTAAATAATTTAATTTTATCCTTCACATATACAAATTTTTTTCATTTCAAAAATATTTTAGAAAATTTTTTTACGAAAATATTTTAGTAATCTTTAAATAAAAATTTTTCAAAAATGCCAAAATTTGCAAAATTTCGGCAAAAATACGTAAAAACATGGAGCACCTTTGGCTAACTTTAATTAATTTTAATTAAAATATATATTTTATGTCCGAAGATTGCCCGAGCTTTGTCTAAGCCGACGGGCACCTGAATAACGTTTATACAAAAAAAGCTAGGTATTTTTTGCCTTTTATTTATACTCCGCCACACATTATTATAACACCATTACACAACAATTTTTGTTAAATTTTAGTTAAATTTTATTAATTTTTAAAAATAATTTTATTTTTATTCAATTATTATATACTTCACTTAATTTTAAATCCAAAAATTTTCTAAGAAAAACAAAATATCATCAGTTAATTAATGTTGAAATAAATATGTATATATTACTATCAATAAATTTAAATTACATAAATTAATTAATTGGTCGGGTGCTTTTCACATTTTTTTATTTTATTTGCTGATTACATTTTCCTAAATTTTATTCTTTTTTTAAAGCAAAAGGTGGCCCCATTCTTTTTTTATTTTTTTTACATTTATTTACTCTATATTTATTTATTTTCTAATTTTTAAAGAAAATATTTTTAATTAAAATGTCTACTAACAAAGAAAAAGAATTTTCAATTGAAAAACAATTTTTGGCTGCAGATTTGGAGGATTCTTTAATTATACAAGAACAAACAAAATTAGTTTAGTAAATTTTAATTTTAAAATTTATTTTAAAAATAAAGGATAATTTTAAACCAAAAATTGTTTGGAGAAATGTTTTTTTATTTACAATTTTACATTTGGCTGCATTACAAGGATTTTGGCATTTTTTATTTAATGCAAATTGGTTAACTTTTATTTGGACTATTTTTCTTTGGATTTTTAGTGGTATGGGAATAACTGCTGGGGCACATCGTTTATGGGCACATCGAGTAAATTTAAAAGGAAAATTTATTATTAATTTCCCTCTCTTCTTTAAAAGTCATATAAAGCTCGTTTTCCTTTACGTTCATTATTAATGGTACTTAATTGTATTGCTTTTCAAAATGATATAATTGAATGGGCAAGAGACCATAGATGTCACCATAAATGGTCTGACACAAATGCTGATCCTCATAATGTTAATAGAGGATTGTTTTTTGCACATATGGGTTGGCTGTTAGTTAAAAAACATCCACAAGTTAAAGCTAAAGGGGCTGGACTTGATTTAAGTGATTTGTTTGGTGATCCAGTACTTCGATTTCAACGAAAGTAAAAAAATAAATAAATGGTACTTTTCCGTTATATACCCACAAATTCTCTGACTTTACTTTAGCCAGTGGCCGGTTCCAAAGTCGTTCGATTTATATATCTTTCGATTTGTATCGTCGGTCTAAGTCGAATTGTACCACACTCTTCGATTGGAAATGTCTGCAGCCCGAGATACAGGTCCCCGAAAGTTGAAAAATGATATGGGAGACCAGGATTATTATCGTCGAATATCTAGAGTCTAAACAAAATTACAACCAACAGAATTATTGCTGGTAAAAATTTGTTGGGCATATAACGGAAAAGTGCTAAATTAATTAATTAAAAATTAATTAATTATTTTTTAAAGATATTATCTTTTGTTGGTTTTTATATTTTGTTTTTTAATGCCGACAGTAATTCCCGTTTATTTTTGGGGAGAAAAGCCTTTAACAGCTTTCTTAACTGGGGCTGCATTTCGATATTGTTTTGCTTTACATGCTACTTGGCTTATAAATAGTGTTGCACACAAGTAAATTTATATTAAATAAAAATTAAAAAAATAATTTCTTTTAAAGATTTGGTTATAGACCTTATGATGTTAATATAAGCCCTGCAGAGTCTGTAAGTTTTAAATGAATTTATTGAGAAAATATTTTTGTGTTAAAAAAAGGTTTGGACAACAATATTAGCTGTTGGGGAAGGAGGACATAATTATCACCACACTTTCCCTCAAGATTACCGAACATCTGAAATGATGACTCCATTTAATTTAACTAAAGTAAAAAAAAATTAAAAATTAAAAATAAAATTAAAACTAAAAATTTTGAAGGCTTTTATTGACTTTTTTGCAATAATTGGACAGGCTTATGAACGTAAAGTAACACCTATTTCAAATATTTATCGCCAGATGGGTAGACAATTGGAACAGCTGCATAAGAGAGTTATGGATTCACATAAATCATTTTAAATTTTGAATAAATATTAAATTAACTATTTTTTTATTTTTAATTGTTTTTTAATTTTAATTTAAAGAAAAAATAAATTTAATTAAGAAAAATAATTATAAATTTTAAAATCCCAGGATATAGTTTCGATGCAAAACATATACAATTCGATTAGTCTCGACGAGCTCTTTTAAATGAGCTTACTCACCCCTATGGTTTTTCGATTTTCAGGGACTTATATCTCCGTCCACATTCATTCCTGGAAAAAATAATGTTACCGTTCGACTCAGCTCGTCGAGACGAATCGAATGGTATTTATTTTGTATCGAAACTACTTCCGGTATACTAAACTATAGCCAAATCCCAAAATTTTTGGCTCGAGTTTTTAAAAAAATTTAGAGTTCGGGCTTTTTTTGCAAAATTTTTGTATACTTTCGAGTATAAAAAATTAAATTGATGAACATAAAATAAATTTAAAAAATTTTTTAGTTATTTTAATTTAAGAAACTTTTAATAATTATCAAAAAATTTTTTTTTCTCTTTAATATCATTTTTTTAGTTTCAATTTTGTCGCGCTAAAACCGAGGAAAAAATAAATAAATGTTTTATTTGATTGAAGAAGGAGACAAAAATTTTATTTATTTTTTACTTCCTTTCCATCAGGCAAAAGCTTTCCTTTGGGAATTTATTTTTGAAAGTTTATATTTAAATAATCTAAATTGCGCAATCATTTAATAAAAAATTTATTTAAATTTTATTTTCAAATTTTAGAAAATTTTGTAGATATTCTAAAATATTTTTAAATAAAAAACAAGAAAAAATTTTGATTGTAATTCCCAAATTTACACAAAGTTTAGCAAAAAATATGTAAATATCACAAAATATGAGCCTGCAAATATGCAATCAAAACTTTAAAAACATTATGTTTGTATTTCTATCTTCAATGACAAAAATTTTTATTTGACTGTTTTGTGAGGGGCCCTCTTAATTATTATTTGAACAGTCAATCACTTATTATCACACAAAATTATATTAAAAACAAATAAAAGTAATTAAATATATCAATTTTTAAAGCTAATAAATAAATATAAAACTAACCAAAACATTTTTATATATTTATTTATTTGCACATATTTAAGAATTAAAACCAGCCAATCGCTTTCTCTTTTTCACATTTTTATTATTTTCTACCAACCACCACATGTCCTAAAGAAAGAAAGAAATCAAGTAAGTAATGGTCAGTCACACAATTATTTATTTATTTATAATATTTAATCAACAATTTAGAGTTTATTAATCAAAAATGAAAATTCAGAATTCAAAACCTTTTTCTGTTTTAAATTGTTTAATTGTCTAAGTCCAAATCAAAAGTGTTAAATTAATATAAAAATAAATCTTTTATTTTTTCTGGAGGAGTCGGGGAGGGGATGTTGTATTTTATCAAATAAATTTCATATAATTATATATTTTTTTAATTTTCCAAAGTGTGTGTTCACAATTTTTAATTTTATTTTAATCCAACTGTGATTTTTAATTTTAAAGTTATTTAACCTTCAGAAAATTGTTTTTCCAAAATTAATAAATAAAAAGTTTTTTTTCAGTTTTTAATTAAAAATATTTTCTTTTTTTTTTAAATTCTAAAAAATATTTAAAATATTCTCTTTCAAAAATTTATTATTAAAAAAATATTTAATATTTTTTAAATAAATGACCAATCGTTGTTGTTGATTATTTATATTTCTTTTTTTATCTGGATTTTAAAAAATAAAATAATTTTTTTTATATTTTAATTAAAAATAAATTTATTTTTTTTCTTCAATTTTTAAAAATTAATTTTAAAAAATATTTTCTTTCAAGGACTTTAATTTTTATCGAAAACTCTTCAAAAAATAAAACAAAAAAAAACAAAAAAAAATATAAAAATTCTTTTTGGCCTTTACTGAAACAATTTGTAAGAAATTATTTTTATTTTATTTTGCATGTATTTCCTCCTTTTTTAAGATAAAATATTTTTTCTTGTATATTCTTATGCAAATATTTTTGATTTATTTTTTTTTACATTTAAAAAAACCCCAAATATTTTTTTGGAATTATTTCCTCATCAAAATTAAATATATTTATTTTTATTTTATTAAATTTTTTAATAAAAATATTTTGCCCTTGGGATTTCATATAAATTTTTGTTTTTATTTATTTGTTACACTGGTCAATAACCAAAAACTTGGAATTTTCTTTAAAAGAAAAAAAAAGAAAAGAATTCCCCGCAAATTTTTAGTAAAATAAATTAATTTTGTGGCGCCTCAATTTATCTTCTTTTTCACAAATATTCTTCTTTTCTTTATTAAAAATATTTTTTGTGAAACTTTTATCGCCTTTTTTCTTATTTTTGTAGGAAATATTTTTAAAAAATTAATTTAATTTAAAGTTTTTTATTAAATAAATAAATATCTAAATATCCTTTTCCAAATTATTTACATATTTATTCTTTCTTTTTTTTCTTTTATTCTTTTTTAGAAAATAAAAAGATAAAGAGAATAAAAGGCGGCGGTTATATTCTCTTTCTTTTGACCTTAACCCATAAGGTCATTCACAAATAATTTATTTATTTTATAATAAAAGATTAAAAGAAGTAAAAAAATAGGAACTATGTATGTATATTGAATATTTTATTTTTATTTTTTATTTCGGCCCCGATAAATGAGGTAAATGAGAAAGGAAGTAAAGGTAAATCAGAAATGTAGAAATCACGTCAGGGAACTCTCGAAAGTCTGGAAATTGAATAAAATATCAGCCGTATTTACTCTCCTCGAACATTTAGATTCCCCTTCTCTAAATTTTGTTAAATTTTCTTTTTTTTCTAAAGTTTTTATTTAAAAAATAAATGAATTTAAATTTAAATAAAAAAGAAAACCAACAAATAATTAAAAACAACGATAAAAATTTAAATTTTAGAAAATTTAATCGACACAGAAAAAATAAAATTTTGGTGGAAAGTAGTGAGGATGATGATGATTCTGGTAATTTATTTATTTGAAAATAAATAAATAAATATTTAAAAGGTTGTGCAATAGATGAATTATATTATTATTTGTGGATACCTTTAAAAACAAAAAATGTAAATTAAATTAATTATTTAAATTAATTTATTTAAAGATTACTTCTTCTTCTTCATTAAATTTAAATAAAATAATTAAATACCAATTACCTTTACAAGATTTTTCTAAAAATTTTTGTTTAAATATTAAAAATAAAAAAGAATATAGCGAATTTAAAGAATTTATTGTTAAAAGAAAACAAAATTATTTTGGACAGGGAAGTCCTAAAAAAATTGTTGGAGAAAAAATATATTGTAGACAGGTAATGTAATAAATATATTTTTAATTTAATTTGTGAAATATTTAATAAACAAAAAAAGTTTTTAAAAACATTTTTTTCTTTTTTCAATAATTTTTATTTAATTTTATTAAAATTGTGAAAATTAAATAATCTTTGTTTTAATTAATTTTTAAAAGAAGTTTCTATATTAATTAAGTCTCCAGTTATTTTTGGATAACTTTAATTAAAATAAATTTAGAAAAAAATATTTTTATAATATTTTTAAATTTAGTGTAAATCCCCAATCGAATCCAAAACCTTAGCAATTACTGCAATTACCCATTTTGGATTATATGCCCATTGGCATCCAAATTGTTTTGTTTGCGTTGAATGTAAAGAATTATTGGTTAATTTAATTTATTTTGCACACCAAGACAAGTTTTTATTTTTAAATAAAAATAATCTAATTAAAAAAAAAGTATTTTTTGTGGTCGTCACCATGCAGAATTAACCAAACCTCGATGTGCTGGTTGTGATGAAGTAGTTATTTTTTTATTAAATTTTGTTAGGGAAAATTTAAGAAAATTAAAAAGAAAAATAATTTTTTTATTTAAATTTTTAGTTAATATTTGGGGAGGAATGTACGGAAGCTGAAGGAAAAACTTGGCATTTAAATCATTTTTGTTGTATAAAATGTAATCAACCATTGGCTGGATGTCAATATGTGGTTAATAAATAAATTAAAGTAAAAAAAATATTTTTTTTAAAAAGATGAAAATTTTAAAAGAAAATAAAAAAGAATTTCCGTTTTGTTTGGATTGCTGTCAAAATATTTCTTCTTCTTCAAATAATTATTGTGCAACTTGTTTTGTTAAAATTCCTTGTGATTATCCACATATTGTTGCTAAAGTTTATTTCGTTAATTTTTCCCAAAATTTTTTTTAAATTTAGAATGAAAATTCTTTTAAATGGCATATAAATTCTAATTGTTTTTGTTGTTCTAGTTGTAAAGTAATTTAATAATTAATTAAATAATTATTTTAAAATATATATTGGTAAATGTCCAGCTTGCTGTCCACATGTTCACAAAAGGATATGTGGATTTATTTTCCCTCAGATTATTAAACAGGGTTTCGATCTCGAATTTTTAAAAATCCGAAATTCTGATCTAAAAATCCGCATTCTATATCTCTATACAAAAATACCCTAAAAATCCAAAACCCGTCCACTTTTTTGTCATAATTTCTAATATCACCTTAAATTTTCGTATTTAAATATTTGCGTCAGACTGCCAACCAAACATTTGATTGCGAACATGTGGACAGGAAGCTGGACATTTGCCATATATATTTATTTATTTATAGAGATCTTTAATTGGATTGCCTTATTCATTAATTAATAACCAATTATTTTGTAATTATTGTAATAAAAAAAGACAAAATTATTTAAATAATTCCCCTCCTCCTTCTCCTCTTCCTTCATTATCTTCTTCTTCTACAATTTCCTCTTCTTTTTCTCCTTCTCCAACAAAATCAGAATTTAATGAAAGTTTGCTTAAAAATTATCCAAAAAATGTCTCAACAGCAAAAACAATTAATTGGAATAAACAAAAGCCCCCTCCTTCCTTTTCCCCTCCTCCTCCTCTTCCAATAAATGGCCCCCCTCCTTTACCTCCATCATTTATTAAATGCCCATCATCATCAGAAAATTTCTATGAGACTGTAGCTCCTTCAATGCCTAAAAGAAAAACAAATTTTGAAAAAATATTTGGAACAAATAAAAGTACTTCAAGTAGTTTTAAAAGTGAAGAATATTCAAATAATGATGAATTAGGTAAAAGATAATAAATAAATATTTTTCCCTTATATTTTTAAGATTCACCTTGTTCATCAATTTCTGTCAACACTAAAAAAACATTAAATAATGCTGCAAATTCTGAAAGTAAATATTTAAAAAAATTTAAATTTTATAGAAATTTAGTTAAAAACAAAATTCCAAGAAAAACATTTTCAAAGCAGAGAAGTAAAAGTATGGATGGTTATCAAAGAAAAAAAGATTGGAGATTTATTAAAGAAATTAATGAAAATAATGAAGTAAATAAATAAAATAAATAATTATTTTTATTTAAAAATTACAATTTAGAAATATTCACCACCTTCCAATCAAACCAGCCCTTCTTGTACATTACAAATTAACAATAATTTTTTACATCAACTACCAACTACAAGCAGAACTCAAAAGTTATTTTTATTTTTTTCCAAATTTTTCTCACAAAAATATTTTTAAAGAAATTCTTCTTTTATTTTCTCCTCTGAAAGCGAAATAACCGATAATGATGAAGATAAAAACAATTTATTAAGTTCTGAAAGTGATGCTGATGATGAACTATTTTTATCTGCAAATGCCCGATTCCTTCATAATTATCTTTCCATTGCTAAATCAGAATCAAAAAGAAAAAACAATTTTCCTGTAAATAATTTGTCAATTTTGACAAAAAATAGAGACGAATCAAGAAAACATAAACAAAATTGTCACATTTCTTAATTTGTAACATGTAAAGAAGAGCTATAATTATTTTCGAATCTTTAAAATTATTTTTTGTTAAAATATTTACTCATATTTATATGTTATCCGCATAAATTTATTCGTTAATAACATACAAATACCGGGATATTGTGTATTTTTTCATTAGTATTAAGAGTATTTATTTATTTATTTTGAGAGAAACAAGAGAAAAACGTATTATCTTCTGAAAATTACTATTTTACAATTTATTTTTAAAATTTCTTAGTACATTAGCGTTGACGAACTGAAACAATTTAAGTTTGGCACATTTTATTGACGGACTAATCATTGACGAACTAATTTTGACGAATATATCATTGACGAACTCATTATTGACGAGTTAGTAGTTTAGTAAAGTTTTCAAAGCGATAAATACAGTAGTATAATTGTGTACGGTAATGCCGTTACAGTCTAAGCCAATTCGGCTCTTTTTGGCATGTCTTTCTTATTTTTCTTTCATTCTAAATAATTTTTACAACTTTGTGGGTTTAATTCTGAGATTTATTTTTTACGTGAAAAGTATGATCAGACGATCTGTAGTCGGATAAGGATAAAATTATCGTTTGTTCGGGGTTTAGAAAATGATCATATCTGATCAGTCTTTAACTTTTCTTTCATTAATTATCTATTTTAGCAGATTGTTTCTTAGATACAATTGCAATTTGCTAATGGAGTCAGAGCTTAATAATATCGGAGAGGATATTCTTGAAGGAGAAGATATGTTAAACCTTGAAGATCTTGACGAGAAAGAGGTTTTAGGCGACGACGATGATGAGAAAATTACTCTGTATGATTTTTTTAGAATTTAAATTAAAAGTTTCAAACTTTAGCAAAAAGGAATCGGAAGGTGATGATCTTTATGATGCTGCGATTGAGCCATCTGGTCCAGTTAATGAAAAGAGGGAATCAACTGAAGATCACTTGCAAAATTCTGTATCTAGGAAGCATTCCGTTGTGGTGAAAGCTGAGCCAACTGCCACGCAACAAGCGGCAGGCAAGCGTTATTGTTGTTATGTTGGAAACATGACATGGTGGACAACGGATGTAGAACTTGAGGTTTATTTTCACATTGATTGAATTTGATTTTAACTGGTGATCTATAAACTTTTCGGAATTTATATGGCTTAATGTACTTTTTAAGTCTTTTACTGCATCCCTGACTCTCATATTAACATAGCTCAAATTATGAGATAAGTTATTCTTTTCTCTTGATACATATTTCTTCTAGATTCCAGTATTTGCCTCCTACTTGTGTGGATGCATTAAGAATGTGCACTCATTAATTAAAATATTCACCTAAACCATTTAAATTTCATATTTTCAAATAATTTTCAGAAAATTGTCCAGACCTTTGGTATCGATGATTTGATTGATATTAAATTCTACGAGAATCGCAACAATGGTCAGAGCAAAGGTTTTGCTCTTGCTGTTTTTGGAAGTGAGCCGTCCGTCAAAACTCTTATGGAGAAATTGCCAAACAAACAAGTGCACGAGCAGAATCTCGTCGTCTTGCCCTATACTAAACAATCATTGGCTAAGTTAGAAGAAGCAACTAAACGTTATGACCAGGTATGTGTAATTATGATAGTTTTATACACTGCGTTTATTTTTCAGAAGAGTGGTGATCGAGAGCGTAGTCGTGACAACCCTGTAAAGGAAGAAAAGATTGTGAATATTGGCACAATTCGTATTGGCACTAACGGGGCGCCTGTGCCGCAACTTATGTCGTCTATTAATTTGGCTCATTTGGCGAGACCTGTTGTTCCGCAACCACCACACTCTCAGCCAACTAGTCTTCTAAGCTTGAATTTTAATGCTCCACCAGTTCCTACCTCCGTAACAACAGTTAATGTGCCTCCACCAGTTGGCTTTCCTCATAATGTGCGCCCACAACAAGCTGCTTCAGTTGGTCTTATGTCTAATGTTTCTACTGGTTCTGTTATGCCATCAGGTACGCCTAATCCATTGAACAATACAACTGCTGTAATAGTTCAACAACAGCACCCGCAACAACAGCAACAACAAATTGCAGCTATGGCCGTTGCTGCCCACCATCAACAACAGGCAGCTGCTGCGGCTCTTTTAATGCAACAACAACAACAGGCGGCAGCTGTTGCTGCAGCTAACCAACAACGCCAGAATTTAGCGGCGGCGGCGGCCTCAGCTCCACCTCCCATTGGTGGTATTGTCCATCACCAGCCACCTCTAACTAACACTTCTCAACAACAAGCCCTTCAACAGGCAATGAGTCGACCTCCCCCGTCTTTTTCTACATTAGGCTAGTCCTTTTAGGAATCCTAATAATAATTAAATTTATCCAAAATATTTTTATTTTTCACATTTAAGGTGTTAACACTGCAGCTCCACCACCCATGACAATGACTTCAGCAGGTGTAATGGCTGTGTCTAACCAACAAATGTTACAACAACAGCAGCAGCAACCGCAACATCGTGTACAATATAGACCGCCTGATATCAGTCAAGTATCAGCTGGTGTTGGAATGCAATCTGTTCAGCCTCAACCTGGATTTCCATCAGGTGCACACATCAATCCGCAAGTTTATCCTAATTTTGGTGGGTGTAATACATTTTTACTTTCATAAATTTTTGTTAGAATAAAGCAATTTTTGCAATTAAAATTATAAATTTTACTTTAGCTCATGGTGCCGCTGGAGTTTATGGTCATCCAGAAAATGGATCGATGATGTCGGAGGTGGAATTTCAAGAGATCATGACTCGTAACCAAGTGGGCATTATCAGCCAAATTTTTGAATAATTATTTTTAGACAGTTTCTTCTTCTGCTATACATCGAGCCGTAAGTGATGCTGCTGGTGGAGATTACGCGTCTGCTATTGAAACATTGGTAACTGCTATTTCTCTAATTCGTCAGTCACGTGTGGCACACGATGATCGCTGCAAGCTGTTGATTAACACACTTCAGGTTAATTTACATTTTTGAAAATTCAGTAACCTTATTAACTTTTTTTATTTGGTACCTGTGGGTTATTCCAAACTAGTACCTTTTTTAGTACTCCCACAAGTACCTTTTTTGAGTGAATGTTTTAATTAGATTTACTAAAAAAATTTTTTTATCACTTTCTCATTGTTCTTATTACAGTTCTAAAGTTAGTTAAGCTTCTTTGTCTGTTTAAATTTATTATTTAACTAATTAGTAGGGTCTGGATTTTTATGCAAATGCTTATTTTTGTCTTCTTGTAATAGAAACGTGCGATTAAATATGTTATTTTTGCCTGCGACACTCAAAATTTAATTTTTTTGATCCAGAAAGTAAGTCTGATTACGAGCTTGTAAAGGGTACGAAAAATTACGAGCAACATCAAAATTTTCGAACAGCTGTTTCGAAATTTTGATCTTTGATGTAAACTTTTGTTTTTTACTTTCGAAATTGTTAAAAAAATTTTGCTGAAATTATATAAGAATTCTTTTCTTGGCGTTTCAAAATTGCTTAACCTTTGCTTGCGTCGCTGAAATGTTGATTTTTGCTACGTTAAAATCCAAGCTCTACTGATTAATATTTAGATGACTTTGGCCCAAATTTCTTTATTTTGATCACTTTTTCCATTCTTTTTTATCTTTGACAATTCCGGTTTTCTTTTTAAAACGGTTTCACTTTTGTTATAAACACTCAAAAAAGCTTTTCACTTTATAATTTCTTTAACTCCAATTTATCATTTATTCATTTCTTTAATAATGTTATTTCTTCTTTTTAATTAGGATACACTGAATGGCATTGAAGCTAAATCATACAGCAGTGGCATAGCTGGTGGAGGTTCTCGAAAACATCGTCGCGAACGTTCACGCTCTCCTATTCGCACCAGCAAACGCCACCGTCGTTCGCCAAGTCGTTCGCGGTCTCGTGAACGTGGCATTTATGAATACTCGCCTGTGCGCCATTCAATGTCTCGCAGATATTGAATAATGAAATTATGGCTAATTACGTTTGTTTACACAAAATGAATATTTGGATATGTAGAGGAAGCAGTAAATTCATTCTCCTTTTTTTCATTCCTATTCTCGTTTCGTCAATAAAAAAGTAAAAATATAAAATCATATGTTAATTTAAAGTTACTCTTGCAATTAATGTTTAATTTTTATCAAAATTTGGCACTCTATACTATTTTTGATTTTATCGAGTATCTAATTTTGTTATTTAAAAAAGTGCCATTTTTCTGTTTGATAAACTTTAAGCATTTTTCACATATTTAGTTTTGAAAAACCACTTTATATAGCTGACAATCAATCGTATAATCAACCATCTTCACTGAAATTTGTTTCAATAAAGCTTTTTCGTTTGTTTTGTTTTTTATTAGGTGTAATTTTAACATAAAATCCCTCCCTAATATGAAATTTTTTATATTAACGAATAAATAAATTTCAAATCAATTTTTAGGTTTTAATGTTATATTTAGAGATGGTATCCATCTCTCAAATTCCATTAACCATATTTCCCATCGAGTGTATGTCGAATTGTTTAAAATTGAATTCTGAGTTCGAAGGGAAATTGTCTTCCAATTATTTTGTTATCTCATTTTTATATTTTTCTAGTTTTTATTTTCGAATTATTTTTATCTTGTAATTTTAATCGTTAAATTTGTTTGGGCATAAAATTCTTACATTTTTATTTTAAATTTTACTACCAAAATGGGAATCTCTTATTTTTTTCTTACTTGTTTAATATTTTTATAAATATTCCTAGTCAGTAATTTGGAATCATTTCTTTTTCTTTTCAATATTAAAATACATTTAGTTTTGCTCAAGTTCGTTACTGTATCATTTTACAATTACACAATTCTAATGGACCTTTCAATCCCGCTTTTCTCCATTTTTGGAAATTAGTCTGAATAATTGTTTTTTTGTTTTATTCTGAATATTTGAGAAACAAAAAAAAGTTACATAAAAAACTCCCGGGACAGAGTTAGTCTGCAACGTAGTCGTCCTAATGGATGGCTAAACTAATCGAGACGAATTGTTCGTCCATTTCAAAATGATACATGCCAAAATTAAGATTAGCCAGACGAAATCCCATTTGAACAAATTTAAATATCTTTTTCCTAAGGAGCTTAAATTTTTATTTTTAGTATTTTGTACACTGAACAAAGACCATTTTTAACAATCCCAAATTAGCCAACTTGTAATGCTATAAATTAAGTTTATCAAGAATTTTTAAAAGTATCTAATTTTTTTAAGTTATTGAATAATATATTGTTTAATTATTTTATGCATTTTTACTTAAAATTTCCTTAATACAGGTATGATCTTATGTAAATTAATTTTTATTTAAACACTTAAATTATTGCCACAACTTTGTCTTTCATCGGTAATTACTTAAGCTTAATAATATTATTGATAAATTAATTTAAAAAATGTTATTTTTTTTATTAATCTCCATCCATTGAAGATAATTTTAATTTTCCCATTATAAATTTATAGCTTTATTATGTAGTCATGTAAACATTTTTAGTTCAAAAAGTCATGTGTTTTCTAGTTAATTAGCTAAAGTCTTTCCTTTTATAAAACTCTGAAAGTTGGTCGGCTTTAAAGATTTCGTCCCAGAAAGTGACTGAATACCTTAAGATTTACTAACAGTGTTGGCAGATATGGTAAATTTTTGAATACCATTTTTGGATTCGGATCAGGGCTGCATGCAATTCAAAAAAAATTCCGCAATTGCGTGCAGCTTTGATCCGGATATCCAGATCAGCCAACTCTATTATGTCCATATTGATTGATTAATAAACGGATGAGCTTATCTCATCGCCGCCCAGTATATATTTAAATTATTTTATATGTAAATACATAATTATTTTCTTACATAAGCCTTGTGTGTTTGTTAATAAAAATACGTGTATAAATGTTTTTTTAATTAACTTATTATGATTTAAAAAATATTTATAATTTTTATTTCAGTGTTTTATACATGATTTAGACATTGTTAATTTATTTTTAAAAATTTGACAATTTCGATTAACTTCATTTTTGTATAATTATTTTTTCACCCTCACATCAAAAGTAGTAATTTATCGGATGAGGGTTTTTATTCGAGTTCTGAAATATGAACGATTAGGCAATTGAGGGGGGGGTAATTAGGTACGTATTTTAGGTAATTTCAATTCTTTCCCAACACTCAACACATTTGTCTACAATAATATTTTTGCAAAAATTAAATATTCACGATTCTATGAACACAAACTAATTAATTATAATTCCAATTTAGAATAACCACTAACTAATCCTCTATATATATTTATATTTAGCAGCATTTAAAAGCTTTATACATAATATAAAGCTAATCCTTCTTCCTTTTTTATATCTCTACCTTTTTTACATTCTTTTCTTCATAAATTCTATTAATGACTACACCGACAAAAGCAATTTACTCTCCTTGCTATTGGCGACAGCAAAGTCAATTTGAAGATAACGAGAACATTATGGCACAATCACCACGCAAAAGATTAAGGCTTCCGGTAAGTTTTTTTTATTGTTTGGTTTTTGGTCTAAAATGGGTGTATATTTAAATGTGTATAGGGTATATATACCTTTTTTGAAATAGTGTTCTAGTATTTAAATATTTGGTAGAAAAAGTTTTAGATAAGAGAAGGAATGAAAGGCTTTAAAATTGTAAGTTTTTAATAAGATTTAGCTCGTCTATGCATCCCGAGGGTTATTAAAATATATTCTAAACAGAAATTCAAACATTTCTTTGTGATTGGAATATATTTATAATCTAATTTAAAATAGGCACCAAATAAAGTTCTCTCGTTAAACATAACACTCTCTCCAAACTTTTTAAATATTTACTTAAAAATATTTTTTAAGTCAGTTTTCAATATGGCAACAAATGTTACTTTCCAGCAACATAAAGTTACACGTGAAGATCGTTCTAATGTGCTTGGTCGTTACTCAGGTTATAGAGGGTGTACACTTTGGTTTACTGGACTTTCTGGTGCTGGTAAAACAACAATTGCTTTTGCTTTAGAAAAAACATTAATTAAAGTTAGAGAATTGTGAATTTAAAAGAGAATAATTTAAATTTTTTAGTTGGGAATTCCTTCTTACAGTCTGGATGGAGATAATGTTAGACATGGATTATGCAGAAATTTAGGGTTTAGTAAAACAGATAGAGCTGAAAATATTAGGCGTGTTGGGGAAGTTGCGAAATTATTTGGAGATTCGGGAATGGTTGTCTTGGCTAGTTTTATTTCTCCTTTCAAAGTTGACAGGGATTTTGCAAGAAGAATACATGAACAAGTTGGTGGTTTTCTTTTGGAGGGGAATTAGTAAAAAATTATTAAAGTTTTTTTCCATTTAGTAAAATTTAAAATGTTTAGGCGGGTGTTAAATGTTTTTTAAGGGAAAGCTAACATTGTCACCCCGGTAGCTCAGTAGGTGGCTAGACCTTTGCTATAAACTTTTACTTATTTTTTACTTTCAAAAATTTTTTTTCTAATTAATAAGAGATTCATTTATCTGTTAATTAAAATAAACCGAAGAAAAATTAGAAAGATATCCAAATTTTATTTAATTTTTAGGACAATATTCCATTCTTTGAAATTTATATCAATACATCTTTAGAAATTTGTGAAGCTAGAGATCCAAAAAGTTTTCCTTTAAAGTTAAAAAATTATTTTCTTTAAATTTTAGAATTATATAAAAAAGCCAGAGCTGGAGAAATTAAAGAATTTACTGGTGTAGATAGTGCTTATGAACCTCCTTTAGAGCCCGATTTAATTTTAAATTCTGGGGAAGAAACAGAAATTGAATCAATTCAAAAAGTTTTTAATTTTCTTTACGAAAAGAAAATTTTGCCTGAAGAAGTTGTTTTTTGGAAATTAAAAATTAATTTTTTTTTTAAATTTTTTGAGGCAATGTATCAATTATGTGGACAACCAATTCGTCAACTTTTTGAATTTAATAAAGAAATAAAAAATAAATTAATTGAAGAAATTGACAATAATTTAAATTTTAAAATTGAAATTTCAGAAATTGATTTACAGTGGATTCAAGTTTTTTTGGGGAAAAATTAATTTTAAATATTTTTTTAAAAAGGTTTTGGCGGAAGGTTGGGCATCTCCTTTGGCTGGATTTATGAGAGAACGTCAATATCTTCAATGTTTACATTTTGGACAAATATTTGATTTAAAAAAGAAATGCCGAATAAATGGGGAAAGGAAGGAGGGGGATTTGAAGTAAAAATTTTTAGAAAAAAAATATTTTCTTTTTAAAAAATTATTTTTATTTAGTTATCAAGAGGAGGAAGAAGATCACTTTCCAATGTTAGGCCCAATTAATCAAACAATCCCCATTGTTTTACCAATTTTTGACAATCAAGCAAATTTAATTAAATCAAAACTTTATTTAAAACCAAAAATTCAATTAATATTTAAAAATAAATTAATTGGAGTTTTGAAGGATGTAGAAGTATTCCCTCATCGAAAAAAGGAAAGAATTCATAGACAATTTGGACATTTTGTTGAAGAGAAGGAAATTGAAAATGGGCATCCGGGGATTAAATTAATTATGGAAAGTGGTGATTGGCTAGTTGGTGGGGATTTAAAGGTGATTTTAATTATTAATTTTGATTTGAATTTAAATATTTTTCTTTAAAAGAAAAAGAAATATTTAAAATTTATAAATAAATATTAATTAAATCATTGAGGACAACTACTAATTAGTAAATAATTAAAAAAATATATTTTTTGAGAGATACCCGTATCCTGAACAATTACCCAAAACCTCTCCCGTCTCCCCTATACCTCAAAATATTCGGTATATGAGTTATACCATTTTTAAACTTGAAACTAAATTTCCCGCCCCCGAGCCTTAATTTTAATATTTTAAAAATTATTTATTTTTTAAAAAAAGGTATTTGAAAGAATTATTTATAATGATGGTTTAGATGAATATAGAAAAACTCCTTCAGAACTTAAACAAATATTTGAAGAAAAACAATGTGATTGTGTTTTTGCTTTTCAATTAAGAAATCCAATACACAATGGACATGCTTTATTAATGTCTAAAACAAGAGAAGAATTACTTTTAAAAGGATATAAAAATCCAATGTTGCTTTTACATCCTCTTGGGGGTTGGACAAAGGATGACGATGTTCCTTTAAATATTAGAATTAAACAACATTTGGCTGTTTTAGAAAATGGAATAATTAATAAAGAATGGGTAAGGGAAGGGGGAGGGGTGGAAGGGTGGGGGGTATACATATGTATATGGTTAAGGGGGGGGGGAGGGAGGGGGTATATACATAATTAAAAAATAAATTTTGAAGACAATTTTGTCAATCTTTCCTTCCCCAATGTGTTATGCTGGCCCTACAGAAGTTCAATGGCATGCACGTGCTAGACTTACATGTGGAGTTGATGCTTATATTGTTGGTAGAGATCCTGCTGGAATTGCAGATAATTTAACTGGAGATTCTCTTTATGAACCTAGTCATGGGGCTAAAGTATTTTAATTTATATTTTTAAGACTTATTAAAATATTTATAACTGATTTAAATAATTTGACAAAGTTATCTTGTGGTTAAGTTGGTTAAACCTTGGGTTTTCTTCTTGTAATTTAAATTTTATTTCCTTTGCCTCAAATGATGAATAAATTTAGGACACCTTCTTAAATTACTTTGACGATAATTTTAAAATTTTGTTAAACTGATGAGGCTTCTTTTAAAGTTTTTTTAAAAATAATTTTCTAAAAGGTACTTTCAATGGCACCAGCATTACCAGGTTTAGAAATTATTCCATTTCAAGTAGCTGCTTATGATAAAAAGGCTGGATGTATGGCATTTTTTGATGAAAAACGAAGTGAAGATTTTCAATTTATTAGTGGGACAATGATTAGAAAATTAGCAAAAGAAGGAAAAAACCCTCCAAAAGGGTTTATGCCAGAAAATGCTTGGAAAGTAAGTTTAAATTTTTTAAATGAATTAATTTTTAATTTAAGATAATCGCTTCCTATTATCAAAATTTGTAAAATATATTTCGTTCTTTTTTTAAACATTTTTTTCTTTTTTCCTACTTTTCTATTTTCTTTATTGTATTTATTTAAATTAATATAAGCCCATTAATATGTTTTGTTAATCTGTGACTATAAATATACAGTCTGGTGCAAATATGGTTGAGTGTGAGCACTAATTTTGTTCCGCCTCACTGTTAAACCGCAAGATTTAAATACTTTTTTATTTTATATTACAACTTTAAAATGATTGTACATTTATAGAAAAATATGCCCGTTTTATAGAGTTATGATTTTTTAAATAAATTTTTAATAATAAATCTCACACACCCTTGGCCATATACTTGTACCAGACTGTACATATGTTTTTACTTTTTACCAAAAAAATTTTTTAATTAAAATTTTTATTTTCTTGTACACTGTGTTTCAAAAGTATACGCGCACCTAAATTTTTGATTTTTCTGTCATTAATACTTATGTAAATATCTTCTAGATTTTTTATAATATATAGATTAGCTAAACAAGAAGATCCATGGTCAATTTCCCCAAAAAATTCAATAATTTATTTTTATTTTTAATTTTTTCCCAAAATAGGGTGTTTCATAAGTATACGCGCACTTATATAACTAAAGATTTTAGACATTAGGGATGGTTCGAAAAATCCACAAAAATTCCTGTAAACATATCTAGTGATATTAAAAGAAAATACAAAAGAAATGGAGTTCCAATATATCCCCATCATCGAGATCTCGAAACCCGAAAATCAACGGAAAACAGGGGGTAAACGTGTTTGAAAAATATTTTCGACCCCTTAAGTTAAAATAAAAATTTAATTTTGGGCTTATTTGAAAGCCCTTGAAATTTGCTACAAGATAGCATGAATCTTATTTTCCGAAAAAAATTCAATTTAAGACATAACATGTGATAAACTTTCAAGTCACCAAAATCACTCAAACGCCCCCCAAAAAGTGATGAAAATGTAACTTATAAACTAAACTCATTATTTCTCAAAGAAAAATTTTTTCTAGAATATGAGATGAAAAATATCGTGTAGCAAATTTCAAGGGCTTTCAAATAAGCCCAAAATTAAATTTTTATTTTACCTGTAAGGGGTCGAAAATATTTTTTAAAGACGTCTACCCCGGTTTTCCGTTAATTTTCGGGTTTCGAGATCTCGATTATGGGACTTGACTGGAACTTCATTTCTTTTGTATTTTGCTTCAATATCACTAGATATATTTACAGAAATTTTTGTGGATTTTTCGAACCATCCCTAATGTCTAAAATCTTTAGTTATATAAGTGCGCGTATACTTATGAAACACCCTATTTTGGGAAAAAATTACAAATAAAAATAAATTATTGAATTTTTTGGGGAAATTGACCATGGATCTTCTTGTTTAACTAATCTATATATTATAAAAAATCTAGAAGATATTTACATAAGTATTAATGACAGAAAAATCAAAAATTTAGGTGCGCGTATACTTTTGAAACACAGTGTATATCCTTTAATAATATCTATTTATAAATAAATTCGGTCTATCTCTCATCTTCTTATTAAATAAATTCTTCATTCCCAATTTCATTTAAAGTTAAAATACTTAATTTTTGAGTTTTTTGTTCTTTTTGAATTTTGTTTTCTAAACGAGATTGTTGAAATCTTTCAATTGAAGAAGAATTTTGTCTTTTCTAAAATTAATTAAAAATTATTTTCTTTTAATTTAAAAAACCTTTTTAAATTTTTTAAAAAATATTTTTAAACATTTTTTCCTAAAATGTGCAGAACTTAAACAAAATAATAAAAAATTTAAAGTTTTCCCGGTTAACACAAATCCATTGGCAATTGAAATTGCTGTAAATATTTGTTGATTATTTGACTAGAAAAAAAATTAATTTTAATTTTCAAATTATTTTTTATTTATTTACTTTATAACCAATTAAAAGTTCCCAAAGAGAGAAAATTGCTGATGGACCATGACTTATTGCAAAACAAGTTGAAATTGTTATAACTTTTTTTAAATTAATATTTAAATTAAATATTAATTAATTACCAGTTAAAGTAATATGTCTTCTATTTTTCTAAAATTAAAAAAATATTTTTTAATTTTTTTTATAAAAACTTGTTGAGTGGGAATTAACCCTTGAACTGTTGAATTTTGTGATGATGTACGGACTATTTTATCATTTAAACGTAATTGACGGATTAATAAAATATTTAAAATTGCTTAAAAAATAATTATGTATTTTAAATATTTAAATAATTAAATTACCGACAGAGAAGACAGGGACAAATACAACCTTTGTTTAAAAAATAATAATTTTATATTGAGAAAAATTCATTAAAAGTCAATTGATAGGATGTCTCCTTCATTACTATAAAGATTTATTAACCAAAATTATTTTTAATGGAATATCTTTGGGGAGAGGGTGGAAGGAGTTTATTTTTTAAATCAAGATAAATTAACAACAAACAGATATAGCATTGCAGATTGTGCCTATCTGTATCAACATTCTTCTAATTAAAGATGTCCTTACAGAACTTAATTTATCCCATGGCTAAATAAATATTTTTTTATATCTTTTAATTAAAAACAACACATACAGATCCAGGGTGCGTTCTTGTTCCAGCTGAATAACAAAACATATAAATTTGAGTTCCATTACAAAAATGAGCAAGTTGGCAATCCTTTAAAGAAAAAATTATTTTTAGAATTTTTTTTAAAATATAAAACAAACATATTCAAAAAAATGATAAATAATTAGAAGAACTTGAAGAAAAAAAAGAAATTATTTTTTTAATTAATATAATTTACATGTTCCTAAAAGAATTAACAAGAAAAAACATTGTCTTTGTGATTTATTCCAATATTTTCTAGACCTTAATGGAGCTCGTATAACTAAAAAACGTTCCATTGTAACTGCTAATATTAATCTAAATAATTTATTTAAATTTTCTTTTTTTTTAAATTTAAATACATTGAGGATATTGCTGAAAGCCAATTATTTATAGCTGAAAGTCCTTGTTTATGTAACTTATTTAAATTTAAAAATTTATATTTATTTTTAAATAATTACCAAATATGGATAACGAAAATGTATATTATTACTTAAAAATAATGCTAATGAATGAGGTAACATTGTAAAGAAAAATGCTAAATCTGAGAGAGAAACTGCTGCCAGCTATAAATTAATAAAGGAATTAAATTTGTGTGATAAAAAATTTAAAAAAATTAATTTATTATTAGAGAGGGTATATTGAAGGGGTTGAGGAGTTACTAATGGTTTTTATTTTTAAATTTTTCTCGAAATTTTTAAATTTTCTTAAAAATTTGGATAGACCGACAAAACTAAATTCTTGAAGGTAATAAAGTTTAATTTTAAGAAAAATTATTATTATAAAATTTATTTTAATCTTTCTGCTTTCAAACAATTTTTTTCATTATTTTTTTTATTTTTTCATCATTAACTTTTCAAACCCAACAAAACTTTAAATTTATTTTTTCAAAATCAAGCTAAAATTAAGAACTAAAAAATATTACAGACATCATAAATGAGAAAAATATTATCTACCGTTAAACTTGGATTATAAATTTCTTAATTCGTTTTTTACAAATTTATAAAAAATACGTCAAATAGTAGTACTAAATAATAGTTTTATTAATAATAATTTAATTTATTCCTAAAAATAATCAAACTAACCATATCATTTGCTCTATTTCTCATTTCAGGAGATAATAAAACATAAAGAATTAAAGTATTCCCTATTATTCCAACTATTTTTAATTTAAAAAATAATTTTAAATTAAATTTAAAAAACCAGTAAATTGAAAAGGAAAAATATAACGTAAAAGGAAATCATCTAAATCTGTAGTTGTTAATCTTAATGAACGAGTTGAGAGGCATTTATTAAACCAATGAACAGAAGCTGGATCTGAACGTAAAACTGTGTCGACAATTGTTGAATCGTTTAAAGGCATAGATTTTTGTTGATTAAAATAAATATTTTTTCAACAATACAAAATAAATATTTAGAGGACAGAAAAGGCAATCCATTATGTTTTTTTACATTGAGAGAGTGATTTAGTATGTTAAAAAGTATTAAATAAATAGTTTTAACAATGATAATCCTTTACTTTTTTATTTAAAAATAACAACAAATTGTTATACAAAACTAACTTTTGTTTAGTTAAAAAATGATTATATTTTAAATATATTTTTTAGTTTTTTAAAGTAAAAAAAAACAAAAAAGAAATAATTAAGTAATTTTAATTAAAATATTTTTGATAATTTTAAAATTTTTTAAATTTTTATTTCATTATTTTCCAGTAGATATTCAAAATAAACGAGGATTAATCCATTTTTCCAGTAGTCTTGAAAAATTAAAGCAAAGTTAACATTATGGGTGAAATATTGAAGCATAGAATAGTCATCAATTACAAATAAATTTTTTCTAAACTAATTATTAAAAAATTATTTTCTTTGCTTTCTTCATTTTAAAATATTAAATTTATTTTTTGAATAAAATTTTAATATATTTATTTATTTAAATTTCGAAGTCGAGATTTAATGCAGTCTAAGTTTTTTTGAATCTTGACTTGTATTAAATAAAAATTTTTAAAGGTTTTTACCTAGATTTTTATTATTTTGACCACGTAAAAATCGAGTATTTAATTTAAATAGGGATAAATTTTTAAATTCTTGACTTTGTTTTTTTAAATTCTTGACCAGACAACAAAATCCACTTTACATTAAGGATGCACAAAAATTCCCAAACCCCAAAAATGATAACTTATTTATAATTTCTTAGCCTGTATCTCCATGAGTTTCTTATAACCCGGACTATTTTTTCCGGCACTGTACATATATGCTTAAACAAAAATATAATTTACTTATTTTTATTTGTAAAAATCCATTTAGTAAAAAATTTATAAAAATATAATAAGTTTGTAAAGTATTTTGTGTTCTAGGTATTGTTTTATTTTAAATTAAAAAGGAATGAAAGATTTTTATCTATATTTAATTAATTAAAAAAGAAGAATATATTTACAAGATTTTTATTATAAATGCTAATTTTCATAAAATATACTTGTTTTTTTTCTTTATTTATATAAAAAGTTTGCAATTTTATACATTCTACATTCCATGAATAAAAAAATTTTAATGATATTTTTTTAAAATTATGAGAAACAAAGTCTAAAATAAGGAGAGGATCTTGTATTTAAGTTTTTAAATGGGCATAAGATCAGCAACTTTGGTCTTTTCGTCATTTTTTATTGAAATAAAACAGAATGACAATTAATTTTTGATGACAAATTTAAATTTGAATAATTCCAAACGAAGCTACATAAAAGAATTTTTTTAATTAGCGTTTAGAATAAAAAGAAATAATTAATTTTTAGATAATTTCTTTTAAATGTCTGAATGTTTGTGTCATCAAAGAGGATGTATTCAATTAATTATTGGTATAATATTTATAAAAATATTTTTTCTAAAATTATTTTTAAAATTAATTTAGGGCCAATGTTTAGCGGGAAAACGTTTGTTTTTTTTGTTTTTTTATTAAAAAATATTCTTCTTTTTTAATTTTCAGAACAGAACTTTTCCGTCTAGCAACAAGACACACACTTGCTGGACGTTCAGTAGCAATAATTAAATATCGTCACGATATACGTTATGATTCTACACAGGCATGCACACATGATCATCGGAAAATGGAAGCATTTTTAGCTGAAAATATTGAGGAAATTTACGAAACAATTAAAAATTACAATGTTATTGGAATTGATGAAGGGCAATTTGTTTAGATTTTTTTAATTAAAAAAAATTGAAATAAATTTTTAGTTTAAAGATTTAGTTAAATATGCACAAGATTTGGCTGATATTGGGAAAATAGTAATTATTGCAGCATTAAATGGAGATTATAAACAAGAAGTAAATTAAATTTAAATTTAAAATAAATTTTTAATTTTTCTTTTAAAGCCATTCCCAAATGTTACAAAATTAATTCCAAATGCAGAAAAAATTGAAAAATTGAATGCAGTCTGTCATTGTGGACAATCAGCATCTTTTACTTTTCGATTATCTACAAATAAAAGGGTTTTTAGTTAAAGTTTTTAAAATAAAAATAAATTTTTTTCCAAAAAGGTTGAAATAATTGGTGGGGAAGAATTGTATAGAGCTATGTGTAGAGAATGTGTATTTAAATATACTAAAGCTAAAGAAAATTTAATTGAAGTTAAAAAAATTAAAGAAGGGAAAATATTATAGAGGGGAGGGGGGAAGTATTTTTAACAAGAAAAAATATTTTTTTTAATAAATTGTGGAATATTAACAAACAAAAGTTTATTATTTGAAGAATCAGACATTAGATTTTGTTTAAAAATCAATTTTCGAGATATCGATTATTCAAGTCTGGTTTCCAAAAAATACATACAATATCCACAAAATTAAAAAAATGTTTTTTTTCTAAAAATTAATTTTTATTTACCCAAATACTTTAAAAGAACCCCCACATTCTCTTCTATTTTTCGGTCCTCTCGTAGGGTGTGCTTATATTAGGTAGTGGGCATTAAATAGAGAGTGTGGGTCTATTAAAGCATTTCGGAATATATTTTACAATTTTTCAATTTGCAAAGAGAATTTGCAGTTTTCATCCAAACTTTAAAAAAAAATTTTAATGCCAAAATTTGCTGTATTTGATTATTTATTTTATGTTTGTAATTTTGATAAAAAAGTTTAAAAAAAATTTATTTTTTTTTTTTAAATTTAAATGATTAAATTTCCTTTATATCGACTTTTATTTAAAAAAATATTTTTTATTTTTTTTATATTGTCAACACATGAATTTCATCCAAAATTCCAACACGAATCCACATCATCAAAAAATTAAAAAAAGTTTTTACTTGTCTAACCATTTTTATCAAAATTTTAGTTGACTTAATTTTGGAATTAATTAAATTTTTGTAATTTTCAGATTTATTTATTTAATTAAATGGCAAATGAAAGATTGATTGGACTTGGGAATTTAGACAAAAATAATGATCAAATACCTTTATTAAATGACCAAACGACAACAGACCTTAAAGGAATTTTGATCGAAAATGGAAAAATTGAAAGGGAAATTAATAATGAAAAATTGGTAATTAATTAATTAATTAAGCTTTTGAGTGTTTTTAAAGCTTCTCCTTTTAAAAATTAATCCTCTATTGGTTTTTTAAAATTAATTTAAATTTCGAATCCTTTTATTTATCTGATTTATTTAAACACGGATGTGTATATTTATGTGTGTTTTTAGATTTTATCTATTTATTTTTGAGTAAAGGGGAGAAGGGAGAGCGGGAAAAATATTTTTCTTTTCTTTAAATTAATTAATATTTTTTAAATTTTAGATGGGTTTAGTAGAAGTTCGTAGAACAACACAACCATCTTCATTTAATGCTTCAATTAAATTAGGTGTACTTATTTGGTTAACTGTTCAAAATGCTGTCCATGCATTACTTCTTCGATATTCTCGAGTATTTTTTTGTATTTAAATTTTTTCTTTTTAATTCCAATAAAAGGTTAGGGATGTTAAAGAAATGTATTTTTCGACTGTTGCTGTTTTTTGGACAGAAGTTATTAAACTTTTTGTTTGTCTTTTGGTTGTTTTTCATTCAGAATCTTCCTCTCCAGAGGGATTTTTAAGGTTTATTTTTTTTATTTTTTTAATTAAAAATAATTTAGCGGTTTTGAATTAATTAAAAAACAAGTTTTTGAACAGCCAAAAGATACTTTAAAAGTTTGCTTGCCATCAATGCTTTATATTTTACAAAATAATTTATTCTACACTGCTGCTTCTCATTTAAATGCTGCTACTTTTATGGTTTTTTTATTTTAAATTTTAAAAATTAAATTTATTTTTTAAAAAGATAATTTCTCAATTAAAAATCTTCTCGGCAGCAATTTTTTCAATAATTTTATTAAATCGTTCTTTACTTCGTGCTCAATGGATTTCTTTAATTATTTTGTTTATTGGTGTTTGTTTAGTACAAATGCAACCCGAGGACGAGCAAAAACAAAATACTGAAAGAAAAAATGTAATGAGTGAACAAAACGTTTTGACAGGTTTTTTTTGAAAAGAGAAATTTACAAAAAATATTTTTAAAAAGGATTTATTGCTGCAAGTATTGCTTGTGGACTTTCCGGATTTTCTGGAGTATTTTTTGAAAAAATTTTGAAAGGATCGGCGCCTGTTTCTCTTTGGATGAGAGTTTGTATTTTCTGACTAAAAATTTTTTTTCAAATTTTTAGAACATTCAAATGGCTGTTTTTTCAATTCCTGCAAGTTTTTTGGCTACAATGATCCAAGTTTGTAATTATTTATTTATTTAAATTTAGTTTTCAATATTTTAAATTTTTCGGGAAATTCACTTATGTTAATTTTGTCTAGTTTTTAATAAAAAATTGAGGACCCCAATTTTAAAAATCAATAATTTTATTAAATCATTCATTGCTTCGTGCCCAATGGATTTATATAACTTTATAAAACACGTAATAGACACAATCTCAAAATTTATTTAGCAGAACATAAAATTTTTTGTAAATTATTTTTTTCTTAGGACGGCTCTAAAATATCAGAACACGGTTTTATGTATGGTTGGGATATTGTAGTTTGGACAACAGCTTTTTGGTATGCCGTTGGAGGTCTTTCTGTTGCTGTTTGTTTGAAATATGCGGACAATATTGCCAAGAATTTTGCTACTTCTGTTGCAATTATTTTGGCGACTCTTGGATCTATTCAATTTTTTGGTTTCAAACCAAGTTTACTTTTTACATTGGGGGCTACTTTAGTTATTTTATCGATATTTCTTTATTCTTCGTCAACACAAATTCTTCGATTTTTTGGAATATATTCAACACAATCAAATAAAAAGGGAAGAAAAATACCTCCAGAAAAGGGTTGTCCAGCATAAATAATTTTGTGAGAGGAAATTTATTTAAGAAATTCTCCTAAAAATATTTCTTAACTACTCTTAATTACTTTTTTATATTTATTTTAAAGACAAAAAATTTGGTAAAATTGATCTTGGTACCCCTCCACTTTTCCCTTCTTTATGGAAATGGAAAAATATATTTATATAATTTTTTAAAGCTCTAAAAAGCAACTCGGACCGTTTTTTCACCTTGTGGAAGGAATAAAGGGGGTACAAAGTTCAACTTTACCAAAATTTTGTTGTGTTAAAATGTTGGTTTTAATTTCAAAATTAAATTTTTGACTAATTTATATTTTATAATTCTAGTTGTAGTCCTCAAAGGTTGGAACGGGCCAACTGAACGTCAGGAAACTTTGTTCGGTTATAACTTTTTATGAATGATATAATTTTATATTTCGAATGAGATAGGTTTATTTATATTGGATCAAGGCTAAAAAATTATAGTCGATCAAAGTTGGATGACGTTCAGTTGGCCCCAACTCTTTAAAGAATATAACGATTATTTAATCGGGTCCTGTACGGGATTATAACGAGAATTAATTGTATATCCACTACTATATTCTCTAGTGCATTAATTGTCTACACTAATTTATATTTTTTTATTCGGGTTTTCTATTTTTGTTATTTTATTTTAAAATTTAAAATAAAAAATAAAATAATTTTTTTTTAATTTTTTGACATAATAATTAATATACTATTTTTAATTGTTCTCTTTCTATAAAAAACTTTCTCCTTTTTTATATTTCTTTATCTTTTTTGACTTTCAAAAAATCATTTAAAATAAAAAAGAATAAATCAAAAATAAAGAACAAAAAAAACACAAGACTCGTTTAATGATAAAAATAATTTAAAAAAACCTCGTGTTTTAGATTAAAATATTGATAAAATTAAATTAAATGTTCTTTATTTTATTTATTTTTGCAGAACTTCCATTTTTGGTTTTCTATATATATTTGTGTGATTAAAATAAATTATAAATTCACTTAAATATTTCTCTTATTTTTAATTTTGATGATATTACTCTACATTAATTGACTTTATATAAATAAATATATTTAAATAAAAATAAATCTTTTTTAAATAAAATTTTGTAATTAAAATCAAAAAAAATATTTTTAATTATTTTTTAATTAAAAATTAATTTGTGTGTAGTGAATGCCTGCTTTTACATCTAGTATTAATGGTGAAGATCTCAATATAAATATAAATACCTCTTGTGAAGAATTAAAAAATTTAAATAATGGCCAAACATATTTTGATGATAATGAAAAAGAAAAATGTAAAGAAGAGGAAGAGGAAAAAGAAGAAGAAGAAAATATTAAAAAGGGAATAACGAGGGAAATTTCTAAAAAATGTAAGGGAAATTTTTGAATTTAAATTTAAATGTTTGGAGGGATATAGAAATATTTGCTGTTAATTGATTTTAAAAAGTCAAGTTTTCTTTTACATATTTATTTGGAAAAACCTCCCTAAGTTCACTTCAAAATCCAGATACTTTCTGTCAACCCTAAAACTTCTTTGATTTTTCTGGCCCCATAGGTTCGGAGTGCAACTCTAATTTAAATTAAAAAAATTGTTTTGGAAAACGTTAATTATTTATTTTTTAGTTCATTTAATTAAATATGCAAGTTTATTTGTTCTTGTTGTGCAAAATACTTCACAAGTATTCTAATTAATTAAATTTAAAAATAAATTTAAATTTATTTAAAAAGGTATTGCTTATGCGTTATGCAACAACAAGAAATCCTTCAATAAATCCGCCATTCCTCAAAACTGTTTGAAAAAAATTATTTTAGAAAAAATATTTATTTTATTTTAGGTAGCTGTATTTTTTAATGAAATTGTTAAATTCTTTACTTCTTTAATTTTATTTTTTGTAATAACTGGAAATAATAAAAAGTTTTTTTTTAATTTAATTTAAACAATTTAATTATTTAAAAGGGCATTTTGTTTAATTAAAAAGCATTTTTTTACAAATTTTTTGGATACACTCAAAGTTGGAATACCTGCATTTATTTATGTTATTCAAAATTTTCTTTTATATGTGGTGAGGAAAATAATCTTTTTTTTTTAATTTAAATATTTTTAGGCAGTGGAGAATTTAGATGCTGGGACTTATATGGTTTTTTAATTTATTCCAAATTTAATTTTAAATTAAAAAAAAGGTTACTTATCAATTAAAAATCCTTACAACAGCAATTTTTACTGTTTTAATTCTTAAAAGAAAACTTTCAATTCAACAATGGATTTCTTTAATTGTTTTAATTTTGGGTGTTGCTATTGTACAAATTGTAAATATTTTTAAATTAAATTTAAAAAGATTTATTTTTAAAGAGTGCAAATAAAAATAAGCAACAATTAATTAATAATAATAATTTAAATACAACAACAATAATTAATTTAAATAATTTAAATTTTACTAATTTTGTGGTAAATAATACAAATAAAGGTTTTACTTTTTAATTAAATATTTAAATATATTTTTCAAAGAAATTTTAAACAATTCATCCTCCTCTTCCACCTCCCTTCCCCATCATCAACATATTCAAAATCCATTTATTGGCTTTATTTCAATAATCATTGCTTGCATTCTTTCGGGTTTTGCGGGTATTTATTTGGAAAAAATATTAAAATCTAATGATGTTTCTATTTGGTTGAGGAATACACAATTAGCTTTTCTTTCTATTCCGATTGGTCTTTTTGTTATTTGGGTGGGTTAATTTAAATAAATGAAAATTAATTAATTCTTTTTAAATTACTCCTTAAATTCCAAAAAATTTTAATTTCGATTTTTTGACAACTTAATTTCCAATTTTTTTCTTTTAAATTATTTTTTTGGAGGTTTTTTTTAAATTAATTATTTTAAAGGTAAATGATAGTGAAAAAGTTAAAATAAAAGGTTTTATGCAAGGTTTTGATTTAATTGTTTGGATGGCTGTGTTACTTCAAGGTGCTTTTTCTTCGTTAAATAAAAATAAAATTTTTTCTAAAAAAATTAGCTCTTGGTGGGTTAGTTGTTGCTATTGTAATTAAATATGCAGATAATATATTAAAAGCTTTTGGAACTTCTGTTTCTATTGTAATTTAAATTAAATTGAATTTTTAAATTGTTTTTATTTTTAAAGGTTGTAGCCACAATTGCTTCAATTTTACTTTTTTCAAATTTTCCTTCTTTACTTTTTATTGGAGGAGCAGTTAAAATTAAAAATATTTTTAATTTTATCTATTTTTTAATTTAAAAAAGGTTTTGGTTATTGGGGCTGTTGTTTTGTATGGAATATTTCCTTATAAAAAAAGAAAATATTTGGAGGAAGAAGAAGAAGAATTAAAACAAAATAGTCAAAAAATGGAAATAATTAAATAAAATTTAAAAAAATAATTAAATATTTACACTAAATTTTACGGTTTTAAGCTGACTTTTTTACCTTAATTTACCTTAAAACCTTGACCTCAAAGTTTTAAAATTAAAGTTTTAAGCAAAGTTCTTAATAAATTTTGTATTTTTACCTTAATTAATCACTAATGTATGTATTTTTGAAAGAAATTGTCATCTTTTCTTTTATATAATACCAAATATGTATAAATATGTATATTAAAAAATTGAGGAAAATATTTTTAAATTCGAATCAGAGCTGCACGAAAATTTTCGTTTCGTTTTCGTTTGAAATTTTTTTAACTTTTTTTCGTTTCGTTTTTCGTTGAAAAAATATTTTCTTTCGTTTTCGTTTCGTAAAATGCCATTTTTGGACGAAAATTGACGAAAATATTTTTGATATTTTAGACATTTTTTTTGCTTTTCTATCGTATTTTTAAGCCAAAATTCTCAAAATTTTTGCCTGCGGCGCTGAAAATGAAAGAAATTTGCTGTTTTCCTTCCAAAATTCTCAAAAATTTCGCCTGCGGCGCTGAAAAAAAATCTGGTAAGTTGTATCCTTTTTGAAAAAATCTAATTTTTTCAAATATCTCTAAACCCCTTAGCCCCTAAATATCTCCACCTAATCCACTTAATAATATCCACACACTTCATCTTAATTACTCCAAATCACCCGATATATTTCTTGCCTCCTAAATCGGAAATATCAGGAAATATAAAGGATTAAGTGGGTATAAAAGTATTTAAACTGATATACATAAGAGGATTTGGAGGCAAATATCTGAATTCAACCAAATATTCGATGCAATTAGACGTGTACAACCTCGAAAACTTAAAATCTAGCTTTAAAATTTAAGGTTCCTAATTTAGAAATTTTCGTTTCGTTTTCGTTTCGTTTCGTGGAAAATTTATTTTTTCGTTTCGTTTTCGTTTCGTACATTGATGATTTTATTTTTTCGTTTTCGTTTCGTTGGGAGAAAAATTTCATTTTCGTGCAGCTCTGATTCGAATAGTAGAAAAGTTTCTTATTAAAAAATTCCCTCTTTAAGGGTGTATTTTTAAAACTAAAACAAATCTGTCCGGTTTTCTCTTTTGATTAATTAACTACGGGGTTTAGTTCTGTAAACCGATCATTCACAGCCTCTAATTTTCTAATTTTAATTTCAAAATAAATTCACGTTAATTTATTTTTGAAGGTAAATATTTAACTATTATCTTCATTTTACTTAAAAGCTTGCTTAAAGATTTAGACACGTTTAAACGTCAATCCTAAAAGTAAGGTTTGACTTCTCAAAGAAAAAATATTTTTTTTGATTTTAAATAATTTTTGTATATTTTTGGATATTTTTTTAAATTTTTATTTAATGTTGCTAAAAATATTTTTTTATTAAATTAAATTGTGAGTTAGAGGGGGAGGGGGGGAGGGATTGGCACAGATGTTTTTATTAAATTTATTTTTGTATTTACTTCTTTTCATTTTTTTATTTATTTAAAGATTAAAAATTGCAAAAATAAAATAAATTTATATTTAATTTAAATTTAATTAATTTTTATTTTAAAATTGATACAATAAAAATGGCAATAAATATTCGCCTTTTTTTGTTTCTTTTTAAGTTTTGGACTGTCACTGGGGGCTAATAAAACAAAAAAAAGTGACGAATATATTTAATATATATTTTAAAAACTTTTTTATTTAAAATAACATTATTCCTCTCTTTTTTCCAAATCTCTTCTTCCCTTTTTTTTTCTTCCCACCTTCACACACACATCCATCCACCACACAAATCCCAGTCCGTCTCTTCTTCCTTTTAAAATATTCCAACTTTTCTTTCCTTCAACTTCCTTTTTTTCTTCCTTTTCAACAAAAGAAGAAGAAAAGGAAAATTACCAGAAAATGACTTTTGCCTTTGTTTAAAAACTTAAAAGTGTCAATAAACACAAATAATATTCCCTAAAGACTTTTAAAGATTTTAAAAAAGCTTATATTTATTTATTCTCCGCTCCCACAAGCATTTTTGTTGAAATGTCAAAAAAGCCATTGATGCGTAAAAACTCTCACAAGGAAAAAAAGAAAGTTATCAAAAATTCTTGGAAGGCTTGGAAGGCCCTACTACTCTCGTCACCCAAAAAATTTCATTTTTTAAACAAAAAATAATTTTAAAAATGCTTAAAGGAAGGGATAATTTTGAAAATAGAGAGAGAGAGAGACATATAATTGAAAAGTCCACCACCCAATTCTTCCACCCTTCTTCTCCAACTTTCCCTTCCAACTTTTTCCCTCCCTCACTTTAAAATTTGTAATTGCCAAACAAAGTTTTTGTGTTTAAATATCCTTAAAAAATACTTTTAAAGTTTTAACAAGAAGAAAAGAATTTTCATGCATTTTTATTTTAAACTTGAAAAACAATTTTTGTCTAAAAAATTTAAAAAAGAAAGAATATTTTAAATAATTTAAATAAATAATTAGTAAGTACTATGTACATAATCTTTAATTTTTGATATTTTCTTGTTTTTTTGTGTCGGGCTTGGTTCTGTAGGTGTATATATACAAATACAATCGAATCGGACTTCATTTATAGTTCAAAAAAAAAAAAAAACTACATAGGTATGTATATACTATTTTTTTTTTCAAAAAAAAAAAACTTCATAGGTATGTATATACTATATTCGACAAGAATCCCATTTATCGGGAATCATTCAATTTTCTTACAAGCCTCCCAGTCCATTCTCTAGTATAATACCTGTAAAAACAATTTAATTTAGGTTGATAAATAGATAAGACTTAGAAGCTATATTTACATAGGTATCCCCAATAATTTTTAATAAATATAGATAAGTAATTGTTATGACAAGGATTGTCTCATTATAATACCCTCCCCCTCCCTCCCCTCCCCCTCCATCCCCTCCCCTCCTTCCATTTAATAACCCTAGATATAACACTTTTTTTCTTCAATTATTTATTTCTATATTTAAATTTATTTTCTTTTAATATTTTTTTAAAAATATTCTTTTAGAAAACAAACTTTTTTTTCTAAAAACTTTTTGTGGAGACAAATGCTCTCGTCACTAAATTTATTTAAAATTGTTTCAGTTTTTTTCTCTTTTTTTCCCTTTTTTAGTAAAAGTGCCCCCATAAATGATGACAAAGTTTAGCGTCATTTAAAGAATAAATTAAATAAATAAATATATTCTTTCTCTCTTTTTCTTTCAGAATTATGGATATACTAATTACTACAAAAAAATTAAAAATATTTAATTTAATTATTTTTTTCTTTTTAATTTTTAATATTTTATTTTCTTCTGCAAAACCTTTAATAAATGATGAAGAAGGAATTATTCCAACGTAAATTTAATTTTTGATTATTTAAATTTTCCATTAAATTATCGGAAAAAATAAATGAAATGGAAAATTTTTTGAATTTAAAAAAAGAAGAGGGTTAAATAAAAATTAAAGTTATTTAATTTTTTTAGATGGAAAATGAGAAATGACAAAAAAGCAATGAGGAATAGTTTGGTTAGATTTGGAAAAAGATCATCACTAAAAAGAAGAAATGGTAATATATTTATTTAAATATTTATTTATTTAAATTAAATTTAACAGTTATTCTCCCTCCTTCTCCACAATTTCCTTCTTCTCCATATTTTTATTTACCTGAAAACAACGAAATTTTATTACCTTCTAAATTTATGGAAAATTTAATTTCGCCTGAAATTTCTTCAAAAATTTCATTAATTCCCAGTGATTCTTTAATTTTTGTTGACAAAACAGGAAAAGAAATTCAACGATGGAAAGAAAGAAAATAAAAATTAATTTTTTAAAAATTATATCAAAAAATTATTTTAAAAATAAATTTTTAAATGTTTATTTTTTCAAGATTACCTTAATACTCTAATAATTACCCTGGAGGGGGTAATTTTGAGAGAAGAGGTATTTAATGTTTCTATTTTTAGGTACAAGCAGTTATATGTAGGTACAAGGCCAAAAGAATCCGGGCACCTGGAAAAATTTTAGGCAAAAATTCGCGTCCCCTTAGGTGAGATTTTCCATTATTGCCGAACAAGTGATTGCCAGAGCGACTCCAAACTTTTTGGTTAATAAGCCCAAATCCTTGCCTCAATATATACAAAAAAGACTAGCTATCGGATTCAAACCCGGTGTTTTACTCTCTCACGATTTATTTTTTATATTGATTCTTAAAATATTCTATTATTAAAATTGATAGTGATTTTTTAATAAATATATTTTAAGAATTAGTGTAGGAAAAAGGGGTTTATTTGAAAGAAGGTACTTATTAGAAAATTATAAACTCTCGAAATACAACAAAGATTTATAATTCAAAAAAATCTACTGCTTACTCGAAGAAATTAGTTTTTTTGTAGGTTAGCCTGCCATTTTTTATTTTTTTTTTTGAAATCCTGGAACTTTAAAATCCTCCATTTATTTATTCTCGGAAATGTGGTAACTGCAACAATAACTGCAAAATCGTCATCTTCATCACTAAGATTGGATAATAATAATGATAACATTTGTGGCTGTATTTGTTTGGAACGAAGACAAAAACCATACTATAAAAGCCAGACTTTTTCCCTCACTTCAGCTCCATTTCAACTCAACTATAAACTTGCCTTCTACTGTCAACATTCCTGCGTCGACTTCGTTTCGGGAGGACTTCATCGAATATGGACAGTAGCCGTTCTAATAAAGGACGAACAAAGGAAAAGAAGGTTATTTTTTAGTTTAAAATTATTTTTAAAATCCAAAATAATTCTTTTATTTTTAGCCTAATCTATTGGTCAAAGCTGCAAAAAGTGCCAGACTTCCGCCCGCATGTGCCTGTTGTAAGGTGGTAAAGGCAACAAGAACTGCAAGATCGTCATCTTCGTCGCTGAGATTGGACGAGAATGAGAAGATTTGTGGCTGTACTTGTTTGGTCAAAGCAACGAAGACTGCAAAACATCCTTTGGTCGCAGATGATGAAACCATAAATGGCGAGGACAACATAAATTCTGACAACGCCAATTCCTTCCGTAGGATACAGCGTCGAATGAATGAAAAGTCTTCGGTGCGTTTATTTTAAATATTTAAAATCTTTAAACAAATTATTTTAGCTTCGCAGAATGTTCTCTGTGGTAGCTTCTTCACGTGGTCGAGGACAACCAACATCAGTATCTTCGACACAAGAAGAACAAGAAGGAAGCAAGGACGAAGTTGACAACAGCAAAGTAAAGAGAAGCAGTCGTCTACCACCAAGAGGAGGATTAGCTCAAAGAGGCGGTACGAGTAGAAGAGCTGCTGTTGTCAAAGGAACAAGGACTGCTATAATACCTCTGGATGACGAACCATCATTGCGTTTCATCGACGCACAGTCAGAGTGTTCTCAAGTTTACGACTATTCTGTTGAAGAGTCAGAACCTCTATCTTGGCAGGAGAAATCAATGCGCCTTCCATTGCCGGAGAAGTACAGCGATATTAGGTCTACGTGTAGTGGTAGGAGCTTCTTCAGCGCAGCACGTCCATTGCATCCCAGCGCGGTAGATTATTTTCGGATTATTTACAAATCTAATTCATTAAATTTTCAGGTGAAGGTGCACAGTGTGGACAAGTTCCTTGCTGAAGAAGAAAAGAAGGAAAGGGGAGCGAGACCTTGCTGTTTTAGTGCAGCACTGAGGGAACAGATGTTGCGATCGAGAAAGGGGTCTTGTAGTGTTGTCAAGGAATCTGCCGCCGAGAAAGTAATTTTCAATTGAATATGCTAAAAATAATAATTATATATTCAATTTTTAGACTCAATCTTCATCTGAATATGCTGGTGGACATCATCAGAGCTGTCCAAAGTCGTCTGGCAGAAGTGAAGATATTGAGGCAGGTACACATCGCTTCTATGGGCTGGAAGTTGTTGGTCAGATATTCCGGGTGTTAGTTGATGGTAAAGAACTGTGGACGGCACACGATGGAAAGTGAAAAAGAAGAAAGGAATGAAAATCTAATAAATAACAAAAATAAATAACACTTGTATGTATGTATTAGGCTAAATCTTTTTTCCTATATTGTATTCATCCAGTTATTTTGTTGTTTTGCTATCATATAAGTTATGTAAATAAATGTATATAAACTTTGGAAGATTTCTTGCAATGTGCTTACCGAAAATCTAAAAATCCGGAAGCAAAATAAGCAGAGAAAAATGCGGTAAAAATGCGAAATTTTGCGGGTTCCCTTTCACAGTTTAATTTGTAGGTGTTGTGGATTACAAATAAAATCATTAGGATTTGTCTTGAAATTTAATTTTTTGATTAACATGACTGTGTTTATTTCTAAGCAAGGCAACTAAGACTGCAAAATATCCTTTGGCCGCAGATGATGAAACCATAAATGGAGAGGACAACATAAATTCTGACAACATCAATTCCTTCCGTGGGATACAGCGTCGAATGAATGAAAAGCCTTCGATGCGTTTATTTTAATTTTAAGACAAATCATGTTAAAAATATGCATATTCATCAAAATGGATCCAACAAGGACTTCTCTTACTTTTAAGTCAATATTTAAAAAAATTGCTTTGATTAATGTTTTGATCTGTATTTTGTTTTGTAACGCCAAAAGCGGCCTCAGATGCAGTTTTTAAGTCGCAAAGTTATGAAAACATGAGAAAGCCCGCCTATATTTTTAATTTAGATTTTCCTGTAATAATTAGTAAGTAGTACAACTAAATAGCTAAAAATATTTGTACATTTTCATTTATTTCCATTTCAACTCCTTGATTAGTATCTATGGCAACAAAAAATATATTTAAGTATTTTAGTAGTAGAAGTCTTTTTCTCTTCTTATTTTAAAAAATAATTATAATTATTTTTATATAAATGTCAGACATTTTTCCATTTACATAATGATGAAAGATAAATAATTTTAAAAATCTTTTTTTTCAAAGGCTTATCTCCCTCCAACTGCCTACTTACTATAAACTTTTACAAAAATTAATTTAAGGAAAATACCAATAAAAGTGCTTTATTATTATTATTTTTTAAAAAATCTTTTTATTTCTTTCAATATTTTATTTTTGTTTTAAATTTTCCTTTTGAATATTTATTTCAGTTTTGATTTTAATTATTAAATACAAAATTATTTATAAAAAATTGAAAACGAATTCTTTTTTTATTTCCTCAAAACAAATATGTATATACATATAATTTTTTAAATCTTTTATTTTTTATAAACCTCTCCTTCGGGATCGGATTGGGATTTTACTACATTTCCCAAACTTTTATTTAAATTAAAAACACAATCTTTTTAATATATTTCCTTAAAAAAGAAACCATAACAACGCGCAAAAGAAAAAAAATATTTTAAAATTTAAAAAAACCTCTCCTAACAGAATTTATCAAGAAACCCCCCTCTCCCCCCTCCAACAATATTGTTAATTTATTTTTTAAAAAATATTTAATTCCTGTCTGGTCTTCTCGTGTTGTGCTCCGTTAAAAATAAAACAAATTGTTTAAAAAATAGAAATATATTTCGAAGCACCATGTTGAAGATCGAGATGGGAGAGAGAAAAAATTATTTTTGATATAAATTTATTTTTTTACATTTATAATCAAAGCAAAGAAAAACAAAACAAAGAGGTTTAGTTTACATTTAATTAAAAATTTTTATATATAATTTATTTGAAAATTTAAAAATATATAATTAAATATAATCATCAATTTGAACATATAAAAATATTTCGATTAAAAAATACAAAAAAATTGTGTGTGTATTACTATAAAAAGTGGTCTTTTGTTTGGTGCTAAAGGCTAAGTTTTGGAATTTATTTAAGAAGAGGTGGAAGGAAGGCTAAAAATGAATGCAAAATAAATCTTTGGGTAAAGAAAGGAAAACAACAAATTTAGCTTGAAATTTATATATAAATACAACAAAAACCCGTGTTTCTTATTGGCAGAGGATGAAGAAATAGACAAAATATAAAAGAAAATTATACAAAACACAACCAAAGAATATATATTTTTTGAATTAAAATAAATTTATTTTTTAAAATTATTCTTTATATTATTTACAATAAATATATTTTTAAATTTAGGGAAGTTCTCGATCTTTAGAACAATACAAAATTATGAGAAAAATAAAAAAAATGAGAAGAAAAATAAAGATGCCAAATAAATGCTTTAAAAATGCAAATATATTATAAATTCTTTTGATGATCAAAATAAATTTAATAAAAATTTTACTAGGAAGAACCAAAAATTGCACCAATTGATTCTGCTAAGCGATGAATTGCTTGCATATGTATAGGTAAACAAGAACAACGACTTCCACTCACCGGATCTAAATTTAACCAACTTAGTGCATTTTGCCGTTCAAGAACATATCTAAATATTAAAAAGATTAGAAAAAAACAAAGTTTTCTTTTTTTTTACCTAAGAATATCATCAGTATTTGGTAAATCTAAAGGATTTGGTGCTAATTTATCAGTTCCTGTTGTTGCATTCCCACTTGGTTGGTTACCACTAGTTCCAACATTTTTTCCCGTAGTTTGTTGATAATCATCAGTTTGAAGTAAATTTGTAGAATTTATGTGCAAAGAACTTTTTAAATGTGTCAAACGTCGATGACGAGCGGCTGGCGGGCAATTATACCAAAAAGCATCAGATAATCCACAATCTAAAGACAAAGAAGACCCAATAGCTGATAATGGCCAAACAGGTGCAGTAGTTATTGTATAACCAATAGCCATTGGTTGGTTGTCTATCGGAGCTTCTTCTTCTAAAATTTAAAAATTTTTTTAAAAAGAATGATAAAGTTTATTTACCATTTCTAGGCCCCTCATCAAAAACAAGATCTTCAACTAATTCCATTCCATCAGGTGCACCTTCTCCTCCAAAACAATTACCCAAAAAATCAGCAAACACATCATCATCAATCCCTCCATGCATTATATCTTCTTGTTGTTGACAAGAAACATTAAGAATTGTCTAAAAATATTTAAAAAATAATTTTCGAAATTTTATTAAAAACTAACCGGGAAAACAATAATGTGAGTTAGTGAACGGTCATCTGGTGATGCCTGTAATTGTTGTTGTACTGCTGCCCATTGCTGAGCCTGAAGTAAAGAATGACGACCTGCTCCTTTAGAACCTCCAGTTTTTGTACTTGCAGAATTGCCTACATTCGATGTTGAAGAAGAACCAATAACACTTGAGGTATTAGAATTTGCATTAGAAACTCCCACATTTCCAGGGCTTTGACTATCTAAAGAATTTGCAGAAGCACAAGGAGAACCAAAAACACGTAAATGAGGTTCTGCTTCAGTTGAGACTAAACAAGCAGAAAGAATTGCTGGAGTCTCATGAGAGCCATGTGAATTAGAACAAGATTGACAATTATTTAAGAAAGATGTTGAAGCAGAAAATCCATCAGAATTCGATTGGTTGTTCTTTAGTGAAGAATTATAAGCTTTAAGGCTTCGTTTAGAGAGCAAATCATTCCAAATTTTGAATTCTGTGTGACCAAGTTTGCCCATTCGATTGATAACTAATCTCCATTGATGAACTTCCTGTCCGATCATCTGAAAATAAGTAAATAAAAAATGCATACATTTTATTAACTAAAGTAAATTAATAAGACTTACAACACTTCGCACAAATAACCAAAGACGTTGTAATGCATCAGCAATCTGTGAATGCCTTTCTTTATGTTTCCATTCTTTTTGTTGCTCTAATGGTGGGAGTGTATCTTCTGATGGAACATTTAAGTTGATAAGAGTTGTATCAAGAAGAGAACCACGTTCATCTGTTACCGAAGCACATAACCATTTTCCATCAGCAATTAAACAATATGCAAGGAAAAGAATTCTTTCATCTGGACTCAATAATTGTAATTTATGACCACCACTCTGTTGACCACCGAAACTACCTCCTGTATTTCCACTTCCCGAAGTTGTAGAAGGATTAGATGATCCGTGGGAAAGAAAGTGAATATTACGTTCAGGCGCCAAAAGAAATGGTGAACAATTTTGCTAAAAAATTTATATGATTTTTTTTAATTAATTAGGTAACCTTCAATAAAAACATATTATCACCAAGAGTTAAGAAAATATCCTTAATTTTCTCTGCAGTGCCAAACTTTGTCATACTTTTCGAAAGAACTTCTTGAGCAATATTTAAATGAAGTAATCGAGGTTGTGTATAAATACTTTAAAAAACAATTAAAATTGTAAAAATTTGGTTTAAAAAACTAACGAAAATGACAATCTTCTAAGTTCATCCCAGGCAGATATCCTCGAACCAGCATTGCATTGTTGATCATTTAAACTCATACCCATAAAAGCACAATAATCGTAAACTTTTCGAAGAGGGAGTAATTCTAGTTGCAATTGTGATCGTCGATTGAAATTGAGAAGGGAAAGAAAATCTTGAAAAAAATACATAACATTGATTATTGAAATATAAAATTAACTATTCCAAGCACGCAAAAATGCAGCAGTTGCTAAAGCCTCGAATCTTTCTGAAAATTCTGTTGACATCTCAAATACATTGACTAGTTTATGCTTTTGTTGTTGTTCAGTTACAGCAATTTGTCCAAAAGGATTGATTAAATAAATAACAAGAACATGGGGCATTTGTAAACGTCTAGCCTGTTCCTCTTTTGATAAGAGAAGGTCAACTTGTTCACGCATGTCTTTTATCAGCTTATCCTCCATTTTAGCTAATTCTTCGATACTTTCAATACCTGACGGTGTTCTTGACATTGCAGCCGTTGCATTTAAACAATCACCGCTGACATTTCCATGCAAAATTGGAACTAAAAATAATATCAATTTACAAATCTTTCTAAAAAAAACAAACCAGAATTTGGCCCGCTTCCACCAGCAGGAGATTGTTGTTGATTAGCAAATCCGGGTGTAGAAAGAGGAGATGGATGTTGATGAATTGCTAAGGAATTCACTCCATTTTCTGCTAAAACGCCCGAAGCGTTTGACTGCTGCCCATTAGATGTAAACAATGTTCCACCAGGCATCGCAGGTGGTGGCATTGCACTAGCATCTGGAGGGCTTGCCAATGAAGTAGTTAGAGGAATATGCTGCTGACGAAAAATAGATTCAAGCAAAGCTCGACGTTCAAAGATGGAATCATTAGCCGTCAAAAATTTAGCCAATTCTTGAAGTTCCTGGTTACAACATTCCATATAGCTAAATTAAAAACGCAATTAAGGGAATACTTTACAATAGACTTTAAAAAATTTATCACCTAGCAAATTTTTGAATGATTGGATCATTTAAATGTTGATCAAACCCAAACTGAGTAAAGAAAGAGTGTGGTAACGAATTGAACATCTGATATCCCAAATTTAAAGGCAAGGAAGAACGGCCAACACGTAAAATAGCATCTTTTGGAGCATCTTTAATTGATAAGCGTATATGACTTCCAAGACGACAACGACGCTCATAAACACTAAAAATAATGAAAATAAAGTGTAATTAAATGTTTCATAAATACCTTCCCAATTCCTCAAGAAAAATTTTGCATTTCTCAGCCAAAACATTCACGTCAGGAACAAGTGCCAAATAAAGGACATCCTTTGGTTGATCAATAGGCATTAATTCTAATTGTTCCCAATTTCGTATCATTGTTGGTGAGAGAAGCAAAGGTTCTCTTTCAGCACTACTCAAAACAACTACTTTGGGGATAGGTTCAGCACGTCCATTTTCGTCTTCACCAATTCTATTACTACCTCCCATTAAACTAACATTTTTGATGCGAGCAAATATACGCAAACTAAGTTGATCAAATCGACGTCCATTTGATGAGAAGCAGGGAACCAACGAAGGAAAGGATGGATCACGCATGATATCACACACTTCATCAAAAATGCCCAAACATTCAGTATCGCGAGGCTCTCCAACAGAATTTGCACTCTTAAAAAATAAAAAAATGAGACATATAAATCTTTGAAAAAACCTGATAACCCCAAGGATGCAAAAAAGATTCATCAACCGGATATTTTTGACGTTCTTGAAGAATTCCACAAACGCCCATTATTCCATTTATGAGAGCATTTAATTCAAAACTGTCAACAGAAGATTGTAAATATTCAGGTGAAGTAGAGTAAAGCAAAGAAAGTCTGCCTTCAACTAATGAAGCAACATCACGGCTAATTACAAGATGTCGAATAAGATCCATTAATTTACAATCGGACAGATCATTAGGATTAAAATTACGCAAAAGTAATCGTTGACTAGGTGCATATATAACTCCAAGCGCCTCTGCAATATCTTCTTGGAATAAACCTGAGCCTTGGCCGCAAAGATAACGATGTCGCACGGCACTAAATGAGAGTAAAATATTAAAATAAAAATCTCAACTAAAAAATCCAGAGTAAATTTACCTAAAACCACAAATACATTTTTGTAATTCAACTGGAGGAATACGAAAACCGCTCCAATGTTTTGACAAAAGTGCTTGTGGATGTTGCTGTCTCTGCCTTTGTTGAAGATAATCGCAAAATTTTAACATCTCTTTAGGACCAGTTATATAGAATCCAAGTTCAAATGAACGAATATTTGAATTACAACAACAAAGAGGGCAGGCATCGAATACAATATCATAATGAAGATCAGCAATTGTGTCCTAAAAGAATAATTTAAAATTAAAAAAAATCGTATTCTCACTTGTATAAGCAGCGTGAAAAGTGAAGAATTACATAAATTTATATTGAGCAAAAAATCTCGAAACTTGTTGCCAATAGTCGTAGAGGAAATGAAATCTAAAAAAGGAAGTTAACCAATATACGAGGATTTTCAAGTTTTAGAAAAATAAAAATTTAATAGAAGCGCCAACCTAAACAATGCGTCAAAGCTGGTTGGTGGTTTACAGTTTGAGCTGCCGAAGTAGACGTAGTGAGAGATGGAGAAACGAGTTGTGTGGAAATTTGGGAATTGTTAGTAAATGAAATCTGGCGAGAAAGCTAAATTATTTATTAAAATAAAATATAAATTTTATCCATTTACCATTTGTTGTTGTGAAGTTTCAGCAACTGACTGGTGATAGAAAGGAGTCACTGGTGAAATTCCATCAACTAACTGCTCATTATGCGAGAGTATCGGTTGTACACTCCCTTGAAATATTGGAAATGATGGTCCAAAATTTCTAATTCCCTGAGGATGCAAAGAGGGAATAATTGGAAAAGGAGGCCCTTGTGGTAGATTGTCTAAAGAAAATAATAATTTTTTAAATATTTTAAGACCAACCGTGCCAATTGCCACCCGGCCACTGAGGAACGAACTCTGAGGAATTATTCCCGATTAAAATTCGAAAACGAGCTTGTTCTTCCAATTGCAAACGATATTCTAATTGAGAATCAGCCTTTGTACGTCTTTGAGCCAAGGCATGAAGTTGTATAGCCGTTAGAGTCCCGACACCTGTGGACATTTTGAGTATGAAGTTAGGAGTGATTTTTTCAATGCTCTCACTTTCACAACAATCACGTTTCAATAGACGATTATGTTGATTCTAAAATCATTAGATAGTTAAACAAGAGAGAAAAATAAAAACCTGATTTTCTAAAGCATTTAAAATACTTGAACACTCAACACAACTAACATCATTCAACCTATCATCTAGATTATTTTCGCCAACCGACAACATATTTTTACAAAAATGTCTAGCATGCGATTTATGATGACCTGACAATTCGTAAATAGGTTGTTCCCAAGGTAAATTATGCAATTGCTCAGCAAAGTAACCAAGCACAGAAACAATTGCCTGTTCTGAATTGGCGTGAGATTGCGAGAGTGATTGAAATTGATGTGGAAGGTGATGATGAGAAAATAAAAGAATATTTTGGGGTGAAAATTGTTGTGCCGGAGTTGGTGGTGTAGGATAAATTTTGCTCATGGACTCTTGCAAGATAGCGTTTGCTGCTGCAGCGGCCATAGTCGAATACTAAAATGAAACTAAAAAAGAACGATCAATTAAAAATTACCGTTGGCTGATTTATACAAGTTGTAGTAAAGTTTGAAGTTGTTGGAATACCTCCATGAAATATTTGTGATGCTGGGATTCCTCCAGAATTCACAGAATCAACTTGTTCATTCGAAGCAGGTGGTGAAAGCATTGTATTCTGGGGAGTGTGTTGTTGTTGATGATGTAATAGAGTCTGTAGGGTGTTGCAAGTCGTAGATGGAGGACTATAAAGATCTGGCGAAGAGTGACCACAAGCATGAACTTCTTCCTAAATACTAAATAATTTAGAAAAAACTACATCTAACATACCCCAAAATTCATTTCATGTAAAGAAATATTCATCATTAACTCCTGCTGATCTTTTATCTCTTGATCAGCAATTTGTTGTTGTTGACCAACCAATAACGATGCATCAGAGTCCAATAGTGCAGGGGGAGTGACTGCGTATTCATCCATATGCTCATCGATAATATGATTTGTTGTTGTAATTTGTTGTTGTGATAGTGTTGTTAATCCTTCTGTTATGTTAGCTGTCCTAATTGTTGTCATTAAAGAGTTTTGATGTTGATTGTGAGACATATCATGTGGTTGTGCTTCGGTCGAGCATCCATCTCGTTGTTGAGCATCCATTCCTTCTGCACTGGGACTTAATAACAATTTCATTAACATACTCTGTGGCTGCCTAGAAGAAACAAAAGATTGATGGGCAGTATAAGGTTGAAGTTGTGAAAATTGTTCGGAATTTGAATGATTGACTTTAGAATTGACCATTGGCAATAAGGAATAAGGATCATCGGAAAATACATTTGATTCCTAAAAATTAAATAAATTTTTAATAAACATGTAGTAAAAACTAAACAACAAACTTCTTTTGTAAATGCAATATTTAGCAACTCCAACGAAGAGAGAGTTGGCCAAGCTACTCGTTTATATTTTTTAGTACTACTACCAACACAATTCCATTTTCTTTTCCGTTTCCTCCACTTTAAATTTTGCTGGAGATTTTGATGAATTAATCGTTGCAATAATCCTAAAGGGTCCCCTTCATTTACTGGGCAAGCAACTTTTTGTTGATCAGAATCATCATCGTCATCATCACCCAATATCATGCGTTCCAATTCAGAAGTGCAAGTATTTGGTTGTAATTGTTGATACAAAAAGGAAGAGGAAGGTCTTATATCACATTGGCTCTCCGAGTTAATTGTGTCATTTGAGCTACTAAATTTTAAATGAAGAATAAATAGAATAGAATTGTAAGAAATAAAGTTAACTAAAGTTTTTTTTGTTAAAAAGTTACACTAAAGGTTAAGTAGAATATAAACCGAGTTACACTCCCATGTCAGATTATTTTACTTTAAAGAATGTCTATAAGTTTCAAAAATTACCATGCATGAGTGCTTTGGTTAATAATTTGATCAGCCAACAAAACTTTACTCCTGCTGATCGTAGAAAAACTTCTTTCGTCAGTCATATTTAAGAGATCCCAATGTCCCTTATTTTGAAAAGAGATCTTATTAACATATTCTTTAGACGAATCTGGAGAATTATTCAGACTATCCATCCAACGTGAGTGGGACGGGGTAGAGGTTGACGTAATCAAAGCTGATGAGCCTCGACTACTATTTATACACTTCGGTCTGAAAATAAGCACAAAATAATTAAATATAAATGTGAACTTTACCTTGAATTACGAGTTCGGTGAGAAAGACTACTTTTTGAAGAAAAATTAGACATTTGCTGCCTTACATTCAAATAATCGTCATTAGATTGAATTCCTTCATCAGAAACGATACGGTGAAAGGATACCTTGGGTTGCTGGTGATGATTATTAGAAATAAGGGAATTTGAAGTTGTTTGGCACGTTTGTGATTCTAAAATTCGAAAAAAATTATATCACGACATAAAATTTAACCTTTTTGTGATTCAGTAAGAGAAGATTGACCTGATGAGAAAGAACGCCCGAGTTGTGGACATATCCGGCAATAGCAAAATTCACGGCGCATGTAATCGTAACCAAACTCTGCCATACAATCGGATGCTCTTTGTTGTTGCAAATCACAATTGAATGGATCTGAATGTTCCGCCGCACTAACTCTATTTTTTGGATTGCGCAAACATCCTAAACCATAAGAGGCTCTTGCAGCAGAAAGTCCAGTATGAATATGCCTTCGTATTTTTGAAGTTTGAAAATCTAAAATTCAAATTATTCTTTTAAAAAATTTAAATTAACCAGATTTTCTAGAAGAAAAAGATTTAGATGATTTCTCAGATTGATCAGGAATATTGTCCACTAAAATATCACTGCACGTAGCCTCATCTGTTTTTGAAATACTTTTTGTTGTTTTAGATGGCAAAGGGGAAATTAATTCATCAACCAAAATTCCAACAAAAGCACTGGGGTATAAAACGAATTGTCCACCCAACTGAATTACAACCATTCGAGGAATTGATGAAAGTAAATTACTCCTTTATTAATTAAGTAAAAGGGTATTTTATATGTTTTTCAAATACCTAGAAGAAATAACACCACTGCTTGTTCTCCTTTTATTATTAGCAGCATTAGTTGATTTATTTCCGTTAGAATTTGTTGTCAAAAATTCCAACGATGGATAAATTCGTTTCCATTCCTTCCAATGGGATTCAACAAGTTGACTCAATCGTCTCTTTGGATAAGTCCCGCCACCATCATTTTTTTCAGGAGAAAGGGTTGAAGAAAGAAATGAAGGACCTTAAACCATAAATAAAAAATTTAAAAGTAAAAAGTAAACCTTCCTCATTGTCTGGACTTGGAATAACAGGAGTTTTCCCTGTGTCGAAATCACCCAAGAAATCCTGTTGATTTGGCAATAATTGAGCGCGTATTGACCAAGGAGCTATTAAAAAAGTTAATAGTATTTTAACGAAATTTCTACGTTAAAACAATTATTTACCCAAAATGACAGGCTGTGCAAATTGTGTTGCTTCTTTGAAATGGCACTGAGAAAGGCGAAGGATTGCTGGTTGTCTTTGGACGACAATGCTGGCACAGACAAGAGAATCACGATGTAAAAAATAATGAAAACGGATGGCATTCATGAATCTTTCAAAAAATTAAAAAATAAATACTTGAAAAATTACTTGGGTATTGTGTGTTTATCTTCAGCATATAAAGAGCTCAATTCTAAAGGTCTGCAAAGCCAACGCCCAAAACGAACAAACCCCTAAATATTAAAAAATTTTTTTATAAATTACTAGGCATAAAATTAACCTCCGATAAAAGTCTCCGCTCTATTGCACTATTTAGTGATTTGAAAAATAGTGTCCGTGTTTCATACTCAAACTCAACACGAGGAGCATCAGCATCCGTTGACTCACTGTGAGTGACAACTAAAAATAATTCCAATTATGTTAAAAACATTCCCTAAATATTTACCACTCAATCCTCGTAATTTAAAATCTTCAACCAATTTTGGCTCCTCGGACGTGTACCAAAAAATCCAAAGTTCTTTCTGGGCATCAGGACGTGGTATTGGATTATCAAATGCAGCTAATGTGCTGGCTACAGGAGGTCTAAAAATATTAATTTCCTCTTTTTCTAGCTCAAATAATTTTATTTATTTATACCTCCGTCTCCATGTGCAAAGCAAATTACCCTCCAAACAATCAATATAGGCTCGTAAGACAGGATCAGCATTATCAGTGCCGATAACGTCAGCACTTGAAGTTAATTTTAGCTTTAGAGTTGGAGAATTGGAAGAAAAATTCGATGTAAAGCAACACCATTTTAGTCCATTGATTTCGGCCTTAAAATGCTTGTATATGTATTTATTTATATAAATTATTGAAAAGGAGTTGAAAAAAATTGTAAAAAAAAATTAAATACAATTTGAAATATATTTGTAGAACAATCTTCAAGTGAAGTTGTTGGAATGCTGCTTCCTGGTGAAACTGAGCCGTTACTCATTTTCGGACGTAAATGTTACGTCTTTGAACTAGTAAAAAACATTTAATTAACATAAATAACTGTTGGAAGATCTCAACAAGTTGTTTAATTTTTTCTTTTAATGATAAAAATATAAAGAATGAAAGGACTCAAAAGCCCGATAAATAGAAGTTTTATTTTCCAATTTTTTAAAATTTTATAATAAAAGATTTTTATTGATTGGTAATCTGAAAATAAATATAAACAATTATTGTTTGTTTCAACAATTTAACAAAATAAATATTATTTTTTTTGGTAGTTGAAATTAACGTGAGCTGTAAAGAGAAAATCATACAGAGCCAAATTAATTGGTAGTACATTGAAAAACGCTGCGGTTTACTCAAGCCAATAGGAAATAAAAACAGTCAATGATGTAAAAAGGAAGGAGGGTGGTGTAGCAACATACACAGTATAAGTGAGAAAAGGAAGAGTTCAATGAAAGAAAAAATCGGCGACAACGGTTGCTCATTCGCACACTTTTCTTGCCCCAATAATTGTAACGCGGGTACACTATCGCTATACTACATATGCTGCGCTTGAGCTGTATTCTTCTCTTTGCAACCCTTTGAGAGTCTGAAAAGAAGAAAAAGTCGGGGCAAAATCATATTGGTAGAAGAGATCGATTAATTGTTTTTTTATCAGATATTCATCCGCTTGTTTTGTCGTTTCATCCAAAAGTCCCTACTAAAGCACCGCTCTATTGCAACAATAAGCATGACAAAGAGTCGGCGTGGAAATGGCCGTTTCACTTTCAATTGCTTAAAGATTCTTATTTAGTGTATATTTATTTGGTGTCCGTCGGTCGATCATCGAATATTACTTAAAAGAGCATAGAAATGAGAGCAGATTGTGTGGAAAAGTAGAAAGACCAAGCAAGCTATATATTATGTGTTGATAGAGAAAGATGAAAGCCCACTTCATATTCTACATATCCCAACACGCATCCTTTTCTTCTACCTAAGGCAGAAGTCACCAAAAACAAACTAACACAATAATTTATTCTTCCGCTCCCACACAAACACATTTAAGAGAAAGAATTGGAGAAATCAATCCCAACCCGTTGATGACTGAAAGCATTTTGATGCGCTGCTGGCTCCTCTACACTGCTACCCCAAAAATTGCCTATAAATTAAATTTCCAAACTTAAAATGCCAATAAGGCTAGAAACACAAGTCTCGTCAGCGAGTGTAGAAACATTATTCTGCTAAACGCTTAAAACAAAAATTTCGGCAGAGTTTACTATGATTCCGTGCCGGACTTAAGATTTCCGGATTTTAAAAAATTCTTTATCAATTTTTTGTGTTAAAATTATATAATTAAATTAAAATTGCCAATAAGGCTCCGGATTCCGGATGGGCTTGGTTGAGTACACGGTCAATTAAAGATTGTTTGAAAAGACGGCTGGAAAAACAAAAAAAAAGAACAAAACAACAAGTTCTTTTGTGTTATTTATGACTTTTATATGCTTTGTTTTACAATTTTTATCTGAATGTAAGTGACCTCTTTATAAGGTCCTTTTCAGCGAATAAATAAATTAAAAACTAAGAATTTTGTATTTATTGGCAAAATATGCGGACATGCTTTTTAGAGATTATGAGATCTCGAAATATTTACTTTTGTTCTATATTACCAGCGAGAGGACAAATTGCCCTTGGACAGATTGCCCAAATAAATTGGCTTTATGAATTATTTGGCTTGGTCTGGAGGGTTCAGTCAGGGACGGAGTTAAAAAAGCCCAATTGGCTGGCCGAATTGAATTTGGACAAGAAATGAAATTGGACTGCTTGTTAGAGTAGTTTGTTTCCGTCTCTGCGTCTCTAACAATTAAAAGTGACAAAATGGTAATAAGACGAATTTGTACTTAACAAAAAGTGCAAAATAATAATTTTATTTAATTACATTATACCTATAATAAATAGAAAATTTTTTTAGAAAAAAAAATATCGGCCGGCCGAAGGCCGGCCGCTTCCTGAGAGTATGACATCTTGGGGGGTAGTTTTAATGGGCTTTTCAGGAAAAATACCGCTGGGACCATACGATGAACTTTTGGCACTGAAACGGCCGTGGCGAAGTGGCCAAATCCTGAACCGTCCGTCGGATCGAAAAACGCTTGCTGGGAGGAAACTAAGTTGGACTAAGGCTAATCCAACAAAAAAAAAATTTCGAAAATCCGATGAACCCCCGGGGACTTATGGGTGCGCAAAAATTCACCGATTGACGGTGAAATGTCCAATTGTGTCGGACCAAATTTTTATCTTTGGAACGGATGGGCCGAATTGAATGGGACCAAAGGGGTTATAGGTAATCGACCATGGGGAATTTTTTGTGTTAGGTCGTTTTGGTGCCGCACTCAAGTGTGGCACTGAAACGGCCAAAAATCAAAAAAACACCGAGGCCGAAGGCCGAGGAGTTTGGCGGGCCGAAGGCCCGCCGTAGGCGAGGGCCGAAGGACCGAGACGTTTTGGTGCCGCACTTGAGTGTGGCACTGAAACGGCCAAAAGTCAAAAAACGCCGAAAGGAGAAGTTGGGCGGGCCGAAGGCCCGCCGTTGGCGAGGGCCGGAGGCCCGAGACGTTTTGGTGCCGCACTTGAGTGTGGCACCGAAACGGCCAAAAGTCAAAAAAACGCCGAGAGGAAGAGTTGGGCGGGCCGAAGGCCCGCCGTAGGCGAGGGCCGAAGGCCCGAGCAAGAGTCTAACATTGGCGTTTGGGGGCCGAAGGCCCCCAAACGCCTCGGGACAACCCACAACAGTTGTCGAATGCACCACAGCGATCAAACCCATCGCAAGAGTCTAACATTGGCGTTTGGGGGCCGAAGGCCCCCAAACGCCTCGGGACAAACCACCACAGTTGCCAAATGCACCACAGCGGTCAAACCCAAAGTAAAAGTCAAACATTGGCGTTTGGGGGCCGAAGGCCCCCAAACGCCTCGGGACAACCCACAACAATTGTCGAATGCACCACAGCGGTCAAACCCAAAGCAAGAGTCTAACATTGGCGTTTGGGGGCCGAAGGCCCCCAAACGCCTCGGGACAACCCACCACGTTGCCGAATGCACCACATTGGTTAAACCCAAAGTAAAAGTCAAACATTGGCGTTTAAGGGCCGAAGGCCCCCAAGGCGAGGGCCGAAGGCCCGAGCATTCATTACATCCAAAACGCAGAGCAATAGTCAAAGGTAGGGCACGGCGGGCCAGAGGCCCGCCGTAGGCGAGGGCCGAAGGCCAGAGCATTCATTACATCTAAAAGGCACAGCAACAGTCAAAGACAATGCACGGCGGGCCTGAGGACCGCCGTTAGCGAGGGCCGAAGGCCTGAGCTTTCATTACATCTAAAACGCAGAGCAATAGTACCCACCACAGTTGCCGAATGCACCACATCGGTTAAACCCAAAGCAAGAGTCTAACATTGGCGTCAAAAGAGTCTAAAGCAAGAGTCTAACATTGGCGTCAAACCCAAAGTAAAAGTCAAACATTGGCGTTTGGGGGCCGAAGGCCCCCAAACGCCTCGGGACAACTCACCACAGTTGCCGAATGCACTACATCGGTTAAACCCAAAGCAAGAGTCTAACATTGGAGTTTGGGGGCCGAAGGCCCCCAAACGCCTCGGGACAACCCACCACAGTTGCCAAATGCACCACAGCGGTTAAATCCAAAGCAAGAGTCTAACATTGGCGTTTGGGGGCCGAAGGCCCCCAAATGCCTCGTGACAAGCTACCACAGTTGCTAAATGCACCACAGCGGTCAAACCCAAAGCAAGAGGCCGAAGGCCGAGGAGTTGGCGGGCCGAAGGCCCGCCGTAGGCGAGGGCCGAAGGCCCGAGCATTCATTACATCTAATAGGCATAGCAATAGTCAAAGGCAGGGCACGGCGGGCCGGAGGCCCGCCGTGCGAGGGCCGAAGGCCCGAGCATTCATTACATCTAAAAGGCAGAGCAATAGTCAAAGGCAGGGCTAAACTTTACCGGCGAGGGCCGAGGGCCCGAAGGAATGAAAAGGCAAAGCAAGACTTTACCGGCGAGGGCCGAAGGCCCGAAGCAATGAAAAGGCAAAGCAAAACTTTACCGGCGAGGGCCGAAGGCCCGAAGCAATGAAAAGGCAAAGCAAAACTTTACCGGCGAGGGCCGAAGGCCCGAAGCAATGAAAAGGCAAAGCAAAACTTTACCGGCGAGGGCCGAAGGCCCTAAGCAATGAAAAGGCATGGCTAAACCTTTCTTTACAGGCATCCAAACATTCTAGCAGCGCGCGAAGCGCGCCCCAAAGCCGTTAGGCTTTCCAACGGGCAGAACGCTATTAAACCTAAAGTATCCTAATAGGAATTGCATACGCACTACGCCGCCATACCCCAATGGGCACAACTAGTTATATATATATATAATATCAAGGAGTTTCGTTTTTAAAAAATTAAGGCTCCCGGCCGAAGGCCGGGAGCCTTCTGAAAGTGTGACATGCTGGGGGGTACTTTTGAAGGCGCATCTGGGAAAAATATGGAAAAATCCCCACTATGAAGTTTTGGCACCGAAACGTCCGTCGTCACGTACCTATCTCGTGAACCATAAGTCGTAGCAGAAAGGGTCTGCTTAGAGGTTCCTGGTCTACTATTATGGGGTTTCAACAAAAAAAAAATTTTGAAAATCGGGTGAACTCCCGGGGACTTATGGGCGCGCAAAAATTCACCGACTGACGGTGAATTGTCCGATTTTGTCGGATAAACGTT